GGCAGGTACATACCAGTCCCGAATGACACAAGCCCACCATAGCCGACGCCCTAGCTCTCGCTGAGAAGGGGTCGACCACTCCGGTCTCCGGCAGAGATCCCTGGAAATGTTTACTTCGTTGCCAAGCTTGTGCATATCAAGACACCGTGCCATATTGGTTGCAAACCCAGTAATCAGCCACTCTCGCTGATGTTCTCCGAAATTAGAATGACACAAGGTCAGTACTGAAAGAGCCTGAACCACGGGGAGCGACGGTGAACCTGCAAATCCATATCTTTCGAGCTCCTTTAGCGCAGCCTCATACCAGAGGCGTGACGTGTGAACTGCAATAGAGATGGGATCGGCCAAAGGCATGCCAAGTTGGGGAAGTTGGGTGACATCGGGGATTTCCTCCGGATCGGAATAGAGTATACCCACAGCCAGAACTGCAAGATAGACGACCAACCATGGTCTTCGTTCGCGTTCGATGCCGGTCCCCAGTTGCGTACCTTGCCAAAAGTCTTCGTGTTCTCCGAAAAACACGTCGGCATCAACAGCGCAGTGCAGCCAGCCAAGTCTGTGTAGAGAGAAGGTAACGAGCTGTACGCTAGCGTCTTTACTAGGAAGCAACAGATAGATCGGATCCGCAGCAGGCTCATATAGGCTATCTATAAGATCTTTCTCGCCACCTTCGCGTGGGCCATTGGTCGTGATACCGATGTCGAATTGCTCAAAGGCCGGGACCAAGTCTTCGAGTGATGCCGACGGTGCCGAATAATCAGTAGATTCGCTGGTACGGCTGTGTGCACACGGCTTCGACAATGCAAGGGCAGTCTCAAGCTCAGCAATCTGTGCCCGCAAAGCGCCTCGTTCGCGCAGCAAATCCTCGAGTTGGACGTCTTCTGCGCTTCCCGCATCCGAATCGGCGTAGACGGTAAGCTGTCCCCTGACGCGCACGATCGGCCGACGGCAGGAATTCCCGGCATTGCGGCGCACGCAGGGGTTGCAGGGGCTCTTCTTGTCGCAACGAATTTTCCGACGACTACACTCGACACACGAGCGCGACACGCGCTGCGACGTCTTGATGCCCGTTTCGCTCATGGTATGTGACGTACGTGGTGTTGTTGATTTGCCGAGGAGCATGAGGCTCAAAATCCTCGGCGCAGTAAGTACGTACCCCGCATGTCTTTTCCCCCTACCTGGACCGGGCTAATTCCCCACACTGCACACCTCTCTTCGGCTTAGCCCGCGTCCCCCACAATCCGTTCGCATTCATATTGGACTGGACGGCCCAGTGCGGGCGAGGTCCGGGTGAGCACTGATATCGTGTCGCGTTCCAAGCCACCAAGGAACTGTCATGGCCCATTTGGCTGCGTCCGCTTCGGACCTTCAGATGCTACAAATTGTTCGAGATGTCTCTCTTTTTTGCATCAGCAGCTGCACACCATGGCGCTCCACGACACCAAGAATGAAGCGAGTGCTCACATCGAGATAGTTGACGCACACAAAAAAGCTGCGAGGCCAGTGGTCGGTACCATCAGATTGTACGATGAGGACGGCATTGTGCTGATCCCGACTCCAAGCAGAGATCCTAATGGTAAGTTACAGAGCCAGCAAAATCAACTCAGCTAATTAGTGAAGATCCTCTTAACCTTCCGAAATGGCAGAAGTACATCATTTTGATTATTGTCGGCCTCTACGCGGCTACCGGAAATCTGATGGCCAGTGGCATCACCGCCATTCTTCCCATTGTACAGGCCTCGTACGGTGGAAACCCAAAAACCAGCGACCTCGCAACTTGGCCGGCATTCTACATGGGTGTCGGAAACCTCCTCGCAATTCCTGTAGCTCATGCCGTTGGGCGTCGACCTGTTTACCTTATGTCAACCATCGTACTGTCATTCGGATGCCTCTGGTGCGCCTACAGTGGAAGCTTGGAGTCGCATATTGCAGGCAGAGATGTCATGTCGATCGCTGCTGGGCAGGCTGAGGCACTATGCCCGATCATCGTACAGGAAATCTTCTACCTTCACGAAAGAGGACACGTCATTGCTTGGTTTTGCTCGCTGCAGACACTTGGTACCGCAGCGCTAATTGTAGCAAGTTCTTATCTTGCCAATGATCTAGGCTGGAGGTGGTGGTACGGCGTCTTCGGGTGCCTGAGTGGGGCCATAGCCGTGCTCAGCATCATTTTCGTCGCAGAGACCAAGTACGAGCGCACCCTAGAGGCCCTGAGCGGGCAAGGCATCGAAGAAGAAGGCACGTTGGTTCCAGTCACTACCAACACTAAGCGCCCACTCGACACCGTCAACTACGCACCCCGTAGTTTCGTCAAAGACATGCTCCCCTGGAAAGGCCATGCACACTGGTCCAAGGCAATCGACTGCTGGAAGCAGATGTTTCAGATCATTTGGTTCCCCAACATTATCTGGTTGATCCTGATCAATTCTGCCGCCTTGGGCATCTACGTGCTCATGTCAGCGTTGTTCGCCGGTGTTCTAGTCCAACCGCCTTTTCTCTGGAATTTTGACATGCTCGGATACGTTTTCGCGGGACAGGTCGCCACCGCCGTTGCGGTACCCTTCTTCTGTGGCGCCCTGAGCGACTGGGTTGTCAAGTTGATGAGTAAGAGGAACGGCGGCGTTAGTCAACCTGAGTACCGTATGCTTGCTCTCATCATTCCGCTGGTCTCCATACTGATCTCGACAATCATCTACGGCATGACTGCCCAAAACCCCGCAGATTGGAGCTGGGCCGGTATCGCTGTAACACTCAACACCGAATACTTTGGCTTCGTCGGTATCGTAGTGTCAAGCTTTGTCTACTGCATGGACGCTTATCCTCAACGCATCGATGCCGCTCTTGTTCTCATTTGCTCGCTAAGAGGTTTTATTGGTTTCGGCATCTCTTTCGGGTCTATTGCTTTCGTGGAGAAAGCTGGGTACGAGGGTGCGTTCAACATTTGTGCAGGCATCATTGCAGCATTAATGTTTTTGGGTATCTTTGTTTACCTTTTCGGTGAGAAGATTCGTAAAATTACGCAGACATGTGCTCAGGATGAGTAAGTGGTTAGAAAGTGGCAGAATCACAAATGTGACGGAAGACGACCTACCTTATGGGTGCGGTATTTTCTGCAGGTGAATACCACCAAAGACTTTTGGAATGAGATACGAGAATGAAACAGTAATGCACGTTATCATACACTAAACTCTGCTTGACGGCCGGCCACAAGTGTTCGTGAACAGAAGTATATTTTTCACATGCCGTTGACAGTGTGGAAGGGTATCGCAATAACTCATTGAGCCGCCGCTCCATAAATGGCCAAGAACTCCTGTAGTATGCCCATACCGTCGTACGCCTTCTATGCTATTACTCGTACATCGTCATCGTATGGTCGTGATTGATGACTTCAGTCCTCTGCAAAGTCTTCTTTTGTATCCTCGTCCACTTCGCTCTCCTCGTAAGCTTTCGTAATAAAGGGGTGCTTGAGCGCTTCAGCCGCCGTGATGCGCTTTGCAGGATTGCATTCCAACAATTGGTACAGGAACTGGACAGCCTCCTTTTCATCTTCGTCCAGCTCCTTCTTCGGTTGTGTTTTATCGCCGGTGCGGCCTGTACACCATAGAATGATCTTCTCCAGACTATGTCCGCCCTCGCTGTAGCTGGGTACATTCGTCTCGAAAACCTGACCATGCAGAAGGGCTGTCTCCCGCATCTTTTTTCGTCCGAAAATGGTCGTGATCTCAAGAAGCGCGTCAATGTCGTCTGCACTGTGGAAGAACGGGAAGCGCTTTGAAAGCATGGTCAACAGAATGACACCGACACTCCAGACGTCGATGGAGACGGTTTGTTGAGTACACTTGAGCAGCACTTCAGGCGCACGGAAGCCTCGGGTACCTGCGCGGTTAGCACGACGACTGTTCCGCGTATCGTTCTTTGGGTAGGCGGAAGTGGTGTGGCCTGCCGACTGGGTCTGCGCATAGACACTGTGCGTGATCTTACGCCGGCGCTCTTCCTCCTCTAAATGGCAGGGGCAGTGGTGCCAGTCTGTACCCTCGCGCTCCGCGAGACCAAAGTCGACAAGAACTCCACGGGACTGCGACGTGTTGTAGAGAAAGTTGGTAGGTTTGACATCGCGATGAATGATTCCCTTCTGGTGTACCGCCGCTAGTGCTGTGAACAGACTCTTGAAGTAGCAGCGCATATGAGAGATGTCCATGTCGCGGTAATAATCGCGGAAGTCGCGGTGCTGGAAGTAGGGCAATACAGCAACAACCTGGTCCTGGTGGCGGAAGGCGGTAATGAGGGGACATACTGAGTCCGAATCCCTCAGATCATACAGCAGTTCGAGTTCGTTGAAGATGCGTATCGGACTGCTCGTGACGTAGATCTTCTTGATGGCGACGTAGTGGGGCTTTCGGGCGGATTGCCTCTTGTGTGCCAGGGGCATGGACTTGGTTCTCTCTCGCTCGTCGATGTCCCAGTTGTTGTTGTACTTTGTATACTCGAGGTCTTCAGCCTTGTACACGGTTGAGAAGGTTCCTGTGCGAAAGTATTAGTCGAGCCCGCTACCCTGCATGCCGCAAGCCAATAATATGAGACATACCCTCTCCAATGCGATTAATAAGTCGGAACCGCTTGTTGATACCGGCGAATGATTCTTCAAAGCGCGCCATGTCTTCTTGAACCGAGTCTTCGACTTCCTCGTCGCTGCTGTCGATGGTGCGCCCACTTTCTTCGAGCGGGTTCATGCTTTCGTCCTGGGTCACTTCGGCCTCGTCCTCCCTCATGTCGTCCTCATGAACGTCGATGGTCTCTGCATGGCGCAGTGATGTGCGTGCCTTTGCCATTGTAGTGGTGGCTTGTGAAGCTGTGTCGGACGATGCGCGAATCTTGTTCGCGGTGTGGACGGCAGACGCGTTGGACCCTGTCTTGCTAAGCCGAAAGGGGCATACTGATGACAGAACGCACGGGCCGATAAACACCCACGCGCTTTCGGGGCAGGTGCGACGGTTGCGGCCGCATCTTCGCTTTCACCGCGCAAACAACCCCACCCAACCCCGGCGCTCATTTCGTCGCTCCTTGTTTCTGATTCTTGATTTCCCCAAGCGACTCTGAACATCATGGACGACCGGGTGGATTTTGACATCAATGAGGCGGTCAAGCTGTTCGACAGCGACCCTGCTGAGATTCCCACCCCCGAAGCCCCGCAAGCGCTGCAAGACTGCGAAGATGAGCCAGAATCGCTGTCGTCGCCCGGATTGATCAACAGCGAACTGAACCCTGTGGTCGATGCTGTGGCAGAGAGCCCAGATGCGATCACTCGCAGCTCTGTATTTGATACGCTGCAATTCCTCTTGAAGTGCGTCCCCGCGTATCCAAAAGATACAAGAACATATGAGAGGGAGCCCAATAGTAACCTGTTCCGGCTATCTAGGCACTCGTCGCAAATACCACCCGCCATCCTGAGCAAGATCCTCGACCTCATAACCTCCGCCTTGTCCACGCAAGCCGACATCATCCACGCAGACCTCGAAGCCGAAGACCAAGATGCGATACCGCACCACAAGAACCTACTGGAAATGTACGGCTTCCTTCTCAGATGGACCATCTCCGCCGTCGAGACCAGGGCGCTCGAGAAATCAGCCTCTGCACCAGCAGCGAGGGGGCGGGGTAAGGCTGCAAAGCCCAAGTCTGGTGCTGGCAAGGACGTCGTTTGGGACGCCTCAGCACAGCTTGAGACGGCTCTCGATCGCATGAGCAAAGTACTAAGACTCAAGCTGGGTCGCATATTCGTCACCACGTCAGAGCGGGACACCTTCATTGGCCTCTTCACCAAGCCAGTATACCACATCCTCGAAAACGAGGCAAGAGTCAAGAACAATGCGATACGGAATCACTGCTTCAGGGTTTTGTGCTTTGCTGTCAAATCTCATGGACATGCTTACAGTACGTACGAGAAGCCTCTTGGGGGTGCTCATGCTGACACTTGTGGTAGCTGCCCAGACGTCCATCAACCAGAGCTTGACGTACTTCGAGCACCTGTCAGAACCCATGGCTGAATTTCTTTTCACGCTTGCCGATGCTTTCGACTACCCACAACTCACCGAGGATGTCTTGAAGGACATCAGTAGCAAAGAGTTCAGCTCTACCGACCTGAAGGGACCAAAATCCATCTCGACATTTCTTACTAAGATCTCCGAGCTCACTCCCCACCTCGTCATTCGCCAGATGACGTTGCTCGCGAATTTGCTCGATAGCGAATCATATACCCTTCGCTGTGCCCTTATCGAAGTCTGTGGAAATCTGATCATTATGCTTAGCAAGCTGAGCCAGGACGACCGCAGCGAGAATCACAAAGCGCAGATCCGTATCTTCTTCGACGTACTCGAGGACAGGTTCCTTGATATCAATCCCTATTGCCGGGCTCGAGTTATGCAGGTTTATATCAGGCTTTGCGATCTAGATCAGAAGTATACCAAGCGCAGACAGAAGGTCGCGGAACTTGCCGCGCGTAGTCTGGAAGACAAAAGCAGCAACGTACGTCGCAACGCAGTCAAGCTGCTCGCGAAGCTTATTTCAACTCACCCGTTTACTACCTTTGACGGTGGATTACTATCGAGCAAAGATTGGACACGGAGGTTGGACGATGTCGACGCTCAGATCAACGCCCTACAACCTCCGGAAGAGCTTCGAGAGCGTGCGCCTGGTGACCAGACTGTAGACGAGACTCTGCTACAAGACGCAACCCAAGCTGATAACGGAGATGACGAAGGACCAAAACATCCTTCCGAGATGTCCGAAGAAGAGAGAGCCGCTGCGATTGAGAAGGCGCAGAAGGATGCTGCAACTGCGCAAGAGCTTGAGAAATTCCAGGCAGTTCGCAAGTACTTACTTGAAGCGCTTAAGTTCATTGAAGTTATCGACGATGCCGCTGAGATTGTCACTCAGCTGTTGTCGTCCAAGAACAAGAGCGAAGTCATCGAGGCCATGGACTTCTTCGTGACTATCGACGCCTACAAGATCGCGAATGCTAAGCTCGGTATACGGAGGATGCTGCGCCTTATCTGGACCAAGGGCAATAGTGACGAAGGAAAGGGTGTTCAAACACACTTGCTGGAGTGCTACAAAGGCCTTTTCTTCGATGCGCCACCTGGATTCGATGCCAATGCAGTTGCCAACTATATCTCGAAAAACATGATCAGTCTTACATTTGGCACAACTCCCGCTGAACTCACGTCTCTCGAGCAACTTCTCAGTACCATGAAGAAACAGGGACTGGTCAACGAACTGGTCATTCAGAAGCTTTGGCAGATATATGGATACCAGAAGAAGGACATCTCCAAGAACCAGCGTCGTGGAGCGATCATTGTTCTTGGCATGTTGGCACTCTCATCTCCGGACATCATCCAACAAGAGATGGAAGCATGCCTACGGATCGGCCTTGGGGAGCTAGGTCGACGAGACTTAGGCCTAGCACGCTACACCTGCATAGCGCTGCGTCGCATGAGTCCTCCACCTGGAAGGCAGGCCGCGCACGACACACCGATACAGACCGTTAAGCTTCCAAACGATCACGCAGTTCTAGTCAGGTTAGCCGCTATAACCGAGATGACGTCGGATAGTAAGGAATGGTATGGCGTAGCGGAACAAGCCATTAGTGCCATCTATGTCCTTTCGAAACATCCGGACGTGCTGTGCTCCGAGATCATCCGCAAGGTCACAAAGCGAGTATTTGGGGGGCATGTCAAAGCTCAGTCGCGACCAACGTCGAGTTCCAGTGCCGCGGAACCAATGGAAATCGATGAGGAGATGCCCGATGCGCCTGCTATCGACGAACCACAGGCAAAGAAACAGAACTCTGCCCTTGCACTGTCCCAACTGCTCTTCGTCGTGGGACATATTGCTATCAAACAAATTGTTCACTTGGAGCTTTGTGAGCTTGAGTTTAAGCGCCGCAAGGCTGAAAAGGACAAGAAGACAGCAGCGACACCTCGGCAATCCATGGCTTCGTCAGGACCCACACCACTCAAGAAGGGTAGGAAGAGGGGATCTACGAAAGAGCCAACACCAGCGCCCGAGGAAGCTGATGATCTGGAACTTATGGCGGGAACGAATGAGGATGACTTCACCGAGGCCATCGCGCATGTGCGCGAACGCGAACTCCTATATGGCCCACACTCACTACTCGCGAATTTCGGTCCGCTCGTAGCAGACATTTGCGCCAACAACACATCGTACAATCACCCCACGCTGCAAGCGCAAGCTGCACTGTGCTTAGCCAAGCTCATGTGTGTCAGCTCAGAGTATTGTGAGACTAACCTTGCTTTGCTTCTTACCATCCTCGAACGAAGTCAAGATGCAGTTGTACGTAGCAATCTTGTCGTGGCACTTGGTGATATGGCCGTTTGTTTCAATCATCTCATTGATGAGAACACCGACTTCCTCTACCGCCGTCTGAACGACGGCGACCCCAGTGTCAAGCGGACATGTCTCATGACTCTCACTTTCCTGATTCTAGCTGGACAGGTCAAGGTCAAGGGTCAGCTAGGCGAGATGGCCAAGTGCCTTGAAGACAGCGACAAGAAGATCGCAGACATGGCACGCATGTTCTTCACTGAATTGTCAACCAAGGACAATGCTGTGTACAACCAGTTCATCGACATGTTCAGTGTACTTAGTGCCGATTCAGCGCTGAGCGAGGATTCACTGAAGAGGATTGTTAAGTTCTTGGCAGGATTTATCGAGAAGGTATGCTCACTTTTCCACCCTAAGCTTTTGTTCAGATACTGACTACTATCAGGACAAACACGCCAAACAGCTATCCGCAAAACTTGCGTCCAGGCTCCCACGAGCAGAGAATGAAAGGCAGTGGAACGACGTCGCGTACGCATTGGGTCAACTTCAGCACAAGGATGAAGAGATACAGAAAATGGTTTCGGAAGGTTTCAAGGTGGTTCAAGCAAACGCTTAAGCTGCGTTTTTATGTTTCATGTTCGATTCTTTACGACTGTATGAACACAATGATACCCTGGGTTCGGTTGGATCGGGGTGGATAACCATTGGCGTTTGGGGTTGCATAGGGTACATCGATGTATATGACATATGATATGGTGTCTTCATTTTTCTAGCACAAGCAAAGGGTACTGCTTAAGCCATGAAGCCTGCACCTACAGCAAGGAAAGCCACCATCCATCCTACAATCGTCAAAGATGGTCGGTTCATATTCGCTGCACCTTTCAAAGAGTTAGTATGTGATAGCACCGACAAGGTATGCATTTGCTCACCTTCGTCGTCATCAGGGCTCGCAGATTCGCTCTGCTCCGCCGCACTTTCTGTCGGCGTCGCAGTCTCGCCGCTGGTACTCTGATTACGATAATCATTCTCTTCACCAAAGTAACAAGGAAAGCCGTGGCCTTCGACGTCAGACTCGGGAAAGACGTCAATGACACACTCTTTCCAAGCTTCCTGGTCTTCTTCTGCTACTTCGCAGTACCTGTCGAGTGATGGTGTCAGTATTGTGTCAATCAGATATTATCGGTTCATCGAAGCTGTAAGAAGAACAAGAGCGCAGACGATAATGGAAACAGGAGCAGTGTAGGGCAAGAGATGAAGAGAATGGAAAAGACATACTGTACACAACCCCCATAAACATGGATCTCAGCACCTTCCTTGCAGCATGACGATAGATTGGGAATGGTTTCGTTGTGGTTATAGGCGCAGTAGGGTGGTGCAACGTCCGCAGGACGCAAGCTCCATGAACCAAAGGGGGAGCAGTTTGATATGACGAAGTCACTGGGGCCGGGACTGTTGGGGAGGGTAGGAGTAGGTAGTTCGGAGATGGGAATGTTGGTACTGAATAGTTCTATGCTTGTAGCTGCAGACATGACTGGTAACACAACACGGATGAGAAAAGTGATTGGTATGGGAGATGTAGCGATCAGTCAAGACGAACAACAATGAATGCTGATTCTCATCGTCCCTACTTGTACCCCATCGACAATACAAGGCGACCCATGTGCGTCACTCGATATCTTACCTGCTTGCTTGTTCATCTGGTCCTAACATTCAATTTGATTTGACGTCACGAAATTGCACCTGATCAAATGCACCCGCCTTGCATCCTTCGCGTCTGGTATTGTATCATAGCCGGTCGGATCTCCGGCAAACGCCTGTTGAGCAGCCAAGGTCGTCTGTGCTGGTGCTATACATAAGTGGCATTTTAACCGTTTAGGAGGAGTAGCACCAAGTGGTATGCCAATGGGACCAATGGGGATCACGGCCCAAGAGCGAATGCTGAAAGGAGTAATGGAAGCGCTGACCGCAATGTCATCAAATCGATATGTCTGCTTCGCGCATGATGATCCTCCGCTTGTGTTCTTCGTGTTTACCGTTATATTGGAACAGAACAGGCCGGGTATCCGGCAAACGCCTCTTGACCAGCCACTATATATATAAGCGACCCTGTAGATATCCAGCTAGTATTCCTAGTGCCAGAACGGTACACCTATTACGATGGAAATCCACCACACTCCCCAAAAGCAAAAGCCTGGAGAAACCATGGGAATTTCGGATGCCGGCACGCCAAGATTTTTGACAGCGGATCGTAAAAGGGAAATCTGGGGCAGCATGGGCGGTAGCACGCCCAACCACTATCACTTCTCTATGTACTAAAATGTCATGTCGGTCTAACTTATTGTCTTGATGGTTTGGTTACTTGCTATTTTATGCTTACACCGGTAGGACGTTTCAATGTCATGCATGGCATGGTCTCTTTCGGATCTGTACAACGGTTCTAAGCGCCAAGGACTTCGTTCGACATACTGATGGTGACGTAGTAAGACAGATGAGAGCCAATGTGAAAGCCGAGCATTGATCATAACCGAACGCTGCGGGTCTCTGTGGGCGATAATTACCATCAAGGAGAACGTAGGGATTGAACGATGCGCTGCCATTACTCACCGTGTAGGCAGTTTTGGCTATGTCTGATGTGTACACAATATGTTCTACAAAGTTTCCCTCAACATCTGCCTCATGCGGACTGCTTCCTTGCAGCTTTAACTTTGCTCTCCGCCCCAACTTCTGCTTTCGTCTTCTTGCCCTGCTCCACTCTTCTCGTCTTTGCCGTCTTCTGTTGACCAGCCTGTCCATCGTGCGCTTCAGCTCGTGCCTTTTCTGCTTCAGTGTGTCTCCTCATTGCCTCCATGGCTTCCTCAAGAGTTGGTATTTTTAAGCCCTGCTTCCTTGCCTGCGCCAATCTCTGGATGCTTGTCTGTCTTCCCCGCTCCGCTGCCCTTACGTCCTTCAATAATCGCTCTTTGACGCGTTGTTCGTCTAATTGTGCTTGGGAGAGGACTGGTGGTCGGTTTTCTACGGGTTCGCCAAAGGGCGCGACGATGGATGTTACGACGTGGTGGATGACTTTGGAGGTGCGGTGTCCGGATGTTATGCGCACGATGTCTCCTTCAACGACGGAATTGTTAGGGTCGCGGGCTATGTATGTTTTGGGGGCTGGGAAGTGCTGTTTTATCGTCAGCACTGGCATGGTCTTGTGTGCGATCTTCGAGCCAACGCACTTTTCTGAACTTCTTATTCCATTCTTGCTCTGCGACGCGCACCCGTACCGCTTTCGACATCTTGCCCGCTGAGACTACGACGCCAACTTTGTGACTCGTGAGGCATTGTGGAACGATTGGTTTGCCGGCTACCGCTTTGGTCGCTATCGACGCCATGGTGGATGGGTGGATGTGCAGTTGGGTGAGGGTGGTGTGGTGATTGCGGAGGTCCTGCGGAGGTTTCCTAGCGCGGGATGCGCACGCAAAAGTTTATTCCAAGGGCCGTATAGTAAGACGGCAACTCAATACGTCCTCGTATCGTGTCTGCTCCCGGGTCGGAGGCGTGAGCGGTGGTGCAGCCTCAATTGACTGCTGTCGCGCTTGAATTGCTACGCATGAAAAGTGAAGTCGGTAATGCCAAGGCTTAACTCCGATTGGTCGCATAATCAACGTTACTGCTATCGTGTCCCATTCGCAACTTCCCCATTTCAAGTCACTTTCCATTCACAACACTCCGTTTCCTTCTTTTTGGCGTCGCTTGCTCTCGCCTCATATCTGCGAACTCATGTAGACGTTTGCCCTTGCAATTACATCGGATACTTATATTCCGTCCACTCACTTTCGCAACTTCGACATCGCCGTTGGCGCGATTCATAGTACAAGATGCTCCTACGGATAGCGCTGTTCTTTGTGGTCGCCTGTTTAGCACTTCTAGTTGTTGGCGCAGAAGATTACTACAAGGTATGCAGAGAGCACATTTGTATTTGCTTTGGTCTTCACCTCACTTCCAAGTTAAGCGTGTTGGCTAACATGGATGATGTAGCTACTGGGCCTCAAGAAAGATGCCTCAGATCGCGAGATCAAGAAGGCCTATCGAACGCTGAGCAAGAAGTACCACCCAGACAAGAACCCGTACGGCTACAAGTCCTAGAATCCTGCCTAGATCTCTAACCTTTTACAGTGGTGACGACGAGGCGGGCAAGAAGTTCGTCGAGGTAGCTGAAGCCTACGAGGTTCTTAGTGAGAAGGAAACACGGAAGATCTACGACCAATACGGCCACGATGGTATCCAACAGCACAAGCAAGGCGGCGGTCCACGTCAACACGATCCCTTTGACCTCTTCTCGCGCTTCTTCGGCGGCTCAGGACACTTCGGACATCAAGGAGGAGAGCGCCGAGGGCCAAACATGGAAGTGCGAGTATCACTGCCACTCCGCGACTTCTACAACGGCCGAAAGACGGAGTTCACAATCGAGAAACAGGCGATATGCTCGGCCTGCGAGGGCTCAGGCTCGGAAGATGGGCATGTAGAGACATGTGGCACATGCGGTGGACGCGGTGTCAGGATCCAACGACAACAACTCGCACCCGGCCTATTCCAGCAAGTACAGATGCATTGCGACCAATGTCACGGCAAAGGAAAGACGATCAAGCATCCATGCCCTGTCTGCAGTGGTAGCCGAGTTATCCGTGAAGCCGAAACTCACACTCTCGAAATCGAGAAGGGCATGCCCAAGGGTGTACGCGTCACCTACGAGAACGAAGCGGATGAAAGCCCCGATTACGTTGCCGGCGACCTCATCGTACACCTCACTGAGGCGGAGCCTGCAATGGGAGAACAAGAGCACGAGCGCACAGACGGAACCTTCTTCAGAAGACGAGGTAAAGATCTCTTCTGGCGCGAAGTTCTTTCTCTTCGGGAGGCATGGATGGGTGGTTGGACACGTAATGTCACACATCTGGACGGCCACATTGTTCAACTTTCCCGTAAACGTGGTGAGGTCGTCCAACCCAACCTCGTTGAGATCGTCAAAGAAGAAGGTATGCCAATATGGCACCAACACCTCGAGAACAACGAGGGTCTGCAGTTTGGTGACTTGCACGTCGAATACGTGGTCGTACTACCCGATCAAATGGAAAAGAGTATGGAGAAGGAATTCTGGAGTGTCTGGGAGAAGTATCGTGCGAAGAAGGGCGTCAGCATCGATGCCGAGTTGAACAGGCCACAAGAACCTATCAAGATGCCTGAACCAGATGCGCACGACGAGTTATAGGATATACTCCAGAAGTGGATGCCTTCGGCTTACTCACAGCGCATAGGAGACACATGGAAGAGGATGCTGAGATGAGCGATGTGTTCAGTGCTTGTATGAATTAAGCGTGGTATACCCGGTGATGACGCGGAGTTGGGGAGTCGCTTGCGGCATCGATTTGGTACATAGACCGCTTTCTGATATATTAGAACAATACATATATATATATTCTTGAGTTCGTACGGAATGGATCTTTCAGAATATTTAATAGTTGTGGCCATCACTAGTTGAAGAGCGTGTGCTCTATAATCGCTTGTCGCTTCAACCCGTCTCCAAAAGCCGTGGGGTGCGCACGTGGATCTTTGGAAACTTCGAAAGCTTCTCAACACCGCGAGAGTGGTAAGTCGATACACTCATGCGTGTGTGGCTAGTGAAGTAGCTATATCACCAACGAAGAGCAAAACACTTGAATTAACAATTGAGCTGGTTATCGAAGCTCGCTGCGGACCCATCTAGCATTCTAGTTATGATTCAAACTCGAAGTGGTGTGTGGGCTTACACCACGAACGACCTGCTTGCCAACTGTAGAAGGAGAGACAAATCCAATCACGATCTATTCTTTGTTTTTTCGAGGAGGATAGTTCCACATGAGTGGATTGAAGTCAAACGTCGAGTAATAAAACTAGAGGGAGCGAGTATGGAAGGAGCGACTCAGGAGGCGTTTGTAGGTTGACCAGCTTTTAGATGCAAACACGCCTCTGCTAAGATCGTCCCCGTAGCCTTGTGCACATTACAAGCAGATAGTATAAACGCGAGCGGAACTAGCCACTTACTGAGCTGTGTTGCAGATGTCGAGTGAAGCTTGGATTAGGTTGTTCATGAAGGCGGATGCAGTGCGGCAGATCGTTCGACGCGTAGTCGAGACGACCCCACGGGCAGCGAAGAAGGTCAGACCAAGCATTAGCAGTTTGACCCACTTTTGTCTTAGTGCGTTTGGTGATTGGCTTAATGAAGATCTTAGCTGCACCCTGAGCGAACATGCAGCTTCCCGTTACACAAACATCCCACACTGGCGCCAAACTTCAGCTGATCGTCCCGCATAGAAGCCTGCATTGTAAAGTCTCTTGACCTCTGAAGATGGTGGTGAATGATCGCTTCACACCATGATGGCATGATTGTATCCTCGTCAGGTTTCTGAGTATGGTATCCTTCAGGATTCGAGGACTAAAGCCTGCTTTTAGCCATCGCCGCTGGCAACAACCCATAGGGTGCGGGATTTAAGGAAATGCGACATTTTCCTTTGCGGCGCCGAAAAGCAAGCTCTACGAGTTACATACCCCGCGCGCCGACGCTCAAAGAAAAATGCCGCAGTGCTGCGCCTTCCTGCCTAAACATGATCCAGCTAACTACACGTGGGCAATTTGCTCTCACGATAAGCACAAGGCTAAGAGCCAACCAAAGCTTTGCGCCGGTAGCAGGAGCTTGTTACTCGATGAGATTGTCAGACAGCCACAGCCCTAGCAAGATAACGGGATGGTATAAGTCTTGCGAGAGTGCTTTACTGTCTTCGCGTACAACTCCCACAGCCTAATATGGATACCTCAATTCATTTCGCAGATGCAGAGGTGCATCCAGTTCGGACGCAGTCCGTGGGTGGAGTGTACCCTATGCGCTCACGCACGAAGTCGCATGTGAACAGGACTTCCGTAGATGCGAAGATTAGCGAACTGGAAGACGCGGAAGACGAGGATGCTGGTCTGCGCGATGAGCGCGATTTTAAACGCAGCCAGGTAAGGGCGTACACGACTGGTGCGAAACCAGCCTACTGACAGGACGCAGGTATTCAGTCTCACACAGATCCTCGTCCTCGCGTACCAATCTACCGGTGTCATCTATGGCGACATTGGGACATCCCCCCTCTATGTTTACTCCTCGACGTTTACAGAGGCTCCTACTCGAATCAACCTGCTTGGTGCTTTGTCGCTGATACTATGGTCTGTCACCTTGATGGTCACTGTCAAATACGTCTTGATTATTCTGCACGCCGACAACGATGGAGAGGGTGGTACATTCAGCACATACTCTCTCCTCTCAAAATATGTATGCTGCTCAAACTCACACATGATCTTCGGCCACTAATGCATGCAGGCGAACATTGCCAACAGAGATCCTCGTGAAGCTACCCTGATACGTGAGTGTGCTTCCTGCACTAGTTCCTCATCTATACTGACTCTTTTGGCAGGCATGCAGCGACACAATACCAATGATCTGGGCCGGTCCACGAGAAATATTCGCTCAACGATCGAAAAGTCCAAGTTCTTTCGCGGCTTGCTGCAGGTCATTGGCGTACTCGCCGTATCGATGGTCATGGCTGATGGCGTGCTGACTCCTGCTCAATCCGTCTTGGGCGCCGTACAAGGTCTCAACGTCGTGAAGCCCGACATCGAGAAGTCTACTATTATCGGTGTTACATGCGCTATTCTTGTTCTTTTGTTCGTCGTACAGCCGCTTGGTATTTCGAAACTAACGTTCGTCTTCTCACCCATTGTCATTTTATGGCTGGCCTTGAACGCTGGATTCGGTATATACAACTTGGCCAAGTAAGTATTCTTGTTGCATCATAGTACCCCTGACTAATAATCCTAGGCACGATCATACGATCTTGAAGGCTTTCAACCCTTTCTATGCGTTCGACTACCTGATAAGAAACAAGTATGAAGGATGGAGGAGCCTTGGGGGTATACTCCTCGCCTTCACTGGTGTTGAAGCTCTGTTTGCCGATATTGGAGCTTTCAGTCGTCGTGCGGTTCAGATCAGTTGGCTTGGATACGCTTATCCTTGTCTTCTCCTTGCCTACAGCGGTCAGGCTGCGTACATCAGTGTACACCCAGAGGCCTACTCCAACCCTTTCTATAACTGTGCTCCGCCGGGATGGCTCATTTTCTCGCTCATCGTAGCTATCGCGGCTGCCATTGTCGCGTCACAGGCTATGATCACTGCGACATTCCAGCTCCTTACCCAGATCATGAAGCTCTCTTACTTCCCCCAGATCAAGGTTGTTCACACTTCGACAACCTACCATGGACAGTTGTACATTCCAAGCATCAACTGGCTTCTTATGATCGGCACTGTCCTTGTTGCTGCCATCTACAACAACACAACATCCTTGGGTAATGCCTACGGTGTATGCGTAATGTTCGTCACGTTCTTCGACACGTGCATGGTCACGCTTGTTGCAATCTTGGTGTGGCGCATCAAACCATATTTCGTGCTTCTTCCGTGGCTTACTATCGCTGCTCTGGACGGCGCATACCTATCCTCGGCACTTACCAAAGTACCAGATGGAGCCTGGTTCACTATTCTTCTGGCCTGTCTTCTCGGATCCATATTTATTCTCTGGCGTTTCGGCAAAGAGCAACAGTGGGGTGCGGAAGCTAGCGATCGCTTCCCAACAACACACTTCGTCAAGACATTACAAGACGGCCGCCTTGAATTGACCGAGATGTTTGGCAGCAAATCAGTCGGAACCATGGAGGGTTTCGGAATCTTCTTCGACAAAGCTGGCGAAACGACCCCTATTGTCTTTAGTCAGTTCATTCGAAAGCTGGTGACGATCCCCGAAGTTATCGTTTTCTTTCATCTTCGGCCGCTAGAGGTACCTTTCGTTGCCCCGGATAATCGGTACAGCGTATCACGACTAGCAATTCCCAACTGCTACCGCCTAGTAGTACGCCATGGGTATATGGACGAAGTCATCACACCAGATTTGGCCTCCCTCATCTATGAGAAGGTTCGCAACCACATCGTCGCACGAGCTCTTGAACGCGAAGGTGAGATACCTACGAAGGCTACAGGCGTTCAGACTGAAAAGAACGGTACCGTTGAGACTGTTGCTGGAAGCGGCATATCCACTCCAACACGCAGCTCAACGACTTCTGCGCGCTTAGAAGCCCTCGAACGCGCATACAACCACGAGGTATTGTACATCATCGGCAAAGAAACGATGAAGATCAAGGTTGGCACAAACATCATCAGACGGTTCTTCCTAAATGCTTTCTTGTTCATTCGGGAGAACTCGAGGGCGAAGATTGCTAGTTTGAGTGTTCCGATGGACAAGGTTATTGAGGTTGGTTTTGTTAAGGATGTCTGATTTAGGCATTCGTTACCTGGCAATATGAGGCCAGCAGATTTCATCATATACGGGTGCGTTTGCATACGAATCCATATAAAAAATATTGAACTCACAATACTATGAGATATTGGTTTCTGTCTTCTCGATTGCAAGTGCTAACGTATTACATTGGTGTGCCTTCCAAAACGTCATTCGGTCTCTTTACGCTCCGCCTCATTCTGACCAATTTCACGTGGCTCTTTTCGACCCCCAAAGGCTTGTCTTCATGCGCAGTTTGGCGAAAGTGGTATCGCTTGTGCGCACCAACATTGCCAAGGCGGAGGCGCCGTTACCTTGCCGCGTGTCACGTCGTCACGGTCATAGCTGTCCACTCCGCTCCGCTCACTCCGTCATCTTCAGCAGTTCCTCGCGTTCCGAGAACGCGTATCGCCCGAGATGGTGGGTTCTAATTACTCGTGATCAGCGTCTACATTTCCAAAGATGGCGACAAAGACATGTGGCTTTACAAGGTCCACGTTGGATCGTGCCGCATGCCGTGCCGTGGCGTGTATCCCCGTTGCGCCAGACAAATCAGCGTGCCGGATGAGGCGTGATAATGTTCTTTTATTTCTTTTTTGCATGAGTGCGTTCTTGGGCATCGTGTAGAGGTTTGGCCCACGTGCAGGCGTACCTGAAATGAGTCCCTTCGCCTCCGCCTTGCCTAGTGGACTGTTTACTCCCTTCTCCGGCGCTGACTCCCAAATCTGCTATCTCAGCATGGCGATAGATCTCTATGAATGGGCGTATGTTGTTGCTTACATTACCTTCTCTATCGGATTGCTGTCATCTATCGCGCGTTTCTACTCTCGCGCACTGATTTTAAAGTCATGGGGTTGGGATGATACAGCTTCGTGTGCTGTACTGGTACACTATGGCCAACCTACGAAGTCTCTACCACTGCTTACTGTGCCAGATCGTTAGTATTGTCCACCAAGTTGTTTTGCAAATGTTCCTAAATCTGGGATGTGGCAAGTGAGTTGAAGTGTGAAAGTTTGAGGCATGACGAAGACTTCCCGTCTGACTGCAACAGGCCAGGCAATCTAAATTGCAGCTTTCAGTCCCTTGATCTTCTTCGGGTAAGTCTTCAGCATAGCACCATCTCAAGAGATACAAGAGCTAAATCAGCACACAGACAGCGTTTATTGAAGAGATTGTTATCTACGGCGCGCATTCAGTCATCAAGATTACCTTCCTTTTGTTCTACCTACGGCTCTCTGTCGACCTGGTGTTTCGCAGCCTAGTTTATCTTGGCTTTGCACTCGCATTTTCCGTCTTTCTATCTAGTCTGTGAGTCATATGATCCTACCTTTCACAGCGTCGCAGACTGATAGTATCTAGGCTTGTGACAGTCTTGCAATGCGTACCTTTTGAGAAAATCCTCAATCCAATGTTGCATCCCGAGGTTACTTGCATCGACATGCGTACTATCATGCTCACTCCACCTATTCTTGTACGTATTGACTCTCAGCACCGTTGCATTATAGTCCGTCGTCTCTACATACTGCGTAAATACTAACGCATAGCTCTTTAGAACATCTTTATGGACTTCTATATCATCTGCCTCCCGATACCCTCCGTTCTGTCGCTCCGGATGAACTTACGTCGCAAAGTCACTGTCATCTCCGTTCTCGCCTTTGGCATAATCTCCGTCACTGTCGCGATCCTCCGCCTACCAGTCCTTATATCGGTGTCCTCGATGAAGACAGATGCCTCGATAGATGTAGGGAAGATGATCATTGTTGCATCGTTCGAGGTCCAATGTGCCATTGTTGCGGCTAACCTGCCTGCGATGAAAGCACTTTGGACTAAGGTCAGAGGTAAATACAGCTCAGCCGGCAGTAATGAGCCATCCTTGGAAAAACCATACTCCCTCTCTTTTATACGTAGAGGCAAGCGGGGCGAGCGAAACAAGCACTCTTCTATGGGATCCATTACGAGGCTGGAGAATGGTCTTACCACTAACGAGTCGCAAGAAGAGCTCGTCGAAGGCAAAGTCAAACAACAAGGATTAGCAACAGGTGAGATTGAGGAGCTGCATTTCACCAACTCAGGAGGTTTGCGACAGCAGCCGACCGTCACTATGACTGATGTATATGCGCAAGGCTCACCTAACATGGCACTACAACAAGCAAGTTGCTCCGGAAATTTACAATAGACTTGGGTTATGACTCGAAATGCTGAAGTACTATATACTTTGATCTTGAAATCGCAGCCCTTAATGCTTCACCTAGTGTTGTGGCCATGACTCCTTGGAGAAGTTTGTAGGATTCCGTCCTTGTCCGCGCTAACAGGGCATAGAGTATCGATTGGGTTAGAATTGCATCCCACTATTCCTAATTGATTCGAGATCCGAGACCAAGACTCCCATCCCACTTCGCTGTGCCGCAGCATATCTTCCGGCTCGCGTAGAATCTACGGCTCAAGGTTTTGTACAAACCAAAGTAGCTCTCGGGTATTCTTACAACGTTGATATGGACTGGCTATTAATCATTTCTCTTGCAAGCGTCAGTCTCTTGACCCTGCTCACATGGCGTCGGTACTTCTCAGCGATCAGCGATATTCCTGGGCCGTTTGCTGCATCGTTTACCCGCCTTTGGCATATGCACCGTATCCTCAAGGGTGATCAAAATCTCGAGCTGATACGACTACACCAACAACATGGTAAGCTTATACGATGTGTAAGGCTATCTGTCGTTGGACATCCGCTCACAGACCTTATAGGTCACTTCGTTCGCATATCATACGACGAAGTAAGCGTCAGTCACCCAGATGCCATTGCGAAGATCTTATTAGCGCCCCTTCACAAGGTATTATGCAGACAAGACCTCTGATCGAATGGATGTTTGACATGATCACAAGGCCAATTGGTACAAAATTCATGCTCTGCCAGACTACCGCTTTCAATCGCCCATGAGTACCACAGACCCCAAGAAGAAGATCGAAAAGTCAAAGCACATCGCTGCGGCATACACCGTGTCTAATTTACTCCGTTCAGAAGAGCACATCGACCGCACCTTTGAGTCTTTCCTCGAATGGATGAACAAATATGCAACAGACAAGAAACCAATGGACCTCAATACCTTCATCTCATACGCAACCTTTGACGTCATTGGTGAAGTCGTCTTCTCGAAGTCTTTCGGCTTCCTTGACCAAGGCAAAGACATCGGCAACTCAATCGAGAATTCCCTTGCTCTGAATGCATACGTTGCAGTAGCGGGCTACTTCCGCTGGATCAACATTGCGCTGCTGGCCAACCCAATCATGACCTGGCTCTCCATACTACCAATGGGTCATTTATTCGACACCGTTAAAACCGTATTGGCGGAAAGGGAAAAGAATGAAAACGCCCGTTATGATGCTGTTCAATACTGGTTCAAGCAACATGAGCGACATCCGGATAAATTCACCATACGGGAGATCAATACCCAGGCACTTGCTGCCGTAGGAGCAGGATCTGATACCGTTGCTGCAGGAATACAGTCATTTATCTATCACATGATTCGTCACGGTGACGCATGGGAGCGTGCTCATGACGAGGTTGCTGAAGCAGTCAAGAAGGGGTTGTGCAGAGATCGGGTGGTGTCTTATGCTGACGCACAGCAACTTGGGTGAGACGGCAGTCCTCAAACTCTACTCGTGAAGCTGTTTCAGACTGACGATGAACAGTTTTGTGCAAGCCTGTGTGAAAGAGGCTCTTCGGGTCTTTGGTCCCGTACCTATGGGTCTTCCTCGTATTGCGCCCAAGGGAGGGTTGACTATTGGCCATCGTACTATACCTGAAGGGACCATTATTTCAATCAACTGTGAGTATAGAGACCTCGAGCACCCCATCTGCTAGCTGAGCTGATTCTTTATCCTAAATCTCAGCATGGGTTATACATTATTCAAAGGAGATATGGGGTGCCGATGCGCATGTCTTCAGACCAGAGCGGTGGTTGGAAGAAGACAGTGGTACAAGGGAAAAGTCTTGGATGCCTGTGAGTAGAGCTGCTTGTTTCGTATCGACCTGTTCTTTGAGGCTGGACATACATGCTGACTGGTCTGCATAGTTTGGAGCAGGTTACGGTGGTTGTCCAGGACAAAACATTGCCAAGATTGAGCTCGCCAAGATTGCGGCGACGCTGGTAAGGGATTACAATATCAAACAGGTGGATTCGACGCAAGACTGGCAGTGGAAAGCTTACTTTACGGTTGTTCCGCATTCATGGCCGGTGTATGTTGAGAAGAGAAAGTGATATGGGGGTACAGGTATGAAAATGTTCATTAGTGTTCGTGATGGGGGTATATAACCACAACAAAAGCCAAACTCCAAACTCCCAAACCCAGCGGATAAACTCCAAATCGCCCTCAACAAGGGAATTACACACTACATCCACCGATCCATAGTCCCAAACGGCGGATACTTCAATCCACTTGGTCTTCTCCTCCTCATCCACCTCCCACCGCCACTTGCACTACTCCCCACGGTACTACTTATGCAATCCCAGTCCCACGGGGTTTGTTTACCCAAGACTTCGTAACCGGCAACTCTGCGTAAGGCACCTCGCGTTCGCTCTTGTTGGACGCTGCGGAGAGCCGCGCGGGTGCTTTCTCGGACTGTTGTTGTACTTGTTCTCGGCTCAACGATTTGGGTATGGTAGGTGGGTTGACGAGGGCGAGGGCGAGAAGTTGGCGGGCAGCGAGATGGTTCGCGGGTTGGTGGCGGAGGACAAGGGGCTGAAATAGTGCGTTGTCTGCCTGGGCCTCGAAGGCGAACTTCTGTAATGTCGGACATACTAAGGTCGTGGTGGTGGTGATGGCCGTGAATCGGATGCATGTGCAGTGGGTGCAAATGCGGATGTCTGTGGTGATGATTCAGGTGTGCGTCAAAGTGCGCGTGATGGTGTCCGCCCTTTTCATCCACCTCGAGGGTTATGTTAGGCACTTTGACGCGAACGTCGCTGAAACGCGGCGATGCTGGACTACGATGGACGCGAACGAGTTCCTCCGCACATGAAGAGTCTGTAGAAGGGCGATGTTGCTTTCCCCCTTTGGCTGGTGTTAGGGTAAACCAGCACATGTCTGCTGCGTGTCGAGGATATATCGACACCAGAATCGATGCGCGTGGGCAAGGGGTGAAGTGCTGTCGGCGGGGCAAGACGATGGTAACCAGTATAAGAAAAGGCTGGTGTGTAGCTTGAAGGCGGTCTCGAGGGCTGATAATACGAATAAGGTGTTGTATCGTATCGGGGCATTCAGAAGACTTGAAAGAAGACAAGACAATGGAAACAGGCGGTACTTTAACCTACGACTGACACACAATAGACATATGATCAAATCCTTTCTTACTTTTTCTAACGAGGCGTCCTTGTATGTATATAACACTGCCCTCAAAGATCATTCGTTACCATCATGCACGCAGCGCCGGACTTGCACGCGGGCCGCACATCTGCAAGTAGTGAAGGGAACAAATGAGACAGTGGGTAAGAACGGTGCCTGCATGATTGTTGATGGTGCCTGCATATAGGCAATGCAAACATGTGTTCAAGTCCGCTGGGCGAGTGACGGAGGCTGATGAGGGTGGAAGATGAGCGCGTGGGCGGGCGCGATGTCTTGCCTGACCTCAAGTCTCAACGGGCGGCATGTGACGCTTGAGCCCCAACGCCCGTTCGTGCCTTGGTTGATGAGAGGACTTGCACTACTGGATGACGTATGTAAGAATGCAACATGGTCGCGCAGAAACTCTTCCTACTGTGTCTCCCTTCTCTTTGTCTTGGAAAAAAAGTCGGTGCTATTGCGATAGTCAACGACGTTGCGCGACGAACGCGCAGTGCTCATCGTGGCTGCTACTGTGCAAGTGGCGGTGTCTGCGAAGTCAATAGCGAAGAGAGAACGGTGTGATAGAGGCCAGAGCAACTAATGTGGCTCTTTTGCTCTACTAAAGCCTACGCGCAAAGGTGGTTGAAAAAGCAGCAATGTGTGGTGTAGTAGACAGTGGCCTGGATGCGACTGCCCCAGTGGTGAAGGCAACAGCTAGGACGCGGCTACGTCTTGGCATTACCGACAACGCCGGAGCTTCGAGCTCACATCACCACTCCAAACAACCAAACCACCCCACCGCAACCACTCGATCACGTCTCCGATACCCTCTGATCTCCGCCAGTACACATCGCCGCAACTATGGATTCATTAGTGTCGCAGTATAGCCGACCGGCGTACACAGAGGAAGGCCCGTCAGAGGAAGAGCAGTTGCAGCTCTACAGCGGCACCCCAGAGCTGTCCCTCAAGTTTGCCCTACCACCAGTCGCTCAGGTGCGCTCTATCATGCCCGTACAATAGAGAGCGCGACGTGCTAACAACAACACAGTCAGCATCATGGCTCCGCGCAATGACGGACGACTACTCCAACCCCAACTGCCCCATCAAGATTGCCCACGGTACCACAACCCTCGCCTTCCGTTTCAAGGGCGGCATCATCGTAGCCACCGATTCGCGTGCAACAGCTGGAAACTGGATAGCCAGTCAGACAGTCAAGAAGGTCATTGAGATCAACAACTGCTTGCTAGGAACCATGGCTGGTGGCGCTGCTGTACGTACAATCACCACTACGGCAAGAAGACAGAAAGGAACCTGAATACTGATGCAAGATAGGACTGCCAATACTGGCTCGCATACCTAGGCATGCAATGTCGCCTCCACGAACTCCGACACAAGCGCCGTATCTCCGTCGCTGCGGCCTCAAAGATCCTAGCCAATCTTGTCTACTCATACAAGGGCATGGGTCTAAGTATGGTACGTCTCCCCCATTCCTCGTCAACCCATCTACTTTGCTGAACTAACACTCTACGCTCAGGGAACCATGTGCGCCGGCGTAACCCCACAAGAAGGCCCCGCCCTCTACTACATCGACAGCGACGGAACCCGTCTAGCCGGCAACCTCTTCTGTGTCGGCTCCGGTCAGACATTCGCATACGGTGTGCTTGACGCACAGTACAAGTACGACCTTGAGGACGACGAGGCGCTCGAGCTTGGCCGAAGGAGTATTCTCGCTGCTACCCACAGGGATGCGTACTCTGGTGGTTTCATCAACCTGTACCACGTCAAGGAGGATGGCTGGGTCAAGCACGGCTTCAACGACACGAATCCCATCTTCTGGGAGACGAAGCTCAAGAAGGGCGAGTTCTCCAATGTTACTAGTGCGTTGGAGTAGGCGACTGCAAAGTCACTGGAGGGCCTGAAAGTCACCCAATAGTAGCGCTGGGCGGATCAAGGCAGATGGCAGCTCATGATTGCTGCAGTGTAGCATTGAAACAATATTACGACTAGATATGTCCAATGAAATGACGGAACACAAGGAGAATATACCCAGAATGCATACACTGTGACTTTTCCTAGTAGAGTGGTAGCGCAGATTACTACATATCACCTTGAGAATACATGTTGGTATATGGGTATGTCATTCACTAAAATCGAGCTTCTTTGGGTCAAATTTCGTTCGAACATGTTTCCATTTCCATGATAGGTCGATTAGTTCCAATCATCTATGATACCATACATGCATCCCGCCTGCCGCTAACAATAAGAAAGCACAGTCCACGCTGGCTGACAAACGCCTCCTTCCCCTCCTTGTGACTGGAAAAGAAAAAGAAAAGAAAGGTTGCAATATACACTATCCCAGTGTCAAGTAGTTGGGGTATAAGCAAAGACGCCGCGCAAATCCATTCATCCCGTTACAGAGATATGTTGTAAACGCCGGTGTCCCAAATCAATGCAGAACAAGGAAAGTCGAAATTGTGAAAACTCAAAGAACGAGAGGAAAGGAAAAACGAAAGGAGAGAAAGACCTTTGGTGATAGTGGCGTGCAAGACAAAGAGACGGAAGGGTCAACGACTTCGTCTTCTCAACCCCAAATCCTCTTGCTGCAGTTGCTTGATGAGATCGAAGCTCGCTTGATCAAGATTTGGGTCAATCATGTTGAGCATGTTGCCCATGTCCATACCTCCATTCATGCCCACACTGATGCCCATGCCCGTGCCCATGCTTATACCATGTTCGAGCTTGATCCCGCCAGTCCCGTTGTCTCGCCGCTTGCTAGGCGTTGATTTAGGCGTCTTACTGTTGCGACCAGCGCGCGAGGGCGTGTGGCTAGGTTTGCGGCCTGACGACTGTTGTGTACGAGCTTTGTAAGAGCTGTTGAGCGTGGGTGTGATGGGTGGGGGAGGGAAATCAGAGTTTGTGGTAAAGTTGTTGTAGTTGTTTGTAGCGGGGGAGGTTATGTAGGGACTGTAGGTATGGTGGTTGCTGTTGTTGGTATTTATTGGAGGAGATGCTGCGGAGACGTGTCTGGGCGAGACCGGTGATGATGGGTGGCGGACGGCGTGATTTTCTGGTCCAGGCTTCGAGACGTAACCGTTTGTATGCGTCTGTGAGGTGTCGTTGTGAGGCGGCGGACCCGGTGTGAGCGGCTCTACGCTGGGACCGTGTACTTCTCCGTTATGTCCTGTGAGCTCCATTCCGTCCATAAGCATCGGGTCGATCGGTTGATACTCGACTGATGACATGACGGTATCGCCATTCGTGTGATACGAGTTGGTCATATCCACATGATTGTAGTCGCCATTGGTATACGCTTGGAGGGCAGGGTCAACAGGCGCGAGATCATCATTTTCGGGGCTTTGGTCCAACGCTTGCTGGGCGGAGTAGGCCATCTCCTGGAGAAACGACGAACCACTGCTAAATTGATTTGGCAGTGAATGTCGTGTGTGTATGTCTCCATGCAGATATTCGTCATCGTATGAAGACTCGTGTCTCATCCGTTTCGCTCTTGATTCTGTGTCTTCGTCGCTGACCCTTCGTTTCTTTGACGCAGAACCACGTGGAATGGGAATCTCGTTGGCCTTGACAGGATCAACGTTGCCGTATTCGTCATGTATGCAGCGACGCTTGCTCTTCCTACAATCAGCACACGCCTTGACTCTGCCAGATTTGAGGGCATAAGGGTCGCCGTTCACGTCAGCCATGATTGGGCCGCCGTTCACTGGCCCATTGGCGGCATTCGATAAACTATCTGCCACGGAGTGATCACTAAGCCTACGTTTGACAGATATGCCATATGACCCAGAAAGGTCGATGGTGTGCATGCCCGGCTTCGATGTGTCGATCAGCTCATCTTTATGTTTGCATCTGATTCGGCGTTTCCTACACGCATCGCATGCAACACGTTTCGGGCCAAGCTGAGATGTTTTCGGTGTCGTAATGTGCGGGTTGCTTGCCGATGGTCGCAGAAAACCAGTCAGTGGACCGGAAGTGACAGAGACCATATCGAAGTGGTTGTAATTCTCCACCTCTACTGGGGGTGAAGGCTCGGGGATGACGTCAGAGGCCTTTATACGGGCCGAAGACCTCTCTGCCGTTGCTCGTAAGGCTTCATGGAGCGTCTCGCGCTCCAGCCTTTTCACTTGAGCAGCACTCAGCTTCTTTTCAGTGGTCTCCATTACTTCGGGCAGGACAGCATCGGAGAAAGCCCAAGATGGTATAGTCTCGTTCCCACGCTTCCATGCAATCCACATCGCAAAGCGTCGCGCTAGCACGAGCGGCTCGCCATGGCCCTTAGGGATCGATTTATTGACAGCACTTCGGGTTTTTTGTGGCACATCAATCTTTCCCTCGGTGATTAGGACTGTTCTCCAAATGTAGTTCAACAGATCGCTCAGCCCTTCCAGTTCGTGCTTGGAGTAGTATCGTTTGTTGTAGTTTTGTGCGCCAAGGTGTGAGTTGTGACCAAACTTTTCCGGCTCGCAGTAGATAGGTGTCGACCGCTTAAACTGCTCGCCGCTTTGTAGGAGCTCTTGGACTGGACCGGGAATAGGGTCCTCTTCCAGATATTTGATGGCGGTCAACCACATTATCTTCTGGAAAAAGGGATATCGGAACTGAGTAGCCACCTTGGTGTTCTTCTCGATCTCCAAGATCTTTATCTGCATACCGTAATGTATGCGTGTAAGGAAGTTGCCTCCAATGACGAGGCTGTCCTCGGGAGTCCAGACCGCGTGGATCCAACCGGAAGGAATCAACATGGTATCTCCAGGATACAGATCCACTCGGTAACATTCTTTGACTTGTTTGCCAAGCCAGTCGTGCCCTTGATTCGGTGAGAGACACCATTCTTCGTACTTTTTGAGGTTTTGCTTTGTTGGTGGGATAAAGAAGAAGACCTTCTTTCCTTTCACGATGTGGTAGTACACGGATGAACCACCAAAGTCGATGTGGAAATCGGTGAAGCAGTCCGCGACAGACATCAGACAGTAAAACTGCACTGGTGGCGGCGCAGACTTGTCATCTTCTCGCCACACGGCGTCCTGTAGATCCATGTCTCGAACAGCCTTGGGTCGTCTGATCAGCTTTCCCAGCTTACTTCGAGATACCTCCAGACTGATGACGTTCCGCACGGGCTTTTCTCCTTGTTGCTCGTAGTAGTCTGCCCACTTTCCCATAGTCCACTTCTTGCCTTCGCCTTCTTGTGCTTTGACATCAATTACAGGGACAGGTTCATTTGGACCGTACAGTTCCGCTACACGGCGAACGGTCAAACCCTTAGGTATGACCATGTCAAGGCTGTCCTGACCGTCATCGGCGACTGTCTCGTACTCGTATTGCAGTTTTGGCCCATCTGCCTGCCCATCGATGTCTTCCATAGCAACATCCTCCTCTGTTGTCGCCGGCGAAGTGTTCATGTCGCCAGGGATAACAATGGGCTCCTTGAATCCATTCATCTTCTCGAGAAAGTCACCAGTGATGAGTTGCGCCGGCATGCGCGCAAACGTCTCCGGCGTGAACTCGATGTCGCCATTCTTGAAAGCTGCGATGTAGTGATGTTCCGGATTGTCGTCAGATGTTTTGAGAACACCCTCGTTTAGACCGGCGTAGTCAACAGTTGTGTGGGCTCTGACGGATTTACGAACCTCTGGACCATGTTAGAACTATAAGCCCAATGTGCGTCGGTAGACCTACTCGTTGTTTCACCAAACTTGGGTCTACACGGTTCGCAGTAGAATTTGTTTACCTCCCGTACCTCCCGTTCGCTGTTGAAACCAGCGCAAGGGTAGTGATACCATTCTTTGCAGCCATCGCAGCCGATCCATTGCTCGCCGTCGCCGATTTTGATGGGTGATTCGGACGATTTGCAGTGGGCGCATATGAGTTCTGGTTCGACCGGAGCGGGTGCGAGCTGAGCGACTGCATCAACAGGAGTTGGGACGGCTGTCTGCGTACCGAGAGGTAGCGATTTCGCACGCGAGTAGTTCGATAGAGGCGGGCCGTCTGGCAGTGCTGGCGCCGACGTCGAGAAGGAATGGCGACGGGCTTGTGAGGGCGAGGTTTGTGCTGGTTCAGCCTGAGATACGGTAGGCACAGAGCCGTCCGCTGCGACGGTAGCAGACTGATCGGCAGGCAGACTCAGTGGCGACTGGAGTTGGTCTGGGGCTCCAGAAGTACTTGTAGACGTCGCGTTCTTCGGTTTGGGCGTCGACTTCTTCCGTTTGCTACTTGCTGAGGGTGTGCTACGAGATGCGCGCCCTTTCCCTTTGGGCAAGCTCTGGGCCTTTTTTGCCTTTGGCTCTTCTGCGGGAACGACATCTTGCATCTCGACCTCAGGCTGTGTAACCACGATGAGAGCTTCGTCAGGCGGTGTATGTGTTTGCGCAGCCGAGGTGGTCTGGGCCACATCGGAGGGTGCCTCTAAAGGGTGTTTCATGTCAACGGGTGCCTGCGTAGGCTGGCTGTAGTGGTTCGGCGGCGGCGGCGGTGGTGGCGCGACGTAAGGATTTGCAGGCTCTTGCTTGTGATTTATCTGGTGTGGAGGTTGTTCAGCCGGCGCTGTTTGTGGAATGGTCAACCGCTTTGCTGTCGAGGGCGGGGAATGCGCAGTTTGTGTGGAAACTTTGAAGAAGTCCAGCAACAGCTGAGCTTCAACAAGGCGGTCGTCTGGTACGCTACTGTTTTGGTGCATGCGACTGCCGCCATCTGCCATCTGCTCGACGTTGTAGGACCAGCCCGGGTTATGACTCGTAGCGGGTCTCGACTGAGACTGTCCATACTGGGGAGACCCATAGACTTCGGAGCGCGCTCTCTTCGCAGGCCGCTCGTCGAAAGGATATGAAGCGTCTCTGGACAGAGCGTGTGCTGGGGCGCGTTCGCCGGTCAGGTAAGGGACGGTCGTGGGCGAGGCGGCCGAGAATGAAGCATGGCGCGAATACCCAACATATTGCGGAATGGCATGCTGGCGTGTCACAGCGACATCCGCGAGGGCCTCAATGGGCGATGCCTGCGCCAGAGAATACTGCGGCGGAGGAGGTGCGGAGCGCGCCGAGTGCCCACACGTCACCACCGGCGATGGGTGCTCCGCAGACGCGCGCGCGCCTTCTCCGAGAGCAGATGCATTTTTCAGAGCGTCATTGATATGCCTTGTGCTTGATAGCGACGCGGTTGGGATATTCGCATTGCCGGCGGGGTGCGCTGTCGAGGGCTCTGTCGGCGGCAGGATGGGCGACAGCGGCTCGTAGACGGGCGGCGGAGGGGTAGGGGCGCGCGCCGAAGCTCGCCTGTACTGCTCCTTGAAGGATGAGATTCGTCTCATGGTGGTTGTGTGTGCGGAGGTGGGTGGGCTAGGGCCTCGGAGGTGCGAGGTACTCGTCGGTTTGGCGTCTCAGACAGATGCGCGGCTATGGAGCAGCGGCACTAAAAGCTGAGAGACGGGCGAAGGAGCAGTCGGGCATGGGCATGTCCTGCTTCGAGGCGACGGTTGGCGCGGTCGAGGGTGAACGAGTGTAGGGGGTGGTTTGGTAGGAGAACGATGGTGGTGGAGAAGTCGGCGGGGATTGTATTGGGAATGTTGCGACCGGACACCCAGACAATCGCTGAACCAGAGACTCGGCCACGCCAGCGCCGGCAACACACGCAGAGCGCCGTATGTAGAGAGGGCAAGTTGCGGCGGCTCGACACGCAGCTCTAAGCGCATGTGTCTGTAGTGTGCGAATGGTTGGATGGCTATGGGAGCTCTCCGAGTCGACAAGCCGCTTCATTCATTCGCTGCAAGTCCGCGTCTCCGATTCGAGCGCTCAATTATTTGGCACCAGCTGCTACAGCTGCGCAGCTGCGTTGCCTTAGGCCTTGTGCGACAGCTACTACGTCTCCTCCATCATCATCTATACAACCTCTTCATGAGCAGACAGCGTCGCCCTTGCAGTGCATTCACAGCACCATCTCGGCGTTGCATGAGTCGCTCCTTCTTCCCGATCATATGCGTTCGCCACGTGATGCGGCCTTGCCAACGCTCGGACGTGCACGCCATCCATGATTGATCCCGCATGTTCACCAACTCAACTTCCCACTACAACCTCCCCACCACCCGCCCAAGCCTACACACCCAGCAGCCCGTCCTTTACCGTCCATCTCAGTCGCCAAAGTATGAGTCGAGGAGGAAAATTGGCACCGGAAGTCAACCGGTATGTCCGCCTTCTCCGCATCGCGTGCCAATCGCAAGGCTGGTGCGACCAACTCACACGACATCTGCGCTAACATGTCATTTCTCCAGAGCTCTCTTCGTAAAGAATCTGAGGTCAGTCAGAGCTGGAGCTATCTGATTTGCCATGCGCTGACCCTTCTGCAGCTTCAACGTCACCCCAGAGGAACTCTTCGACCTCTTTGGCAAGTTCGGCCCCGTGCGGTACGTCGTCTTCCTTGTGCGCTGGCGCATCTTGCCCGCTACCGTCGCTCCAGGTCACTAACTCCAGCACAGCCAGATCCGCCAAGGAATCGCCAACAACACCAAGGGCACAGCCTTCGTCGTCTATGAAGATGTAATGGACGCAAAGTCGGCTTGCGACAAGCTGAACGGCTTCAACTTCCAGAACAGATACCTCGTCGGTAAGTAGCAGGCGCGTCTTCGAGACAGCAACCACTGACAGTCGCAGTATTATATCACCAGCCAGATAAGATGCTCAAGGCCGCAAATGATCTCGCCGAGCGCCAAGAGAACTTAGAAAAGCTCAAAAAACAACACGGTATTGATTAGGGGTGCGAGAGGCCTCAGGAACAGGTGACATCGCGCGAGCGAAGTAAAGACAAGACTCCTGTGGGCCTCAAGACCGATAGCGTAATCTCTAGACGCTCTTCGAGCCGCGGCGGCGATACGCGCACCTCGACGACCAATTCGATTTTAGCGGAAAAGACCGGCGCTCCTTCTCCGACGACTACAACTACTGCATGTCGCAGCTGCGACTGGCGTACTGTCAAGCAATCGTTGAAGGGCTTATTCAAGTCGGCACACGGCGTTAAGAGGTCATGACACGTTCACGAACCATGACGGATTGCTGCATTTTCTTGGAGTGGGATCTTTACTTAGGATAGCCGGTAAAGCATAGGGCTATATCAGATTGCAACAGGCCAGGCTCCTTCTACACCGGACAGTCGGTACGAGTCCGACTGGGAATCAAGGAATTCTTGTTCCAGCATTTGCATTAGATACAGTGATTCTACTAACATATTGAATATGCAAAGGTGACAATTCGAGGGCCGTCGCACCTTCCGCTTTCGGCTGCCATCTACGAATCAACACAGCCACTGCTACGGAACTAATACGGCCATTTGGCCGAGCTCATGGTTTGCGCCAACCCAGTCGAATCCCTTTTCGAAATCGCCAAGTCCGAACTCAGTCACGGCATCGTGACCCCTCTGTTTTCCAAGCTTCAACACTCCCGCTTCAGCCATCTTGATAATTTCTTTCACATCCTGTCCCCAGTACATGGCATGACCATGAACTGTAATACTCTTGTACACCAACTCCATCATCGATATCTCGACATGCTTCATGGCGCCACCACCAAAGCCCATGATGCATACTCTTCCATACTGCTTGACTGCACCGAAAGCTGCACGAACATGCGTACTTCCCTCAGCTCCCGTGGGCGTCATTTCGAGGACAGCATCCACGGAGCCATACTGCTGCAGATTTTTGATATCCGTGTCGACGTCGTTCGTCCGTGGAATCCTTGAGACGAATTGAGGATGCGCAGATACTAAACGCTCAAGCGCACCCTCGTTTCGTCCTGTCGCTAAGACAGTAGCACCCATCGCAACTGCCACGCCCACAGCCGCACCCGAGAAGATACCCGTAGCAGGCGTGACAATGATCCTCTCCCCGGCAGTCAGCCCAATGCCTTTGAGTCCACTGTATGCAACGACATCCACGCTTAACTGCACCAGTTCGGGAATCGTATATCCCAACTCTTTACAAAGCCGATTCTCATTCAGCGCCCAAGTCACTTCCAAAGGCGCTTTCGCATATTCGGAAAACGTGGCATACCGCCAGTTCTCGGCAAAAAGCTTCTTTGATCCTTCACTGGAGCCTTCCATTGCGCCCCAGAAGATCCACGTATCTGGATCGTCGCGAGCGCGAATAAATGGCTCCAGTAGAACGAGCTGGCCGATGGGTAGTGATGTTGTGTCTGGTCCTATAGCAGCGACTCTGCCCACGGCTCGGCCACCGGGAGTCATAGGCACGGGGTAAGTGAAACCGGCTTCTCCAGCCAGGATACCTGGAGTCTGATGTTGAAGGAGGTTGGCGAGAATCTTGACGACGACGGAACCGGGTCCAGGTTGGGGGGTTGAGACCTCTTTGAGGACGAGGGGACCGTTCTTGGTCTCTTGAAAGAGGGCCTTCATGGTCGGGGGAATGGGAGCAGAAGACATGCTGGGATATAGGTAAGAGTGGAACTTCTGATGGTCTGAAAGATTTGAATGAAGAAGGGGTTTGAGGTTGGTATCTTTTCTACAGTTTCTCCATTCTTTCTGGTTGCGCGCAATCGTACTTATACTTTTCCAACACTACGTACAATCCTTCTACTATGGCCATCTAACCCGTCCCGTTCCAGCCTACCGAGCTCTTTCCTGCATAGCGACACGCCGCCCCCTCTCGGAGTTTACGAATATCAGCTGCTTGCCGGACTTTGGTACAGTCCGACATGGAATTTGCGACGCAAAATGCGAATACATACTTAGGCATGTCATTGTCGCTCACCTCGCTGTACAGCCAATCAGAATGACGATGACTGCTTTTATACGAACGCCGGTTAGACCAGACTCTTAGCGCGGAATCCTTTAGGCCCTCATTGTATGCGCCACGACCTCATCGCTTACGCCCTGCTGCCACCGGTGATGAACAAGGCTAAACTCCGATGCCCGCTGTATATAACATGCGGAGAGACACGGACGCCATGACATGTCTCTGCGCAACACGAACGCGGGTTAGATTCGTTCGCCTCGCCCCTGTCTTGCCAGTCTTGCCAGTCTTGCCAGTCTTGCCAATCCACTCTTAGCCGTTGATCATGCCAGCCATCGTATCCAAACGTGGGACTATGATAGAACGGAAGAGACGGGTCCATGCGAAGTCAAGAAAAGGGTGTGAGAATTGCAAACTGAGACGAGTCAAGGTTAGTCTTCGTCTATGACGATCCTTCGAGAATGCTTGAACTGGGTCGGACTGGGCTGACGGAATGTACCATGGGAATAGTGCGATGAAACGAGACCACGGTGCGAAAAATGCAAGAGCTACGGTGTAGTTTGTGACTTCAGTGGCGAAAAGGGCGATTTAGATGTACGTATGATGGGTGTAGGAAGAGTTGATTTCGACGCGGCGATTGTGAAGCCAGGGGCGATCAATAACGTGCCGTCAAATGCGCTGTCGAATGACTGGACAAGCAGCAATCTTGGCACGCCGTGGTGTTCTGTATCGATGAACAGCACCTTGGCTTCTATGATTGAGAGTTCTCTCCAATCCGGGTATTCAGGTTCAGACGTATGCTCGGGCCCTGGTGCTGCGCTAGGAACTGCCAATTCGTCTTGGGAATTCTCAGAGACTCATCTGGAGATTCTTACGAGGTTCCAAAGTCGGACGTCTCTGACTGTTGGAGGTATGGATCACAGTTTGGTACGAAGTAGCCTTCGGCTGACTGACCCTATCTAGATGAGAGAATGGCCCCAGCATACAGGGAAATAGTATGTGAACTCGCGTTCAAAGTACCTCCAGCCTCCCTGTACGCAGCCATGAAGCAATGCTAACTATACCCAGCACCCCTTCCTGATGCACATGATCCTCGGCTTGACTTTAATGCACGACTCATCGCTTTCTCTTCCTTACTCCACTTCCCAATCCGCAACGCTCCAGCGCAAGTCTCTCTATCACTGGGACCAAGCGACCACTCTCTACCACCGTATACTGAATGGCCCCATATCACCTTCTCACCGCGACGCTATCTGGGCCACTGGAGTGCACCTCGGTGCTGCATCCTTCTGGTACCTTGAATCCGACGACCCCTATACTGTCTGGCCTTTGAAGCCCTCAGAGCCTGGCGATCTCTCCTGGATGAAGATTGGAGAAGGGAAACGACATCTCTGGCGGATTGCTGATCCTACAAGGGAGGATAGCGTGTTTAGGCGTGTTTTAGCAAGAAATCATGGACCTTGCACTACACCGCCGGACTGGATGCAGAACAACGACATCAGTCTTGTTCCAGAGAGCGTAAAGATTATCTTCGGGATCACACCGTTGTCTAGTAAAGAGGACAATGTTTATCATCTCCCTGTTCTGATCTTGTCGCGGATTCGGCATTTACAACTGTCACATGGTAATGTGTTAGAATTCTTGTATTTTACAGCGTTCATCACGCCAGAGTTTCTAGAGTTGCTAGAGCAGAAGGATCCAAAGGCAGTGTTCCTGTTAGGTTGGTGGTTCCAAATGTGTCGGAATGGCACGCTTTGGTGGATGACTAGACGGGCTAGAGTGGAGGGTGAGGCTGTGAGGATATGGTTAAGTGTTGTTGATAGCAGACTTAATGATTTGTTGGAAGAGCTGGGTAGAAGAAGGGAGATGGAGCTGAAAGAGGAGAGTTGGATACAAACGAAGGCGCAGAAGATCGATGAGTCTGGCTTGGAGGTCAATTGGGCGTTGGACTCGAGGGGGAAGATATTAACGGTAGCGTGAAGACTACAAATCGGTTGACTGATTAGCTACATCCACCTCTGCATTCCGCACACACTTTCGTTGAGCGAATGCGCAACAAGAGAAGTCTCGACGTGACAGATTGGTGACTCTGAGGTTCCTCAGAGATTCCGATTGCACTACGTTCTTGGTACTTGAATATCTTGGCCACGGAGTGGGATAGTCACTCCGCACTCCGCACTGCAACGACTGTAGAAGATCTCCGAGCCTTTCTCCGACGTCCATCTCCGAGAGAGCAATGTCTTGGCTAACAACGATCTAGACCTAACAAGACAAGATTGTGTTACCTGAGTCAAGGAACCGTGTTAGGAGTCATATTTACCAAACACCCCTGCTTCCGGCCAAGCAGGCAAGGACTTCCGCGTACGAATCCAATGCAAGATATACACTGAATTCGTCAATCGGCATTCTAGGTTGGCAAGAATGATATATTAGATGGTTTGTTCAAGGCAGAAAACTTCCAATATACAGGCTCTTTCAAATCAAGAGGTGCCATGTCTAAGCTTTCTGTTCAAACCGGTAATCGAAAACTTATCACAGCATCATCTGGCAACCACGCGATTGACACAGCACACGCAGCGAAGATAATTTCCAAGGAGACCATGATTGTTATTCCAAAGAGTGTTGTGTAGGTAAAGCTGGCCAAGATTCGGGGATACGATTACCTTCCGCCATACAACGATATTCGTACCATACTTGCATTTGACGGGGACCTGATCGTCGAGGGCTCCTCCGCTCTTGCTCTTGCCGAATACTTTAAGATGTCGAAAACAATTGCTGGTCAGACTAGCGTTCTATTTTATGCGGTGGTACTCTCGATCGAGATACTATCAAGAGTGAGGTCCGAGGTCTTTCGGAGATGGCATAAATGTGAGTCATCTAGGGAGATCTTCGCAGCGTCTCGCAGTAGTCCCTTAATACATCACCAGCTAAGCCTGTCAATTTGTCAGCGTAGAAGTTGTTTACTGAACGTAAGTCCGTCTATAATATAGCAATTCTTCTTAGGAAAGTGAGAGAGAAGAGCACACTTCCCCCCTGACTTGTATCAACTTAGAGCCGCCTATCATCCCGAGCGGCTATGTCTTCAGAACTTGTGCTAATCACTGGCGGCACAGGTTTCATTGGCGGTCATGTTGTTCAGCAGACGCTCGAAGCTGGCTACCGCGCTCGCCTTGCAGTGCGGAGGGAGGAATCCATCGAGACGTTCAAGAAAGTCTTCTCGCAGCATCTCGAACAACTCGAGTTTGTCGTCATCGAAGACATTACGAAAGAGCGTCCCTTCTCAGACGCGCTGGTTGGCGTCGACAACGTCTTCCATCTGGCATCGCCCGTCCCAGGAAAAGGCACTGACTTCAAGGAGGACTATTTGAACCCCACCATCAAGGGAACCATGTCGCTGCTCGAAGCCGCCCAGTCTGTTCCGTCGATCAAGCGTGTCATCATCGACTCGTCCATGACCTCGTTAATGCCACTGGAGATAGATGATGCCGACAGTTTTGAAGTTAAGGGTACGTCGTCAAACATTCTCAACGATCGAACGTACCTTCCCCTTTCGAACCTCTCCCTCCTCCACCTGAGACTACTACATCACTAACTTCATCTGCAGAGGGCACAAACCGCACGATTCGAATCGATCCAGACTCACCCCTTGTCACAAGGCCCCTCCGCTCCCACCATCGTCAAGTACAAAGCCTCCAAATTGCTCGCCCACCGCGCCTGCCTCGACTGGGTTGAGCAGCAGAGCACCGCCGGTAAGCTTTCATTCGCCGTCGTCAGCCTGCATCCTTCTATTGTTATCGGCCGTCACCTTCTACAGCCATCGCCTACAGTCCAAGGCAGCAGCAACGCGCACGTCTGGGACTCACTGTTCGCGCCCGAGGGACTCTTGCATGGGATTGGCGTTGATGTACGCGACGTAGCAAGCGCGCACCTATGCGCGCTAAAGCCTACGGATGACGAGCTCGGTATCAAGGGCCAAGTCGCAGAGTTCCTGATTAGCGCGCCTGATTGGACGTGGCGAGGCATTGCAGATTTTGTGAAGAAGAGTTATCCGTGGCTTGCTGTCGCATTAGAAGATGGGCCATTGTTGAAATTGAGGACAGAGAGAGCAGAAACGGTGTTAGGAATCAAGTGGAGGCCGTTGGAGGATGCAGTTGGCGAACTGGTTGATCAGCAGATTGAGTGTGGGAATGTGAAGTCTTGAGCGAGTCCTGGCGGACAAACACGAAGTTTCACAAGATGCAATGGGTATGTGCTTGGCAGCTTACTACTATGATTGTTCTATGGGCACACTCTTCTGGTTTACTACGTCTATTGTAGTATGTAGCATTCATTCTTGCTTGCATTAAGATTACCAAGTGTATGGTTTTAGCAGATTCTTCATTTCGAACATGCTCCCTTCCCGCTTGACTATCTTGCTACAACGTGTAAATGAATTCTGGATTCTCCCGATCTGTAAGATCAAGCCACCTAGACATATAATTAGCTCTCACTGATCTCATCCATGATATTTCGCGTTTCAAACTTACTCTTGGTTGTCTAGCTTCACGTATTCAGGTGCCGCGCGAATCTGCGCCTTCTTCTTATTCTGCCACACGCAGTAGAAATGAATAAACGCTAAGATGCCTAAGCAAACGCCCCAACAGACGATGATGGTGATCTCGGCGGAAACGAAGCGAGGCGCATCTTGGGGACGGAATGTTTGTGGGCCTACAAATGATAGTTATGTCAGTCTATACTGCCCGATCTCGGAAAGTATATTGGTCGTACGTACCAATGATGTTTCCGACGCAGTAACCAATCAGATACATAGCCGCCACAGTCGTCTTCTTTGTGTATCCTGCTACGTTACTCGAGATGAGACTGAGCAAAGCAACGAAAGGCGTAGGGCTAGCTTGCGTTAGGTAGTAGCCAGCGAGACGACCAGAGTTGTTAGATAGCGGAAGTGCAACAATGAGAACCATCCCAAGTATTGCAACACACAGACCGATCATGGATATAAGGATACGGTACCCGTATTTATCGCCGGCCCAGCCGCAGGCAATAAGAAAGACGACTTCGACTGCGCCACCCGGTGTACCGTAAAGAAGAGACTCCTCGGGTGTGTATCCGAAACCAACAATAAGTTGGGAGAAGAAGTTTGATATGCCACCTCGAAGATTCGTTAGCATCTAAACTGGCAGGGACATGAGCGCCGTATCTTACCGTTGGGTATATCAGCAATTAACGCATAGAAGAAGAATGCCCAGCTCAACGGATCAAGCAGCGCCTCTTTTAACTGATACCACTTGAAGTGTTTGTTACCCACACCTTGCGCATTGATCCTAATCCGCTCGATCGCCAAGATCCGGTCTTCCTTGCTCAACCACCTACAATTCAACTGGTTATCGGGTACAAGCCAAAGGAATGTGATACCCAGGCACATAGTGAGTAGTCCAGTAACGAGGAAGATGATCTTCCACGGCTCCAGAGTAGTGCCCGACTTCCGACAGCCCACAGCAATGCCATAAGCAACACATCCTCCGAATATTTGCGCAAAGCCGTTGAAACTGAACCAGATACCGGTACGTGAACCCTGTTCCTTCTTGGTATACCATTGCGATGTGAAGAGTGCGAAACCAGGTGTAACTGCTGATTCGAAGACACCGAGAAAGAATCTAATGGCGATCGCGCCGGCGTAATTTTCAACTGCGGCGAAGCAGGATAGTACAAGGCCCCACATGATGATGTTGAATGCAGCTTTGATATCATGTTAGCCAAGTCCAACTTTCGACCTCTCAAATTCTAGGGCAGAAGAGACGAAAGCGACATACAGTATTTACCCAGCGGCAGAACTTGGAGTAATCGTGTAGTGGGATATTCGAAAGCAATGTATCCAAAGTAGAACATGCTACCTAGCCACGAGTACTGGTCTCCGACTAGACCGATGCCAGAAGCTAGCTTGTTGTCTGAAGGAGGCAGTCGCAGGCCCATGATACTTGCGTAGCTCAACGTCGTCTTGTCAAGGTAGTTCAAGCCATACACAATGCACATAATCTACAGAGTTTGTTAGTCAACAATCATGATTTACAAAGATATCGCAGAAGAATATATGCTTACAGGCATCATGTGCATATCGATCTTCCTTAAAAGTGCCTTGCTCTTCTCCTCTGTCAACTCCACAACCTGGCCTTCCATTCCCTCGTACGCCTTCATCGCCGCATCTGCATCGTGCGAGTGTTTTAGCAGTTTCTCATCGAGAACCTTTTTGATTCCTTTGCTGTTGTCTTCAACGATTGCTTCTTTCTCGACATCTGTCGGCGCGGTATTTAGTGGCGATATCGCTTGTGTGGGTGGGTGATCTGTGGCAGACGCCATGGCGTATTGTCTCCGCGTCGTTGTTCGAATAGCAGAACAGGCTAGAAGTCGCTTTAACCAAGGGTGAAGAGGCGCAAAGTTAAAACCATCAAACGTCTTCTGTCATAAGCTCATATACCGACCGTCGCATGGAAGATAGCAGTAGCAAGATGTCAATCGTGGCAAGCAGGCCGACAGAACGATAACTGATGGCTCAACGCGCCGTTGACGTCCATCCTTGTTGATAAGCTACCCCTGCCTAAACGCGATACGCTTGCATCTGCCAGTGCTGTAGCCGTACCACTGCGGGGTATCAAGAGCGTTGATCCGCGGGCTATTCAAGATAGGCCAACCGTCAGCGAAAGCGCTACATGATAGACAAGTGACCTTCCATAACAGGAAGCTGCCTTAGGTGGTTGCTCCGAAAGATCGGAGATATTGGGTAATTGCCGTGATGAAGCTCTGCGGAGGCGCAGACAAGGCATTGCAAGAGTTGGGCTTGGTACGATAGTAGGCTTGGCTGTGTGCTGGTCGGGTGAAGGGGCTGGTGAGTGATGGTGATGATGTCAGTGCTGAAAGCTTATCGCTAGCCGCGATCAGACATGTTAAGCATAAAGCAACGTTAAAACTCTAAAGCAGACGTCTGAGCACGAGAAAAGCACTAGTTTGCAACGAACATATGGTAATGGCTCGAAGTTTGAATTTGCAGAGCAAGCACCTCGTAGCTAGCGTTAAACCATGAACTTCGTAACGAACAAAGCTGTGACAGTGACACAAAAAACCGTGGAACTCCAGGCCCGAATATCGGCCGATGCTAAGAATCGCGCATCCCATTTCCCCCCAACCTCAGGCTTATCATGATTGTGCATGTAGCCGTGATACCCGAACGCCGCCCATATGCAGTTCGTAAATGCTTCAGACAACCTCCCGCACTCGGAGAGAATAAAGAGTACAGAATTGAAGTGTCAGAAAGAAGAAAGAAAAGATGCCACATCGCAGCAGGAGATGAAGAGTAAGACATAGACCAAAGCGCATCACTATGATCGCACGAACACGCTGTTGAGCTTGTTCAGCGCGCTGCTATCTGCAGCAGTGCTGTTCTTAGCAAGTCGTTCCGGCGCCAAGTCTCGGGGAAACCTCGTTGCAGTATTAGGGCTGCGACTGCCTGAACGGCTGTTGTTTTGGTTGTCCTTATCCTGATTTTCGCCGTTAAGGAGCGATCCCAATGTAGGAAGTGGTCTTGATGCTGCTGGGGCTGCGCTATTTGACTCAGGTGCTCGTGATTCTGACTTGTCTGAGGGCTCTGGAGTCGGTGGCTTGTTCGCACCTGCGGCGGCAGCAGCAGCACCGTTAATGGCAGGAAGCTGGGGGCCTTGCTCAGGAATCGCTGGTGCGGGCGCTGGAGGAGGTGCGGGCGCACTGGATCGCTGAAGGTGTGGGTGTTGAGCCTGCTCAGCTGTGGAAGGATGGCGGACCGGTGGTGTCGCCATGTATTGCTGAGCAGCGTGCGCGGCATGCGCGGCATAGGCGGGGTGCTGCATTAGCATAGGATGGTGGCCTTGAGGAGCGTGAGGGTGTGCGATTGGTGGGGGTGGGCGATCGAAGACGTGTTGCGGATGATATTGGGGCTGCGCGTAGATAACGCCCGGGTAGAAGTAAGGATGCTGGGAATAGTATAGCGGAGGTGTGCCATTTGGCGGCGTGGGAGGGTAGACTGGGACCGCATACATGGGTGCGACAGGACCACCGCGAGTGTACGGCGATGAAGGCGCCATGCTATGTCCAGGTGCGCTGTATGGTGAGCCAGGCATGGGACCACGAGTGACAGCAGGTACAGTCTGGGTTTCATTCACTGCCGATTCCGGGTACATGTTCTTTGGTGGGCGGATGTGTCGCAGTTGCGCGTCGTTGGTGGGCTGTGGGAGGTTGTTGGAGTTTGATCGCGAATAGTAGCTGATGAGGTGGAGGTGCTGTCCGCTCTGGGTGGTTATGCTGAACGACTGCTTCATGAGACCATCAGGCTTGTACCGGTAGCCGTCGGGTCCCTCGCCCTCTGAGTCGCCGGAGCCGGAACCGTCTGGCGACTTTCCACTTGCTCTTTTAGCTACGGGGGCTGTGGGTACTGCGCTGCCTCCCCGTTTGCCCTCCATCTCCCGGTATGTGAGGAAGCTGCCAGACACGCGACTCGCACTCCATGACTTTCCGTCGGTCCACCGCCTCATGCCAGCCTCGCGCTCGTCCCACACAAATACTGAGCCAGATTTGATCTGCTGGCGTTCCTTTTCGGATAGGCGGCGCTGCACTCGCGGTAGTATGCCGATGCGGCAGGCCTCAAACAAGATGATGGCATCGTTAGGCGTGCGGACATGTCCGTGGTAGGTCTCCATTGCGAAATATTTGTGGAGGGGATGTAATGGTGATAGTGTCGAGGCGTCAAGACCTCATCGATGCTAATCGGCTTGCGTTAGTCCAAATTGTGGGATAAGTTTCTTGGATGCAAGGCAATATGACAGTTGTAATGGCCTTGGAATGCAGGGTTTCCGGCAGAGTCGGAAAAAGTGACGGTGCGCATGCATGAAAGTCGGAATATTGCAAACCAAGGAACAGCGAAGCGAAAACGGCGCAGCAGAGGCCGCAAGCAGACACGAAACATAAATAGAGACTTACAGTAGGGCGTGTGTGACTGTGACGAGCAGTGTCTACAAAGCCGCGGCAACCTCTATATGGGGCAGTGCGATGAGATCAAGTGTGTCGAGGTCCGGTGACGTGAAACGGGCCGGCAATGAAACAGAGTCAGCGTATTAACAGGCGTGCGCGGCAATGGTCCACTTGGTAGGGACGCGGCGTTGAGTGACGGAAGCTGGGGAAGATGGATCGGAGAGCGAAACTTTTGAAAAGGCAGCAGCAGTCATCCGCCCTCATGTACTCGCAGCAGCGCGGTCTTGGGACCCAGCAATGTTTCTTTGGCGTCTTTGGCCCTTTCTGGGCGCTGGGGTCGTCGTCTTGATCGCCCGCCGAGACGTGGAGTGGCGTCTGATAGCGAAATAAGGCGCGCGACAAGCTTTATTTGGACCCTCGTTAGCTGCTCACTGGCCGTCCGTTCCAGCGGAGCCACCCAGGAGCGTCCACAGAAGAACCCACACACACAGCCCCCAATATCCATCAAGCCGCCCTGTGCCACCAAACAACTCGCTCGAAAGACATGCAGCGTCGTTTGCAGCGAGCTGCTATGTTAGCGGCTTGCACACGCCGAAGCCACTGCGCGCCCAGTCCGACCCAGCGCCCAGCGGCGTTGGCCTCGATCAGCCAAGCTTTACCAGCCGGATAACTCTAAACGAATCTTTATTTTCGACAAGCCTTCGATCCCTTGGCGGACCCACAGCGACCCCAGTGCTGACACCTCCCAAGACTTCGCGGTGTGGTCCATCAGTCCGTCAATCCGACTTGTCCTCCTTGGCCCCGCTAGTAGCAATACACCAAGCACAGCCAAGGCGTTCCAAAAAGTCCGTGTCGACCCAAAACCAACTCACTTTCCAGTCTGCTTCAGATTGTGGCAGGCCATGGCATGCTTGGCCTCGGTCCTCTAAGAAATCTCCACCTGTCGTGCGCTCGGCGCCCTTGGTAGCGGACAAACATCTGACCTGCAGGAGAAAGGAGCTTCCTTAGTGTAGCGAAGGATTACTTACACGGCCCGGCTAACGTATACTCATCTTGTGCCGCTTGCCCTCCAAGGTACACTGTATTCGTCTTTGGTACACGCAAGCTAACAATGGCCTGCAAAACTTGCTGCGTGGCGTGGAGACTGCGCCCGCCAACCAGGCCTCCGCTTTACAGGCTTCACTCCGCTCTTAGAACAGACATCCGCTCTGATCCACAGTAACGTAATCCAGCGCCTACTGCTTCTCAGCTCATTCGCTTAAATGCTCGGCCAGCACTTTGATTAAGCTTGGTGCCTGCGGTTTAAGCTTACTACCGTCCCACGAGCATCCGACTTACCCACGCTGGCGGTATCACAGGGCCATCGCATATACGCTTCCATAGGGAAAAGCTGGATAACCAAGCTGTCGAGACTCCTCACTTCAGTACAGTCATCGTGGCAGTGCTTTGCCAATGACGATATCTCACTTCCCGCGAGATTCCGCAACATGGTATACCAAGCTGGCAGCGGACCTTCTCCTCATCGTCAAGACTTGCCCAAGACGATAGAGTATGAACGGGTACTCGTACAAGACGCCATGGAACCTAGCGTCTCAGCTGCCCGAGAGAGACAAAGGCCCGAGTCCAACCCATTGGCGCAGTCACACTCAAGCCTGCCAAGTAACACACAGGATTGTTGTTTCCATGAGTGGCCAAGGCCGCCCTTCTCCACGTTCACGACAGCGCCCGCTGCTTGTCTTATCAGCGCACTCATTCAAAAGCCGCGTCATCCGACTTGTCAAGACTGCCCAGCGTTGGCTTCTCCACATGCCGGATGAATTCATCATAGGATCGGAGTTGCTCCTACATCCTTCCATTTAAACTAACCACGAGTTTGAAGAAAAACATTCTGTTTTCTCGCGAGCAAGCTTTTCTACTCCGAAATTGCCATGTGCGTGAATAAACGGTGATCCGCGCGCTCAGTAATCGAATGTTTCGCTTACATCTGCAAGGTTGCAGATAAGGTTGGCGCAGACTTAAGCATAATTTCCTTTCCGCTGCTATCCCCGGGGTTTGGCTCTCGCCAAAGACACCCCTCCCGAGTATGAGTCGCACTGCCCCGTCAGCCATGATTTGCTCGTATTATGAACCCGCTCAGATCAGCTTCACATGCGCAACGTGTCCACTCGCAATTTTCGCCCTTGATTGCGACTGCCTGGTCGCTTTCAGCTCGCCACCTGCCAAATGCGAAGCCCTGGAGCGATAACAAGCCCACGTGCTCTGAGCCGCAAGTCCAGAACTGCGCCATCGGAGCGTCGTACCGTAAACTGGCAGCTCCTAGCACGCGGTTTGAGGGGTCAACCGGAACCGGTGGAAAATTAAGGTAGGCCAAGCGTCCGATAGCGCCCGATCTTTCCCCAAAGTTCCCAAACCTTTCCTCGACGACTGACGCTCTGACGGCTTGAGTTTATCCGTCTAGGGCCGGCAAGCCTGTGAACGCTTCATCAGCACGCGTCCAGTTCCCCTTGATGGGTAGGAATCAGCGCAAGACCGGGAACCTGGTTTCGCGGCGAATACGAGGATCGCTCAATCTATTGTTGGCTGTTGATTCGCTGCATCTGTACTACTGTGCCATACCAAGCTCCCAACGCGCCAAGGTGTGTATAGTGTATCGATATTCGCACGAGGCGCAGGCTGGTGGTACTGCTTTTCTAGAAGCAATCTCTGGCTATTTCCGTATCCAAGGGGCGCACGAGCAATTTGAGCATCACTCTAGCCTTGTCGATGTCGTGGAAGGGCCATGAGCGCAGCGTTGCTTCTGCACAGTTCATTTTCGTACTAGGACATCCTCCATACCTCATCTCACGCACAAAAGCTTTGTGGTTCGATCAATAATAACCTTGCATACGGCAAGCCGTTACTTCGGTATGTGATATCATACGACGCCGGTCATAACAGTACCACAGCATCTTACCTTGATGTCTACGCGCTGTATCGACCCAGGCAGCTGTAACTGATGCCCAGGCATAATCATCCTCAAACGCAATTCACAGGTCTTCGGTGCATACATGTTCCGGATAATGTCTCTCCACCATCGAATCCCCACTCCAACAAGCCCACTGAAACCAAACGTGTTTGACTGGACGCTGAGTATTGAAAGAGATCATCCACGAACCACGTTTGATAGTCCCGACTCTTCCGCAGTGGCATGAAGGATCGCAGCCTAAGGATTCGTGGCGTTGCATCCTGCGGGCTTGGCCAAGGGCTTGGTGGCGTGGAATGAGATCAGGAAGCTGATCAACATACGGTTACCCACCTGCGTCCACTGTTGGAATTTCAGTTGACGCTTGCCCGTCTTGGCCGACCTCCATATAACAATTGTTATCCCCTATTCATCATTTTTTGGGGATATCAATGCTTCTCAATCTCCAGTAGCTTCAGTTTGTTCTTAGCTTGCAATCACACAGCAATGATTATCTGGTGATACTCATTTGCAACTCCGTAGTCAAACTTCCCCTCTGGCTATGATTTACGACTATCAACTCCTACCTTTTCGACTTGCGTGTCCCTGTGTTACGACTTCCCTCATAGATTCTACTATCACGACCTGGGTCAAATGAAACAACATTCCTGGATGTTGGGGCCAAAACTTACATGTCTATATATACGCGAACAAAAAAAGAACTATTTCTCGGTCTGATCGAATAATTCCGCTTCCATGTTGCTAATTCCGAACATTCCAAGAAAATTTCTAGCATATAGTGAATCGCTAAGGGTCCAAGCCATGGCTTCGTTGACAATCGACGGAGGTGCGTATACCATGTATTATCTTCATCCGAGTCCAGTGGCTGCAACTATGTTCGCGCAAGTTGAATCAGAATAAGATCGAATGCTGCAAATCCTGAGTCTGGCAATTACAATAGGGAGCACAATCAACACCAAGATCTAACTTTGATATAGTCAGAAGAGTGGTGGCATAAACACCTCTTCATAGGGAGCAGTAGAGGTCTGGTATCGAAAAGACCGTTGGTTTCAACAGTAGTAATGGAAGCGCGAACACAGTACACCACAGCGAGAGAAAAAGTCTTTCAAAGTCGGAGAGACCGCTGAAAGCATGACTTCAGTCGAAACATAGGCTGATCGAGCTTTATTGTGTCTACTTTCCGATGCATGATAAGTCGAACATGGCATACTACTTTTCCAATCCTCTCGCACAGGTGTCAATGTTCCGACAAGGCGAGCACGAAAAGCTCATTTCATTCAAAGAAATATCTCGTGGCTACGCTGTCATATCGCAATCTACTCTGCGATATTGGGTAGAGCGTCTGAAACTGTAAAATGAATCACCACCCATGCATTGACCGCTAGCGTACTCGAGGCACTAGTGACGCAAGAGAGAAAAGCATTCATGTTGATCTAGTCGCGGTGGAGTAACGAAGGTAATATTTGTACATATGAATACGATGGTTTTACAGTCGCAAAAACACGATCTCGATACTTGCGATGACCTATAGTGACCCAGCTTCCCTTGGGTATCGTCGTAGCAAAATCCGTGATAGGAAATATTGTCTGGTACACTGTCTCCTCTGCCCCCAAGATGACGCAAGTGCGTGCTAATACTTCAGGTGAAAATTCTTCTACTTTGACTGTGTTCATTCAGTGTGCTGAGTGCTTGTTCGGAAGTGACGAACTTTACTTTTTACTAAAATATATTCCTATCTTAAAGTAAACATTTGACTGCCATCAAGCGCGGCTCATTATCATCTTCAGCTGCCGAGAAGAGGTAATGCCGGTATATGACGGTAAATTGGACACTCAGCCATCTCTCGTGTGTACACGTGTAACCATAGCAAAGAAATCCTCACTGCGGGGGATAGCTGCTCTACAGAAACCATGTCACGAACGCGCCACTACCTACCCTACTTCTTTCGTCTCCAACATGAACACCCAAATGTTCTTGAAACTCTTCATCCTTCTCAAAAACAAGGCCCAATATGCAGCAAACTATGTTCGGGGGAATTATCCCCTTCTACAGGAGACTGAGCAATCAGCGTCCTTTCTTGGTCGGAGAACAACGTAATGGGGCTTTGTGTAGCGACTTCATTCATTTCTGATGAAGTCAAGATAGCTTGTCTACCATCCCAGATCCAGACGTCGTTCGAGTGGACTGGAGAGCCTGAATTCGTTGTGGACATGCGTCCATAATTGAGCGAGTATCTTGACGAATTGATTGGAGATGGAAGTGCGAGACCTTGAGGGTTATTCGAAATAACAAAGAATTGTCGCATGACAAATTAGATGGTTGCTGATTTGCTGTACTTGTTCGATGTCATTGAAGGTTCTTGTTGTAGCGTTCAGATGTATGACCTATGAAAGCATCGTCAATATCCCCGAGACTGGTCTCCACGGCGCTAGGACCAAAGGTTGATAGTGCAGTGTAAAAGCTACTAGCACTCATGATAAGCGCCTCCAATAGTGACAGTGAGAGCTGTGACACTGAAAGAGGCTGCTCTGCTGGCTGCTGTGCCGATAAAGTGTAGCATGTAATCGAATCCCCGAATTGTGAGTCTCTCTCCGGCGACTGAAATGTTGAACTAGATGTGCTTGATACGGCAACTGCAGTGGTAAAGGTGGGTGTTCCTGCAGAAAGTACAGTTCTCGCTCACAGGTCCTAGGCGACGATGGGCTCAAGCATTCAAGGGTTGGCTGTATATAATTGATCTGAGCATCGATGATTACTTTCAGTGTAATCCAGATAACTGCTGGGACAATTTTGAAACTCTTTGGCATGAGTGACCAGAGCAAGTTGGATGTTGAATGTTGGTATCAGCATTTCAACCCCCAAATCTGGCTAGCTGCTGAGGTGTGTGAGACGTGTACTCAGGCCTACCTTATCTGCGCCGCATCCGCACGCGCGAAAGCTTACTTCGTCCTCATTGCACTAACTCGATCCCTCCTGTGGTAAACTTCGCGCGCTTTTCACTTCGGTCTGGCTCTTGTCGTGTTGCGAGGGTCGCTAAGAATGGAAACCTAAACGCATACGGGCTCGTCCAATTATTTCAAACCGGATATTAGGCGCCACCAACAACCCGTTGCGCTCGTACTCTGAGATACTTCAGGCGCCCCGCATGATGTCGGATGTAAGAGCGCAACCCTTGGTTGGTTTGTGTGTTTGCACGATGTGTTGAGACTATGACGGCCAGCTGACATAGTAACGTGCCGTGTGTGACGGAATCCCCGCAGCTGACTAGTGAATCTCCTAAACACCAGCAGAGAAACAAATGTCAAATTGCTTTGTCGAGTTACCATGTGTGGTGGATATCGCAAGTGGCGTTGAGTGTGATTTTGTTTTCCGAAAGAAATTGATTCATGTTTTGCGCTCGTACCATTGGCGCTGAATCAGTGCAAACCAGGTCACGCGTCACAAGTCGCGTGAGAGAGCAGTCACGATGTGCACTCGACTCTGTCTGGGCAAGTACGACCCAGGCTTTCGGGTGTCGCCTGGGAACTCATTGATGTAACGCACTGGTGTCTTTCAAGGCTCCTCTTCGTACAATCCCCGTGTTTTCGTATTCAGTGGTCCCAGGCGCTAGGCTCATAATGAGCCGCACGTGCAATCGATGACAAGGCGAATATAAAGGGATTGCCGGTAAACAGTACACGACGAAGACGAGAAGCCCATTATAGAATGTAGTCTTTCCAAACACTCCAGTGCGGACAATCTCGATTACCAAGTCGGAATGTGGGGACAACGCAGAATACCTGAAGAACAGTACCGCTGCATCGGAGCCATCCACCGCGCCAGTCAAATCCCAAATTCCTGGCTTCAGGTCTCGCAGCATGCCATCACAAATCAAATAGCAGCCCCATACAAAGTCCCCGCATTTAGAACCACCTGCGCACACTACGCAGTATGTATTATCAGTAGTGCATTTTGAATACGCAAGGCTCCCAGGACCAACCATCTGATAAGCCATGGCATATCACGCCTAGTTTCACTGGTAAGCACGTGTCAAATATCAACGGCACCTGCGCATTGTAGTGCGAGGCGGCGGCTCCGCGTCAGCGGACGTTTCCAAGACTTATAGTACCAAGCCACGGCTAGCTTGTAAAGGAAGAAACCAAGCTCGACTTCGCACTCCGTCCGCCTGCACCGGTACAATTCCGTTTTTGGGGTAAGATGAAGGCGTTGCTGCTCGGGGTATCACTAACGCGAGCATTTCAATACCGGGGACCATACCCAAGTAGCTGGTTCATGGGGCGGAAGGAAGTCAGGATTGGGATAGTGACGTTAAGATGCAAGAATGAGCTGACAGCATGGAGATATCTAAATTAACTTTCTTGGTAGATGTGTTTTAACGGTGGCAGGACGGCAGCAAATTCGCAATGATAAAACGTGGAGAAGAGCCGTGTTGTCAGACCCGCCTCCAGCGTGGAGAAAATGAGTGGAGTGAGAAATCTGGAGTAGCACACTCTGGGGCGCGTTAGTTAAGCCTCGGATAAATTACGGGTCTACTCCAGTTAAAATGCCTGAAGCGGTGCGGGGATATAGCGCGCGTATTTTAGCACCGGAACAAAGCTTTGCTACCAGCTATTTGATAGGCTTCAGCTGCTGCGATACGAAGTCTAGAGCAGACAAGAAACAGCCACCTGCAAACCAACGCCCAGCGCCCCTTCGCGCTATGTTTACTTCTGGTGAGCGGTCCGCTGCTAGGACGAGCCCTCGCCGCATAGCAGCGCTCCGAAGACGAGGTTGTGACAGCCGAATTGACGGCTTGGGCCCTTGCAAGTCCGCGCAAGGAACCATCATGATAGCTATTTGATGTGATTGATGGAATTTGTGTCTCGGATTCCTTCCATGTGCACATAGCGCTGACAGGGGCCCACTACCTAGGTGCGTACCTGTTGTATCTTGGGGAAACAGATGGCGGATGGGGTGGTTCAAGCGCGACTACACAGATCCCAACCTGCCTAAATGCCGTTCTGCCAGGTCACATTCACGCCCCGCGTTTATTTCATTCTGCTGTTTATAAGGTGGGGACTTTTCCCCGGGTTATAACTTTTGCTCTTCTTTTCTTTGCCCTGCCATCGTTCTCTCACCTATACCCCACACTTTTGTTACCCCGGTCCACATCCGCAAATATGGGTGACGCTGTCGCCCCCAACAAGGACTATGGCGGCGACGTCCATGTCGAGAAGGCCATCTCGCACGTCGATGACTCCGCTGCCCTCGACGAGAAGGCGCAAGCCGCTCTCTACAAGACGCAAGCTATGGATGCAGAGACTGCAGAGCATGACATGGGTGTGGTGCAAGCTGTCAAGGCGTATCCCATGGCTGCTCTCTGGGCATTTATCATGTCTTGTACTATCGTAAGTCTTCGCGCGTTGGAAGCCCACATCCAAGGCATTCTTGCTAATAGCATCTACAGATCATGGAGGCCTACTGTGTGTTCCTGATGGGTAACTTTGTCGCCCTACCCGCTTTCGAAATTCAGTATGGTATCCCACTCAACCACCCAGACCCGGAACGTCCATGGAACAAGGTCATCGCGGCTAGCTGGCAGTCAGCGCTTCAGATGGGAGGTCCCCTTGGTGCTATCATCGGTGTTTGCCTGGCTGGTCCCCTTACCAGCCGCATCGGATACCGTTGGGCGACCATCACCGGTCTCATGCTTCTCAACGCTTTCATCTTCGTCTTCTACTTCGCCAACTCGCTCCCGATCATGTTCGTCTCCCAATTGCTCGAGGGAATTCCATGGGGTATCTTCATTGCCAACGCACCGGCGTACTGCAGTGAGATTACGCCAATTCAGCTGCGAGCCCCTGCTACCCAGATGTTGCAAATGTTCTGGGCCATTGGTGCTATCATCGTCAACGGTGTCGCTTACTACTACAACCCCAAGAAGGACCCGAGTGCGTACAGGTACGTAGTCTTCTCCTGTGTTCACCGCGAATTTGCTAACAGAAAATCAGGGTTCCTATTGCGCTTCAATGGATGTTCCCAACCCCTCTCGCGATCCTCATCTTTTTGGCTCCAGAGTCTCCCTGGTGGCTCGTGCGAAAGGGACGTCTCGCAGAGGCTGAAAAGGCTGTCGGACGTCTCGGACGCAAGGGTCAGCTGAACCTTACCGAGGCTGTTGCCATGATGCGCCGTACTATCGACCTCGAGAAGTCTATCAAGGAGCCCAATCTCCTGGAACTTTGGAAGGGCACCGACCGATACCGAACCCTGATTGTTTGCGGTGTGTACGCGGCCCAGAACTTGACTGGTAACCTCATTGCCAACCAAGCCGTCTATTTCTTCCGTCAGGCCGGTATCTCAGTAAACACTGCATTTGCCCTGGGTCTCATCACATCTGCTCTTCAGATGATTTTCGTCATGCTGTCCTGGATTCTGACCACATACCTCGGCCGACGAACCATCTATGTTTGGGGATCGCTCATCAACGTTGGATTCCTCGTCGCTCTCGGTATCGCAGCGTCCGTAGGTGTTTCTAAGGCAGCATCACTAGCTCAGGCTTCTCTGGGTCTGATTGTGTCTGTTCTGTTCACCTTGGGACCGGCGCCCGCTTCTTGGGTCATCATTGGAGAAACATCTTCGATTCGTCTCAGGCCTCTGACCACCGGTATCGGACGTGGTGCCTACTATGTGGTCAACATTCCCTGCATTTTCCTCTCCAGTTACATGCTCAACCCTGATGTAAGAATTCTTCCCGCTCCGAACATTGCCATCAACATGTTACTAACAAAACGCAGGAGGCAAACCTCGGTGGCAAGTGCGGTTACGTCTGGGCTGGAACCGGTTTCTTCTGTTTCGTTGTTGCATACTTCTTCCTTCCTGAGATGAAGGGCCGATCATACCGTGAGATTGACATTCTGTTCAAGCGCAAGGTCCCGGCCCGCCAATGGAAAAAGACTGTTGTCAACATCGAGGAGGACTCGTAGATGGGGGTGCGCCTATTATGGTGAGATTGGAAAGCCTGTGGGAACAATGCTTCAGCAAGTGCTCGATGTTTGTTCAAGATCGAAATTGTCGGTCGAGTAATATATGCCTTGCGTGCCTATTGGTGACAAGAGCAGATGAATGAATCATCTCAACAAGATCGGTCAGACTTCTGTGAATGATGTGCAAGAACATATGTGAGCGCTCTGCAAAGACGAGAAGCTCTACATGTATGACGTTGAATACAGCATTGGTGATGGAATGTGAATGGATATCTGACGTTGCAACCACGTCTTTTAGTCTGTTATCACGTCTTAGATAACTAAGCTTCTATCGCAAAATTGCCTGTTTGGTGAACACGTATTTAGCTAATTTACGAGGTACGTAGAATGTTTTTGTGACTTTGCAATACAGAAACCAAGTGTTACCAATACGACAATTCAATCACACATCAAATTAGATTTCTAATATTGTAGTTGAAACGTGTTCAAGTAAGGACGGTTTACGATGTTCAGCTGGCACGTGATCAGGCTTGGTCATGGCAACCACTTTTAAGAGGCGCTGAATTGACTGGCTTTGATACACATTCGCTTTCCCTTAGGCAATTCGAGCTATATGTTTGACCTTGCAGCTCCGAAAGACTAGAAGTTACAACAAACTGTCGATTGCGAGTTGTCTCTGCCTTGCCTTGGTCTCTTAGTTCATTTCCGAACCAGAAAAGGTGCGAACAGATGCAACGTTGTTGCAACTTTGTTATGACGAATCTTGCTTTAGGGGCTAACATCACGTAGTACATAGCCTCAAGCTCTAGTATTTGCAACAGATTAGTCCCAGAACGCAATACTGAAATAGATGCTCGAGAACATAGTTATCGCCAGCGAGCAAACAGTGTAGCTATCATATAAGCAGCATCTTGACAGTGCAGGGTACCAAAGTGATGCAGGTTGGTTCGTTCATCTGTAATTCGATGCAGGGCAAGTTGATCAACCTCAAGCAGAAGCTCACGCGACAGCATATTGTAAAACGCAAGCAAGACGTGAATATATACATTGAAATATGGGTAAATCATTCGAAACCCCTCAATTCCCTTAGGATGAGCAAGTAGCCAACATGCTCGTCAGCGCAGTCTTCTCCGCACTCGTAATAGTCAGCGCATATACGCTCTTGACCTTGATCCACATCTTGCTGTAAGTGCAGTAGTAGCTGGTTAGCGGTGGCTTCCACTCCTCAGGTCCCTTGTCACCCTTTGCTTGGTTGACGTTGTCAGTCACTGCAAGAAGCTGGGGGTTGGTGAGGTCGTTGGCGAAGGCTTGGCGGCGGGCAGTAGTCCATGAAGCAGCGCCAGACTGTAGAGTGATTAGTATAGAGACCTTACAAAGTAGGAGTAGAGAAAACGGACCTTCCAGGCATTGCTCAAGGGCACCATGTGGTCAATGTCGACATCGCTGGCTGCTGTCCAGGTAGCGCCATCGTAAGGGCTGAACCAGGATCCAGAGGTTGATGCACAAGCAGAGTCGGTAACGACATTGGTGCCGTCACGCTTGAGGACTGTCTCGCGTGTGTTGCAGGCTCCGGACTGAGTGATCCAGTGAGGGAACAGATCACGAGAATAACCAGTCTGGGGACCTTGAGCGGCAACGGTAAGACCAGCGAGCTGTGTAGTTGCGGCCGACTTGCTGGGAACGTTGGGAGGAGCGCGAGCGTTAAGAACAGCTGGGGCTGGGGCTGCTGATACAAGAGCGGCTGAAGCTACAGCGACGAAGATGGAAGCCTTCATGGTGATGTGTTGGAAGAGAAGCGACTGAGGTCGTACGAGGGAGGAAATTGCGGTATGAAGTAGAACGGCTTTGTGCTGTCTATAGCTTGTCTTCTCGTTATGACACGACGTGGCAGGCGCTTATATACTTCTTTTTTTCCAAAGCCGTGTTCGGCGGTTTCCACTTCACACATCGTAGAATCCAATGATAAGCACCACGCCCATCGTATACTCCTTTGCCCTTGCTTCTGTACCGCAGACCCGGTCTTCGCACCACCAAGGCTACTGGACACATGCGCTACCACTCTCACGACCCAAAAGAGGCAGGTGGAGTTGATAGCCAAGTCACCGACACCATGCCCATCATCTACCCATTGGGGATGTGTACCTGATCGGCCGTGTTTACATGCCCGCTACACACCACGAGTGGTTTGCCTTCCTTTCGCGGGGCCCGGGGCCGACCTACTTGCATGACTTGCATAGTAGCGTAGACATGAGTGGCAGGAGGCAGATTACCATTGTAACAAACAAAGTTGCGGATGATCGCAGGTGCTCTTATCGCGACGTGTGATAGGGCGCGGGGTGCATGGGCTTGGGTGTAGATCGTCATCTTGATTGGCGCTCTAAATGAAAACTCCGAGACCGTACCGGCGCTTCCTGCGGTTCGGGACGTTATCCATTTGCGTGATCGAGTAGAGCGAATGAAAGATAAGGAATAGTAAACGTGAGATGGAGGGGACCGAAGCACTTAAAATGATCTAGGAAGTAAGAAAGTAGTTGAGATGGATTGATTGGTAGTTGCCCCGCTTCATGTTACACGTGAGGCCAAGCATCGGTCTTGGCTGGAAGAAGAAAGCTGTTAGCCTCAACAGGAAATGCCAAGCCATAATTGGTGAAGCGTTGTCAGGATGGCGCAGACCCCAATATACACAAGTTTTAGATATTGAGCTGATGCTGCAAAGCGAAGACTTCTCGATGCTCTGAAAACTGTGCGACGAGCGCCGATGAAGATGAGACATCTCGGCGGCTCGGGAACAAGCCGGGCGAGACCGGAGCTTGGTATGCCAACCCTTTAGTGCTGTGTTGGACACTTTCTTGTGAGAACTGCCGTTTCGAGTATGTTGGCAGCGACCTCGGGGCCTGAAGACTTGGCTGATGGGTCGATCTCGAGTTGGAGGTAAGATTAGGCCCATACTGCTACTACACAGGCACTCGTGACACGCACAATGTAGAATACCCCTGTGTCCATGTCGACCACCATCTTATTACTTAGACTTGTGCGTGCAAACCGGTGACGACGGGTATCATGCAGCGAAGTCAAAGTTCTTGAATGCTTCTTTGAACTTTTCAACATCTTGCTCTTCCTGGGCTTGGGTTTGTCCGCAGTTCTTCCAATCGACGCGGTTGTCGAGCCTCAATAGCTTCGCCAATACTTCACGTCCGAACTGGTTATGGAAACGAATCTTCTCGTCAAAGCGCATAACGTAGCTCGTCTGCTTGTCAGGGTCATCTTTTGGATTCCACACCAAGACCCTGAAGAAGTCGCTTGTTTCTTCGAATCCATCTCCAACATCTTCTTTCTCGAACTTCGGCCAGTGTAGATTCTCAGCCAGCGCTTTGAACGCCGCTTCGACGAGTCCCTTACTGATGAGGTCCGCACTTACTGGAAGATACTGCCAATGCGTGTGTGGTAAGCTGGATTTGCTGGCTTCCCAAGTGACGGAGCCATATTCGGTGTCTGCAACGGACTTGAGCATGCTGTTCATCGCGCGTCTGTAACGCTGCATCTCTGCGTACGTCGCGTGACGTTCCTCCTCTTCCATGGAGCCGAGAGTGGCTTGGTGCGAGAAGGGAATAATGAGCATATGGCTTGGAAAGCCAAGTTTGGGATATGTCTGTGATGCCGGTAAGGGACCTTTTGCTGTGGTCAGGTAGGAGTTTTCGCCGATTGAAGCCACCAAATGTGTCGCAATGTTTTCGTTTGCTAGACAGAAAAAACACTCTGATGCTGTAATCGGTCCGCGGGACTCGCCCTTGCGTCTTTTGTTGCCTCTCCGGCCACGACTTCCGTCATCGTAAACAAGTTGCTGTTCGCGGTGCTCCGGTGCTCCCCGCTTCTTCTCCGAGAGGGTCACAGGGCAAGCAGTTGAGCCAGTTGGTGGTAAGACAGGATGGCTTGCTGAAGGCTCAAGAGAAAAGGCGTATATCCATTTCTGCTTATTAGGGTTGCCAAAGGAAGCGAGACTAATGAATCGAGTGACTGGGTAGAGGTTATCAGTGTCATCACTGGGTTGATGGAAGAATGGCTCCCGTTCGTAAAAGGTGTTTCCTGACGTTGAGAAGTGGTACCTGGGCTTCAGTATCACGTCTAGATCGGCGATGCACTGTCGCATGGACAGCTGTGCCTCCGGATTGAACTCGACCTTGGAACGCTTTTGGATGCCCTCTGGCCACTCGTTGGTGATCAGAATGTCGGCTGTGGTTGCTCCTCGTAGGATTTTTGCATCCGTCTCGGTGTAGAATGGCAGGTACTTGTCTTTGGATTGACCGGCAATGATGTTCTGGTCAAGTTGCCCACCTAGCGCGACGATGCGAATTCCTTCAGACGTCTTCATAGTCGTCCGCTTCCCTAGAAAGAAGAGGTTGTGGCATACTTCGTCTTCTGATTCTAATTTTTGACCTACTGCTGGCGGGAGTGAATGGTTGCCAAGAGCGAAATATGTTGGCAATGGTACGTCGATGCTACCGTCCACGAGTGCCTGCACATCGGCTGCATCCGGGCCTTCAGCCTCGAGTGAAGCTGCAAACAAATCGCCTGCAACGATGGCAAAAGCGAAGTTGTTCTTCGCGTGTAACGCGCCCAGCTTCCGGAAGACGGTCTTGAATTGGCCGTTGACGCCGCCAACGACGACACTGCACGCGTCAGAAGAATATAACACGCTGACATTGTACTGCACTTACATCTTTGAGGCCATTCCGAATGACGTAGCCGGTGAATCAGCTGATGCTTGATGTGGTAGCACACGCGATCAGAACGTAGTTTCGCGACTTTTGAAGCTTGGTACGGCCGTGTTGTCTTGGATTGCCTCTTGTTTTCTGCTGATATTATCCCAATACGTCGGGTGTCGGACTGCAGACGCGTGGTGTTGAGAATGGGTGATTGGCGCGTCGGAGACCTCGGTGGTGCCAGGGTCCAGCTTTTTTGTTAGCGCAAGGAAATTCTAGTGGAGCATCATCGAGTGCAGAGACAGCCACGGCGCGGCCTTCAACACCACACCACCCACCACACTATGGCCGCCATGTCACGGGGCCCTACCACCAAGCCGGCTGCAAAGCCCAAATCCAAGGTAGCAAAGCCGACGCGCCCCCAGAAAAGAGTCAAGGGCGGCACCGAATCGACGCGCAACCATGTCTTCAAAGGCTTCACCCAGCGCATTGCCCAGCTCAAAATCGAGCCCATTCGCCGCGGTCGCAGCACCATCCTCGACGATGCCGAACTCGAATCCACATTCTCCTACTTCCGCGACTCGTTCATGGAGTGGAGGGAGCTCAACATGTCCGAAGGCTTCACAACTTTCGCCCGCAAAGTCGCGCCACTATGCGACAGCCTCCCGCAGGTCCTCCACCACAGCGATCGCATATTCGAGCTGCTCGTAGAATATATCGAAAAGGGCGAGAAATTCAGCCAAGAGCCGCTGCTTAGTCTCATGGCGCATCTGGCCCACGACCTGGGTGAAAGATTTGAGAAGCATTTTGAAAAGGCAGTCAAGACGGTGTCGCACCTGGCAGCTACACACGCTGACGTCGAGGTGATAGAGTGGGCTTTTGGCTGTCTCGCATGGCTGTTCAAATACCTCTCGCGACTCTTAGTGCCGAACCTACGCCCGGTCTTCGATCTGATGTCGCCTCTGCTCGGTAAGGAGCGCCAGAAGGCCTTCGTGTCTCGTTTCGCCGCCGAATCGCTCAGCTTCCTTGTCCGCAAAGCCGGTGCTGGCTACCACAGAGACAAGATGCCGCTCAGAACCATCATAAAGCACATATCGGACCAGCTCAAGGACCAGCAAGAGTCGGGCAAGGACTACGCTTTCCAACAGGGTCTCATGTACCTCTTGACTGATTCGCTAAAGGGCGTGCAGCGAGGATTCCACTCGAGCGCCACGGCCATATTGCAAGAGCTCTTAGCAGAGACATACAACGAAGAGCACGTCCAACTCCGAATACCGCCCCTCGAGCCTGTGCTGACCGGTGTCGTGACCGCTGCGATCCACCACACGGATGCTGAAAACTTTGGGCCTCTGCTTGAAGTCATTCTTGCACAGATCGATAAGACATCTGCCGACACACAATACATGGGCCTTTCGTCTCGCCTACTACTTGTCGCCTGTGGTGTACGACAGGGTGACCGCATCGACAATTGGCAGCCTGTCTTGGTTCTAGTCAGTCGTTTGCTCGGCTCAACAAAGGCATCCACGGTCCTGGATCCTGTTGATGCATGGGAGCTCTTATCTGTTGTCTCCGTCGTATTTCAATACTGTACTTTGGATGCAGCGATTCCCCATGAAAAACTACTTGAAGAGCTCAGTCGTGGCTTATGGGAGCCATACTTCCTAACCTTCTGCAATCTGTTTGCGGACCTAGGAGTGGAAAGATTCCGGACATTATTGCTTCCATACTTCAAGAGGTTTATTGCACAGAAGGCACACGAGCACGGATCACAATTTTGCGCTATCCTTCCTCGACTGTACGACAATGGTGCGCTAGCAAATGGCACTCTCCAGCCATCTGAGCAATGGCAAGCGAGCTTACATGAGCCGTTCGACAAGCTTGTTACGTCTGCACGTGGTGGTGCTGATCCGGACCACGAGACTTACTACTGTAATGTTTTGTTAGGCGCCGTAGAGACGCTTCGCATAAGCAATGACAAGACGAGCGGAATATGGAACGATCTTGCAGAACTGCTTAGGAATGCCGTAAACATCGACAGCATAAAAACCCGACGAACTACGGATATCTTCGCTACCGGCAATGGTTTCCAGTTTCTCATCGGAAAAGGCGACAGTGACGACCTGACAGCAAGTTTGTGGCCCGCGTTATGCCAGGCATCCACTACATATGGTCATTCTGTAGCCTTTTGGCGCGCGCTCCTAGGCTTGTTACAACGAGAGAAGACCAAGCTTGACATCACCGGTCCGCATATGGAGCCTCTCAAGCGAACTCTTATGCAATGCTTGGGTTCTCCATCGCATGATCTGAGACTCATAGCCATATACATTCTACAGATTGTCGCGGAACAGAGCGAGGAGCACCAGAACATCCTGCACATCGCAATGCTGATCGAGCAATCACCACTAAATCTTGAGACTCAGAGGTCTATCTCGATGCGAATAGGGCAAATCGCAAAGTTGTACCCTGGTGTATGCTCCAGCCATTGGGTAGGGGAGGCCATACCCGCATTTTGTCTAGGACTGCTACACGTTCGACTAGCTTCGGTCTGGGACGATAGTTGCACTGCTCTAAAGAAGATATGCGAGACGAAAGAGGGGGAGGGCTTTGTCACTCAAATGGTTTTTGACTGGCTAACTGCTGCCGATGCCAGCGAGAGTGCTACTGAAGAACCCCAAACGGCCTCTTCACAACGACCCTACGCCACCGAATTCGAGTGTACCAACCTCATGCAACTACAGGACCATATCTCTAATATACAGTCTCAGGCTGACAGCACTGAAGAGCAGCTAGAGATTCTATTCAAGGACAACCATGCCGAAGTGCCTTTCCACAACCCATTCAGTAGGACGCAGGCTCTGAGAGTCTTGAGCTCTTTGCCGCATATTGCGGAGAAGCGGTCGCGCCTTCTCGTACCTGTACTCTTGAACTGGGCGCTAAACCAAGCGACGCCGGAACCCGAAGATGTCCCCGCTACCGAAGAGGATGTTGGTGCTGCCGCTCAGCATCGTTGGGCAAGAAAAGACCAAAAGGCAATGCTTTCGATCTTCGCAAAATTCAACAACCCTAAGGTTCTATACCGGACTGATGAAGTCCGTGAAGCCCTGCTTGCTCTGCTAGGTAACGGAGACATTGAGATCCAAAAAGCTGCACTGAAGGCGCTTCTCACCTGGAAAGACCCCGCTATCGTGGCATACCAAGAACAACTGCTCAACTTGCTCGACGATGAGCGTTTCCGTGACGAACTGCCAATCTTCCTCAGTGAAGGAAAGCTTCAAGACACCGACGTGGATCAAGTACTTCCAATAGTATTACGACTACTGTATGGCAAGGTTATAGCTGGCAAACGGGGACTTGAGTCAAAGAGGAAAGCAGTTTTCGTCGGCCTCAAGAACAGATTTGGAGATGATGCCATACATCAATTCTTACAAATCGCTTTTGGGCCTCTTGGTCATATCTCAATCTTGAAAGACTCCGCAGTTGATGAAGAGCTGTTGCAAAAAGATTTGGTCGATGCACGAAAGCAGGTCGGTATGCTGAACCTACTGGACGATTTGCTGAGTACTTTCGCAACCACATTCGCGCCATTCGCTGGAACCGTTGTGGATCCCATCTTGTACTCCGCCATCAAAGCATCACGAGAACTATCAAAGCCCAACGATAATGAAGACGATGAAGGTCGTGCAACGAACACGTCCTTGCTGAAGACTATAAGGCAGCGCGCGTTGCAGATTCTAGGAAGGCTGTTCGAGAACTGCCCAGACTTTGAATGGAAGCCGTACACGGGTGCTCTCGTCAAAGAGATGGTCGAACCTAGGCTCGAGCATTTGCCCATTGAGACGGCTCAATCCGTCTCTGGACTTCTACGATTATTCGCGGCATGGTCGAAATCGAGCGCTACGGCCCCATTTCTAGTAGAGTTCAACCCTGCCATACTACACAAGGTCATCGACTGCCTTGAGGTACCCTCAGCCAAGGATGATGTCAAGTGCTTTGTACTGAACGACATCATCCGGAACATCGTTTCTCTTGTCACAGTTGAAGACGAAGTGCCGACGACGGACTCAAAGCTTCTACGGAATCGTATCCACACGGACATCATCCAGCCGTACTCAACTGCGATACTTCACCGAGTTGGTCAACTACTTCGCCAAAGTCCTAGCAAGGAAGTGCTTGAAGCTGGCGTACAAACAGTCGCGGATCTAGCCCCTCATGTGGTCGGTGCCACGGAGTCGCGTAGCATGATCGAGATCGCAACTTTCCTGCTTCGCCAGCCTTCAAAGCGCGTAAACCCGCGAACCAAGCTGGGTCTACTCAAGATTCTTCATGAATTCATTCAGCGTTGTGACAGTCAAGGTCTGACTGAGCTTTTCGACACAATCTACGATGCGATTTGTCCCATGTTCAGTTTCGTTCAAGATCGAACAGCACGGGCCTTGCTTTGCGATGTTCTCCAGGACCTTTCGGACACCAGCAGCGATCTCGTGGTAATTTCGAAATTGTGCCACGATCTTAATTCTTTCGCCACTGGACGCATCGACGAGCCGGATTTCGAACGCCGTTCCCAAGCTTTCAGTGCCATCAATGAACAAGCCTATCGGTCCTACACGCTCGCACAGTGGAAACCTCTAGTCTACAACATGCTGTATCTAATCAAAGACAACGACGAACTCAGCATTCGGGTGAATGCTTCTTTGTCTCTGCGTCGCTTCAGCGAGGTATCGTCAAGCGAACCGTTCAGAGCTTTCATCTCAGCAGCCGTTCTACCTGGCATCCATGCCGGCATGCGGGAAAACTCAGAGCTTGTGCGGATTGAATACCTTGCTGTCCTTGAGCATCTGGTCAAGACACACCCTGACTGGGCTCCTGTAGCGGATCTGCACGTGCTCCTTTCGGAAGATGATGAGGCATCGTTCTTTGGCAACATTCTTCACATTCAGGGCCATCGCAGACTGAGAGCCCTGCGCCGCTTGGCCACAAGTGCGTCTCATTTGCGCGGTACAAACATCTACCACGTTCTCATCCCGCTTCTCGAGCATTTCGTCTTCAACAAAGGAGATGATGAGGCTGCGGATAGTCTTTTAGGAGAGACAATCAAAACACTCACATCATTGACCGAAGGTCTAGAGTGGCCGCAATTTCGCTCTTTGCTCAAACGTTATATCGGCTACTTGACGAGCAAGGAAGATCTGCAGAAGCCGATCATTCGACTAATCGCTGGTTTGATGGACGGATTGAATCACGCAGCACGCGCCAAGGGATACATTGCGAAGGCCTCGTCTGGACAAGATGATCAGGTTGCTTCCGAGAATGAGGAGGCTCCGGACGCGATGGATGTCGACGAGCCTCTGTCGACCTTAACCAAAACCCTCCCACAACAGGACAAGCTAAGCGTTGATCTCATCAACAACTTCTTACCCGATCTGACCAACTTCCTGCACAAGAAGGACGAAGCCACTGTCAGTCTACGAGTGCCAATCGCAGTCGCAATTGCGAAGATCCTTTTAGTGCTCCCACCACTCGAAATCGAGACACGCTTGCCAGGAGTTCTTCTAGACATCTGCTACATCTTGAAGAGTCGTGCGCAAGAAGCACGTGATATGTCGAGAAACACACTCAGCGACATCGCTACGTTAATGGGTCCGGGCTACCTTGGGTTCATCTTGAAGGCTTTGCGAACTGCGCTTCAGCGAGGATACCAGCTCCACGTTCTCTCGTTTACTCTACACTCGATTCTTGTCAAGCTTGCCGACCAAACGAACCCAGGTGATCTCGATTACTGTTTAGCGGATCTAGTTGACGTGGTAAGTACCTCAATGGAATAATTCACACCGGAGAAAACAAACTGACATTGGATATAGGTCATGGATGACACCTTTGGTGCCGCAGGTCAAGAGAAGGACGCAGAAGAGTACATCTCGAAAATGAAGGAGGTCAAGAGCAGCAAGTCTTTCGATTCCATGGACATCATAGCACGATCAGCTACACCCGCGCACATCATCAAGCTCGTGCTCCCAATCAGGTCCCTCCTGATCGAGAAGCTTAACGCCAGAATGGTCCAAAAGATTGACGAGCTTCTACGACGCATCGGACTTGGTGTTCTACAGAACCCAACAGTCAACAACAGAGATATATTGGTGTTTTGCTATGAGCTCATTCAGGAAGTCTATGCCGCGAACACTTCCACCGAGAAGAAGGCTAAGATCGACCCCAAGAACAAGCGGTATCTGATCAACAACCGTGGCGCAGCGAAGTCCGGTGCGAGACTCAGCACAAACTCGTACTTGTACAAGATGATACGCTTCGGTATGGACATTCTCCGGACTGTGCTCCGCAAGCACGAAGACCTCCAGACACCCCAGAATCTCGCAGGCTTCCTTCCGATTATCGGCGACGCAATGGTACAAGGACAAGAAGAAGTGCAAGTTTCGGCTGTTCGTCTTCTCACAACCATAATTAAAGTACCTATGACGGAGCTGGATACGAATTGCCCCGTGTACATCGACGAAGCGATGCGCGCCATTAAGGGCGCACTGTCGTCCAACACGGAACTTGCGCAAGCTTCATTGAAGCTGGTATCAGCTGTTCTACGTGAGCGACCGAATGTACAAATCAAGGAACGAGATATCGGACACCTACTCAAGCGCATGATGCCCGATTTGGACGAGCCAGATCGCTCGGGTGTCAGCTTTGGTTTCCTCAAGGCTGTCATGAATCGGCATATCGATGTTCCTGAGATGTATGAAGCCATGGACAGGGTGGCCGAGATGATGATCACCAACCAGACGAAGTCCGCACGCGACATTGCCCGCTCACACTTCTTCCAATTCCTGACTTCGTACACGCAGAGCGAGAAGCGCTTCAAGAAGCAGATCGAATTCCTCCTCAAGAACCTCCGCTACGAGCATGTAGAAGGCAGGCAGTCAGTCATGGAAGCACTCGACCTCATAATCGGAAAGGCGCTGCCCCGCTTCCCGGAGAAGGCACAGGACGAGTATCATGGTATCATGTTCCTGCCGCTGATCAACACTGTGGCCAACGATGACTCAAGCAAATGCCGTGAAATGGCCAGCTTACTTGTCAAGAGGCTATTCCAACACGCCAGCGACAAGCGACTACAGAGTTTTGCGGGTGATCTCAAGAGCTGGTTGGAACAGGACGAAAACGTTGGCCTGAAACGTCTTGGTATTCAATGTTTCGGTTTCTACTTCGAGGCGATGGAGGAGGATGAAGAGCCGAAAGAACTTACATACGTTCTCGACCGACTGGACTCAACGATCGACGAATGCTTAACACGCCGTGACGAAGACGACTGGGAGTTGCTATACTACTCTCTCACTCTGCTCTCCAAAATCTGTAAGAAGTACACGGACACCATGTTCGCATCGAACAAAGACAGCCTCTGGACGGCAGTGCAGGCCAGCGTAACCTACCCGCACTTGTGGGTTAAGCTGAAAGCTGCAGAGCTCCTGGGTACATACTTCGCGCATCTGGGAGTGTCAAACAAGGATACTGGTCTTGAGGCCTTGCCCCTCGAAGGATCAGGCGGTTTGCAGCTAGCGGAACAGAGCATGACGCAGCTCTGCAATGCCTTCCTAAGAAACCTGCTCAACCCGGAAGTCTCAGAACAGCTCTGCATGCAGAGTGTGAAGAACATCGCTTTCCTGGCCCGATGCCTCGCTGTCAACGGCGCTAAGTGGCATTGGCAAAAGACAGATGATGATAAAGAAGAAGGAGGAGAGACTGTGGCTCCAACGAACGGTGATACAGCGGCCACAGACGATGAGGAAGATTTCGGCGGCTTCTCACCCCCACCCGAGACCGCAAAACCCAAGAAGACGGAAGAAGCTCCACCAGCAGCCATCCACCGCCTGATGATCCGGCTCTCGGGTATTGTCCGCAAAGATAAGAGCACCATGAACGCGAAGACGGCCATCATGAACCTTTTCGACACTATCGCTGCCAAGTTCCCTCTCGAACCTCTATCTACATCCCTCCCACATCTTCTTACTACTCTATCGACACTCACCGACGCCACTGCTACTTTCCCCAAGTCCTCCGCTGCCCTCGTCTCCAATAACGCGCCCAACGACCCGTATAAATCTCTCGCTGACAAGGCACGCGAGGTTATGAACACATTGCAGAAACGTCTCGGTACGCAAGAGTATCTGAATGTCATGGCTGAAGTGCAGAGAGGCGTCCGCGAGAGGCGCGAAGAGAGGAGGAGAAAGAGGAAGGTCGACGCTGTGTTGGATCCAGAGAAGGTTGGCAAGGAGAAGAGGCGGAGACATGATGTTAAGAGAGTGAAGCGGAAGGAGAGGAGTGCTGAAGAGAGAGGAAAGCGTAGGGGTTGGTAGGCTGAATTCGTATCTGGAGACGATGGGCTGTAGTGGGTGTTGTGTATGCATTTTCATGGCGTTTTGGACAAGGATAAGCAAAAGTTCAGCATTTCAGTGGGGGATAGGGGCATAATTAGTGAGGATGTTAGATTGCAAATGACATGTGATACCCTTCATTACTGCTCCTGTTGCCGCAGATTGACGTTGTAGCCAATAATGATGCTTGCTCATCGCTACGAGCTGTGCTATTGAGTAGAATATAGCCCCCAATAGTGTCCTCTGTCGCAAATTTTCTGAGCAGTCCGTTAACGATGAGTCCAGGACCGAAAGGGATTGGACACTCGAAGTCCATTAACGAGTGCCAGATTGATCGTTTGGGGTCGGCGCATGAGGTTTTTTGATCGAATGATCTCCCAGGCTAGATTCTTCCGCATCATCCATGCTTCGAACCGGCTGATCAGGGCACGTCCGTGACACCAAGCCATACTCGACGCCAGTAATAACTTTCTTTGTACTTGACGTATGGCTAGGGTTTTCAGTATTTGACGATGGTTGTGGGGGTGAGTGTCGTTGCGAGTGACCTGAACGAATCGGTTGATCAAGCGCCTCCAGGCCGTTTGGTGTTTGCCTCTTGTGTACGTTCATTTCGTCTTGTATCATTTTTCTCGTCTCTTCATCGCTAAGTTCTTCGAGAGTCAACTCCATTTCTGCCTCTATCTGTTCAGCCTCCTTGAACAGGTTGTACCTTCTTAGCATTGCGACGACCAACTGCTGTGTTGAAACAACATCGCCAATATCCCACTCAATGCAGCCTTCAGCAAGTGCTATAGCTTCTTGTGCTAACCAAAACCCATTTACGTGGTTTCCGATCCCGATGTCAGCTTCAGCCTTCTGTAGGGTTTTTTCTACGTCTTTTGCCGCAGGACTCTCAGCCTCTGACCTTGGGTACGCAGCGGACATTCCTGAGACAACTGAAGTGGACAGAATACAAACAAGCAACTAAAGGCCGTCGGCACTCCAGTTGTATCCCGCCAAACATAATAGAACCTGGTTAGATGCCTCGGTTATTGTAGATGCCCGACCACACCATCTCTTGTCTATGATCGGGCGGTATCGCTGTTTCTGGCTAAGGGTTGGCGCACTAGAGCTGCATGTAGCCAGCCATGCTGATCCATTTGGCAGCCTGCACGGCTGTATCTCAGCCTTGGGTCACCCACTTTCGTCTTACCCCACTGTGATATGTGTGGGAGATGAATGTATGTATAAGCCTACTTTCTATGGGGTGGTAGCAGAGGATTTCGTTGGTCACAAATATCGTGAGAGTCACTACATCTCGGAAAGTGCGCTGTGTTTGTGTGCTTGGTTGGTTGTCGCCTGTCAATAAAGCGTTGAGATCGGTAATGTGACCCCTGGCGTGAGGGCGTTCGCCCACGATCTTCGGTAGGCATGCTCGATGCCCATGTGCTTCCTCTAAATATTTTACCTATCTCGCAAATTTCGTTACGTCGGAAGCTACAGTTAGCCTCCTAATGACTATCGGCAACTTATATGCACTGCGTTGTTCTAGGTGCCTGATGAACTGCAAGCGCAACAAAGTTTCCAAGGTTCTCTTCACCCTTTTAGGTCACATAGGAGCAATAAGTTTCTGGAACAACTCTAGACATCCGTAGCACTGGCTGTCATGTGTGTTTGGTTCATTTCAACACGAAAGTGTTCTGAAGCTTCTTGACGCGCCCCAGATCTTGCACAGCTTCCCCATTCATCTTCTGGTGAATGTAAGTTTCACCAATCAGTGTGAATACGCCAGCGGCTTCAAACGAGCCACACACTTCCAGGTCCTCAATCTTCCTGAGAACCACAGGTACCGAACAACCACCGATGATGCATACGACGTCGCCTTTCTTGCACCTTTCGGGGGCTAGCCCGTACACCAGATCATCCCCAAACGCTGCTCCCAATTTCAACTGTATGAAGCGGCGCCTCCAGATGACGCTCTTGGCCCTCTCCAGATATTTCGAGGTCATGGTGTCCAGCGGAGTATCCGAAAGTGATCTGTTGGTGTTCAAATCGCCTTGGCTATTGACGAAACGCGAGTCTTCAAGGCAATGGAGACATGCTCGTTTATACCATTCCGGGAGGTTGTTTCCATTCTCAGTCCGATCAGCAACCAGTGTTCTCCATAAACTATCGGGAATGACATTCTTCTTGTCTCCTCTCAGCATCGCTATCCAGTCGCCCGGTATGACCCCCTCTCGCATTGTGTCAGATTTTTTCTCAATAGTACCCAAAATGAATCCTGGAACACTTAGGTAATCAGCGTGCTCCATATGATGCACTTGCTCCTTGCCCTCTTGTATGTAAAGCCCTTGCAAAGATCTCGAGTTTTGATGATTAAGTGGGCGTGCGGGATCGGCCAGTTCTTTGATAGTATTGAGTCCATTAGGCTTGGTAAAGGCTGAGAGAATTGAGTTCCAGTCGTTGGTCTTGTTTATCTCCTTCTTTGCTGAGATCGCAGGCGCAGTAATAGAGCGCTTGTGACCCTTCGTCGGAGAGGCCGGGACTGATGTGACTTCCCCGTTTGTAGACGTGAAGTTAAGACTGTCGGTCGATCTGGGGCTAGGCTCTTGAACAGCATCACGTAATGAGAGCTCATCAAGAGCGTCGACGTTTGGTGGATTCTGGAATCTCGCTGTCGGTAAGGACGGGGAGCTGGTATCTCCGTGCGCGTGTGCGCCGTTGACCTTAGATGAGATACTAGGCATAGGAACATTACCCGTTGACCACCGTGTTTGCGCGCTTGGAACTCGTACTTGTGAATCCTTTTGGCTGAGATATTCGTCTAGATTAGGGTTCCAAGTTCCTGAGGCATTATACTGCTTCCATCTTCGATGTGGGGAAATAGCAACGAAATTTTCACCATTCTGTCTCTCGTGAGACGTGCCTGGCAAACCAAAAGGAGCATTAGTAAGGTCTGATATCCAGGAAGGTAGTTGAACTCTTTCGCGTGAAGTGTCAGTCACTGGTGGAGCCCAATGCCGACAGATGATATCTCGAGATCTTGATCTCTCAATGCAACGATGCACGAATGCAATGAACAGCCCTGGTGTGCCTTTGTCGTTGTTTGCGCTGAATTCAAAGTCTTCTAACCCAGGTGAATCGTGCGCGAGTGCCCGTACTGAATGGATAACGTCCTCGGGAAACCTAGCTTGAGATTGTTGGAATGTGCAAACAAGTGTCTCAAGATCAAGGAGCTTTTCAGCGATTTCTCCTGTAGAAAATTTCCGGTAGACGTGTGTAAGCGACTTGACCAGTTGAGTTGCACTCAAATTTGATATCTGCGCAAATATGGGCTTTGGGCTGAAGGCGCGCTCGATCATTGCTTGATTTTCCTCCAGAATCGATATAGCGACCGCGAGATCATCCCAGTGCACTACGTTGTGTCCGCAGTGAACCGAAGCGCTTCGTGCTGATGCAATTTCTTGGATTATCCAACGACGACTGAACCACTGCGTTTTCTTTAGGGTTTCAACGAGGTTCATCCACTGTCCTGTTGTGGCTTCATCAACAATACGAAGGCATGCTTCGAGCTCTTCGAAGTTGCTGATTTTGTGGACGAAGCTGAGAGCTTTGCTTGATTGCTCATCGGGATCCCCAAGCCATATGCATACGTTCTTAGCGCAGTTATAGATCTCACTCATCATGGACAATTGCCTGTTCTTCTCCGCAGCTGCATATGGCCTATCCCTTTGATCTATGCATATAGCATCCACCCAGAGACTGACAAATTGTGTGGTGTGGCGCAGGTGCTTCAAAGCTTGATGCAGATTGGACCGGACGGGAAATTCCTGAGCCGGTCCACAATGAAGTTGGCCCATCTCGTCAACCGTAGCGCGATGAATGGAGATAATCTGATCAGCTTGACTGTCGCCCCAACAATACGACAGAGCTTCGAATTTGTTTTTCACTCGAGCCAAATCCACGACATATAGGTCGCATACCACGGTTTCATCGAAATTCTCCACGCGCTGTGGATGGATACGTAGGAGCCTAATTTGCTGGTGGTTTTCTTTGAGATTTAGGCCCTCGTAGCTGAAAGATTTCGTAGCCCGCTGAACCCGTTTGGCTTGCTTGACGCTGGGATGGTTGAAGTACCTCTTCCAGAGATCCTGGCCTCGGTATTGGGCGCGATGGCTGGGTGCTCCTTGCCTGGCAATCCTGTCTTGTGGCTCGTCGTTGTTTCCTAGCAGGAAATCTTTTAGCTTGCGGTCGTATACAGACATTCCGCTGGCCTCGCCTGCCACTAGACGTTCCATGACTGGAGGTGGTTGCTTGTAACTGTCAGACATGAGGATGCGCTGAAGATTTGGGCTCCGCGCTCTGATTCCGAATATGGGGCGAACAAGTTATATAGCGAATGCGTCGGGCTGAGATTGCACTCGCTCAAAGCAAGAAGTGGCTGTATTAGTGTAGGCGCACAAGCACTTTCGGTTCTTGTTATTCTAAGCTTCTCAGCCTGATATCACTACTTCACTCATCTTCAGGATGACTCGTTGGATGTGTTCGTGCTTGTAGAAGACCCGGGCAGCAGTGAGATTATCCTCGTACCCTACCTACGTAATTCCAAACATGATTCTAGTCCAAAAACAACGAGATCGCAAGCAATGAGTACGAGCTTCTACAGTAAAGTTCTAATACGTTGTCAGAACAGTGTCCCGCCTGGAACGCCACTCCGTATTCGGTAAAACATGGCTACAACCCGAAAGCTGCTGATGCAGCTTTGATGGGAATGATTGGACTCCAGTGCAGGATGCTTCTTTCTCGACCAGGATGAGCAAGATGTGGGTGGTCAGCTTTTTGCGGCATGGCTGGCATCAAGGCTAGCCGGCCTACATGCCGAAGTGCTTTACAACGATACCGAACCTGTTGTCTATCCGTCAATAGAGAGGGCTGATGCAGTGAGTAGTCTTGGACAATGAGAATGCTTAGATACGTGATCAGATACTTCGCACCCGCTTTCTTTTCTATGCCCATGGGTGGATCATATCGTACAGACCCAATGACAGTTTCTTCGGTCAGCACAGGAAGCTGCGAAACCTCAAGGCTGGGGGATCGCCGCATGATAAGAGCTCTATCCCGTGTGTGTCGGGTTGACCAACCAGGGTTCGTGAGGAAGCGGACGTGCTTGAGCAATATCATCAGCCTTGCGCCACGGCGCTTACAAACAACGCGTGAAACTTACGAAGGAGCTCATTTCGACCAGTTTACCAAATGCTCAAATTATCTCCTCGAAACATACAGCGTGCTATATTTTCTACTTTCTCAGTGTAGACACAGCGTGTATCTTTAGGGTGCGGTGTGACTAGGTACAACTCATAAAACACGAACTTCCTTGTACATACCCCAAACTCTTAGCCCATCAACTAGTGCAGATTGGCTTCGGGCCGGTACCTTCTTCTGGATCGTACAATTGAAAACGACGTGGCCGATCATCATCCTACCCGCGGTGAGTTCGCGACTTACGAGTCTGTCGATGGCGGACCAATGTGGACATAATCATCAGCCATCCCTACTCTGCTCTAACCTGGATGAAAAATTCTTTCTATATAATGCTACCTTCGCGCCGTTGCACAACCCAAGATACCTGCTTTTGTATAAGCTAATCACCCTCAATACAACACCATACTTCACTAACGCTGTACGGGCTTTATTTTGACCATCAACGCGCTTTTATCCCAGAGCGTGAAAACCTTCTGCTCACCCATCCAATCCCTCTCTTTCTCTACGAGTTCGAGGTCGAAAGCGAAGACGATCTTAGCGAGGATGAGACGCATTTCCGCGTATGCCAGACTAAAAAACGATAATGTCAGTCTATGATTGTCTTTGTCTTCCCTGACTGAGCAAGCAGGTGAAGATGTGATTGTTGCTAGACAAGAAGGAAGGCGAGAAGAAAAGAAAAAGTATACGTACTTCTTGCCCAAACAGTTCCTTGGTCCAAAGCTAAACGGATTCAGCGTCGACCTCTTATCATCCTTGTACCGTTCCTCGCCCAACCAGCGTTCCGGAACGAAGAGCTCTGGGTCCTTGAAATTGCGCTCAGAATGATACATCGCGTGTTGGGAACAGTATACCGAAGTGCCGCCAGGGATATAGTGGCCTGAGATATTGTCGCCCCCCGCTGGTACAACACGAGGAAAGCCTGTGGCAACGGGTGGATAAAGTCGTAGAGTTTCCTGGAAGACGGCGATGAGGTATTCGAGCTTGTTGACTTCTTCCATAGTGATCTCGTCAGGAGAAGAAAAACGAGAGCGGATTTCGGCAGCGAGTTTAGTATACGCAGAGGGGTTACGGAGGAGGAAATGGGTAGCGCCCGACAATGTTGTAGCAGTGGTTTCGCTACCTGCAACGAGAAAGGTGACTGCATTGCTGTCCATTTCGTCTCTGGTCATTCTTGTTGCTTCCTTCTCTTGGTTGTTCACTATGTGGGTGAAGAAGTCTGGTTTTTCCACGCCTTTCTCGCTGTCAAGCTTCGCTAGTCGCTTGCTGACCTGATCGCGGGCGCGCTCAAAAAACTCGAGTCGTGCGCGCGCAGCAACTGAGTTGTCTTGGAAAATGCTGCGCAGGGAGTTGGACCACCTGAAGATGAAATGTTTATTGCGAGCAGCGTTCAAACCGGTGGCCGTTATGGACTTGAAGGTGATGGAAACCCAGCTGTGTTTGACGGAATCGCGCAGGCAGTAGAGTGGTTCGCCGAAGGTGAGATCGGATATAATATCGAAAGTTGCATAGTCTTTTGCACATATGATCAGTCGAAATGCGAAGCACACCATAAGCCATAGGTTACTCACTGTACCAGGTCATGATATCCATGTCTTTGCCTTGAGCGGCGTGTTCGCCCATGCGCTGAACGAGAAGATCGACATAAGACTGAATGAGACTCTCTTGTCCTCGTAGGGCTTTGTCACTGAAAGCGTGTGCGAGGTTACGTCGCATTCTCGAGTGTCCTGCTTCATCTGCTATGATGATTGACTCAACGCCGTTGGTAGGTGCTAAGCTGTTTTCTAATCAGCATCTTTTGCTCGCGTCTTCGAAAAGACTTAACTCACTACCAATTCCTGTCCTTGAGGTAATATCCGGTGTTCTTGCTCTTGCCTACACGGAAGCCGTATATGCTTTGCCAAGCAGTTTCTCCTGAGATGAAGCTGACTTCACTTGGGGTCACACGAACCGCATCGCCGTACTTATCGTGGCACTCTTTTACCCATTGGACCGAACTGCCGTCAAACATATGTAGAGCACAGGGAATACCGCACGCGCGTGCGAAGAATGGACCGGGGATGTGCTTGAGAGGGTGGAAGAAAACATTGTATATAACTGAATAAACAGCATAGACGGTGGCCTATTCGATGTCAGTCGATGCCCATAGTTCGGCACAATTAATGTTTTGCTTTGAGCTCCGGTTGATCTAACAATGTGGGAACATTGAGGAGACTGTAAAGGATAGACCGGAAGTGACAGCAAGATAAGAAACGTGGAGCTTGTACTCACCAATGCTGAAAACACTGCAAACCAAAAGACAGCGCCTTTGAAGCTGAAAAGCTCAGAGTCTGCGGGCAATATACTCGCTAAGAACGTCATGGCTAGGGGGAAGAATGGCCACAACTTGAAGTAGAATGTGTCAATCTGGTGAATTCGTCAAGAGTAGGTATGGCATGGAGGTATAATATAGCAACAGAACCACCTGACTCGCCAACCTAGAGATCGCCATAACATCACGCATGCGTTAAAGATATTCATGATTGATGCAACGCAAACGTTAAAGCAGTATGCGGCTCGACGGAGCGTCGGATGGTCCGCGGCACTAAGCTCCAGACATTGCTTGTCCCAGGGACAAGCTAGCACGAATCGACAATAGATCAGCACATTTAGACTCCAGTTGCCCCTCATACAATGCGCAATCATCTCGGCCGAGGAGTAGTTGACTACCCACGTACCCCGTCTCTTCGATGCGTAGCCTTGTTTTCTCTGCGTTGCCTCCCAAGCTCTTCCCTGTGTTTGATGTCGTCTCTCTGCTCCATTTCTTCTATTGCCTTGGAACTTGGCTTCCAGATCCGTCGCGAGTTCAGGTATTGGATGAGCGTCTTTCACATAATACGGATGGTAACACCCGTAGAGTACATGGAGTGGGGTTCAACAGACCCGTCGTGATGGTTTGCCGCCCTGCGAAGTTACATCATTCTGTTACTTGTAGGGTGTAAACCTTGTCTCTTTTGATTGCGTGTGACATCGTGTGCAGAAGTGGACCAACAGGTGCATTGACGTCTGGCCATAGCAAAGGCTGTCATGCGATCAGTTGGCAATAGAATAGATGCATACCGCATTGATGGAATCCAATAAAGAATCGTCTCTTCATTCTCCTGCCTAGAAAGGCCGCAGATGAGAAGTGGGTACACTGCGTGCTACCACACGCGTCAACGCTCGTACATGTTATTGTGATATAAGCCGTCCCAACGCCTTTCAATACAAACTGCTAACCATCCTCACGCCTACCGACACTTGGTGCGAAACAAGCTGCGATATGGGATGGCGCATGACAAAGGAAAAAGGTATCATCGAAAAGAAATGTCGGTCTGGACTCGGGTCGCACATGAAGTTGTGATTATCTCGTAGGTTTGCGTGCAACCGGGGATCCCCTTCGACATAGTCAGTAGTGCACTTGCGCGTTGTATTCAATCATCAACCACCCACCCGTCATGCGCGGCGTTCCACGTCTTGACAAAAGCGCGTTGTGTCTTATCCGCATACGTCTCGTTGCTAACCTCCTTAACTCCGACCTTTGCGCCGTCTTTCGTGAAGACGACGTTCTTCTTTTCCATCTTCTTGACGCCGCGTTCAGCGAGCTCATTGGAGTAGAGGAAGATCTGAGAGACACACATGTTAGCGATACAATGCGCAAACTACAGAGGAGTTGTGTTACCTGATAGCCCACCCATCCCAAGCCTCCAACGACCGCAAAGAGGATCACAAGCGGAATGAGGTTTGTTGCGCCCATGGTTGTGGTGGTGGTGACGTAGTGAGTGAGGCTGGTGTTGTGCTGACGTGCGTGGTGGCGGGGTAAACCTTGCGGAGGCTGAGTGCGTGTGTGAATGAGGCAGAGGATGGTGCGATACAAGTAGACGTAGAAAAAGAAATCTTTCACAAGCTTCGCAAATTGTTGAAGGGCTGAGGACCCACAGTTGGCCGTCGTTCTGGATGCCGTGGCTGAGCAGATGAAACCCCGAACAGGAATTGGAGGGTCAGGCTTGGCACGGAAACGGGCCGCAGCTGATCGCCGCGGGCGATTCTTCGATCAATGATTGCGACATGTGAGCGGCGCCGCTGGAGCTTGCCATGTGAAAGGTGCTGATGATGCCTTGTTAACGAGGGTCCTGCTCGGGATGCCTGACGCGTGACAAGACGGGGTTCTCCACATTGATCATCCGCGTCGAACCGGTGGGTCGCAAGAGCACTTGCTCCATGTGGATGATTATCCCCCGAGCGGTACATTTGCTTCGTATTGGATTCTGACCGAAATGCCATGTCCCGTGACCACCAAAGCTATATATAATACACGTGCGATGTTGCCTACCGCGAACTCGAAACAACTTCTTCCCTCAATATTATTACATGTCTAGTAACACGCGTCGGTTCGCGTCAAGGAAACATAGGCCCACATGTCAGAACATGTCTCCGTGCTAATACCAGCACCTGAGCACTACTCAGCCCAAACTTGGTGCCAATGACTGATAGTCGACCTAGCAACCAGTCACGCTGTTGTTGCGGTACCGTCTCAGCGTTTGCTGCAACGTACAGCGGCCACACTAATGAGTACCCTCCATAGGCCTCCGCAGCTATATAGCGGTTAGCACACTCCCAGTCTTCTGTCAAAACTACCATCACTTACCATTCTGCTCCTGGCCCATCTCCTTGGCCATTGGTTGTAGTTCGTAGCTCATATGGAACGGTATACACGCACTGATCTCGTCCACCATCATCTGGATGACAAACACACTCTTATTCCATGCCTCGTCGCCATCTGCATAGTTACCACTGAAACTCAGCCATGTCACACATGCCATGATTACTCTCCGACAGAATATCCGGCATACACGGTAGTCGTTCATTATACTCGCCAATGGCACGTCATGATATACATGCTGTTCTCCTGGCCATTTTTCCGCCAGCGCAATATCCTCAGGGGCAAGTCTTTCGCTAACGACACCAATGATACGATGTTTCCATTCGGGGGGTAGTGTACGGTACCACTCTTCGAGGTTGTCGTCGACCATTTGTGCGAACTCGAGAATTTGCTTCGCTTCTGATTCGTAGGTCAGATCATATGGTGTGGTGGTGAGGGTGTTTGCGCGAGCACGGAGGTTTGGAAGGTCGATACAGATGAGTGTCAGGCGGTTAGCAGCATTTTCCTCTGATATGTCGCCTTTACCAACCCAGCCTCCCGCGCCAGGGAACGAGTCGATAGGCTTCGAGCGTTGAACGCAGCTTGTGATCTGATCTTCATTAGCTTTCGATATGCAGTTTGTGGCATGGTCATCATTACCATCATCGTCCGTACAGCGCGGAACATGGCATGAGAGATTGGGTCATTGAATTGATCCATGCCTCTTAACTTTGTCAACGCGACAGCACCGTCGACATGGTTTCCCCACGCTGTGATAGTATCGTCTGTGCTCATTATTGTCTGGCATTTGTTAGCTTCAGAAACATGTCGCACAACTGGTTGAAGGCCTGCGAGAAGTGACTGATTTACTTACCTCGTACAGTGAAAACATAAGAATGGCAAGCACACTTTCATCGCTCTTCGCCATCACTGGATCTTTCAGATCGTCATTCAGTTTCTTGATAGCTTTGCCATAGGTAGATACTGCTTCCCGGAGTAGCTCTTGTCGGCCAGGATACTGGCCGCATGTTGCCATTGCAACAGCAGTAGTGGCTAGGTGAAGAACGGAGGATGGGCGAGCACGATTGTAGAGAGGCACGAGATACTCTAGATAGCCTCTGGTGCTTTCGGCTTGTTGTGGTAGGGTAATGAAGTTCTTGAAGAAGAAGGGTACGGCTTCAGCTTCTGGCGCAAGTGAGATAGTTGGGGGCACTGCATTTTCGAGATTCCACACAAACGCTTCGAAATCAAACGCCTGATTAAGAGGTAATGGTGGTGTTGTGTAATTGGGTAAGGCCAGTATCTGTTGTGATTGGCTTAAGTCTGATGGAGAATGTGATCGTGATGTTATTGTCTGGAAGGCCTTCTCTCCTGGTACTCCGTTTTCTCCTGGCGATACATCAAACGTCGAAGAAGGTGACCTGGGACGTTAGTAGAGGTTTACAAGGGCAATGTGGATCTGCGGCTTGGGTCTATCACATGCAAATACCCACAGACCATATACCACGACTAGTGTACCCATAGCTCGGCAAAGCTTGTCGGTATCCGTCAAAGGTATGCAGCGGGACGGGATAGACAAAATAGCGTAGTACATACAGATGCGGAGAAGGGTTGGAACTTGACGCGCCGGTGCTGTTGCTTGATGCTGTCGTTCCAGAGGATTTCCTTGCCTTCTTGGCCATAGCTTTGTTTTCATCTCGAAAGACCAAATCGAAGTCGTCGGGATAACCGGGACATGTTCGAGCCGACTTCTTGCAATTGCCACATGTTGGTCGCTTCTCGTCGCACTATGCATAGTCAGTAAGCGCATCCGGATATGCATGGAGGCGACATCGCTAATCAAGAGGAAGGAGTAATTGTCGCGAGGTACCAAGACATACCTTGATTCTTCGGCTCTTACACATGCCACATCCCCTGCTCGGCTTTCCGGTGTAAACCATTGTGATATAAATGTAATCCAAGGAGTGAATGAAGACAATGAGGCGGCGTTTTGAACTCCAGGCCCGAAGACAACACCTGTCTGGCAATTCTAGCCCTTAGCTGATGACTATAAAGACTCTGCCAGTAAACAACAATATTCCTAATCGGATATCAGGCAACTCCGCCTCTGAAGCCTACGACTACCATCAAGCCTACGTTACCGCTTAATCCTAGCGAAAAGCTTCAGCTCGCCAATGTCTGACAAGCCCTGTATATCAACGGAAACGTGAGCTCCCTTAAACCGAGGCACGCGATGGTAAGCACAAGAAAATTGACGTTGACGTAGGGCGGACAATCCGTGGGGACGATTGTGCAAACAACACTCGCTAAGGAAGGAATTCGCGATCGGACCACCGAGCGTGTATCTAGCGTATAGGAACTGACCTATAGGAAGGACAGGGAGACAACGACAAGATTGTAAACTGCATTCTGAAACCGGACGAGGGATGACATGGCAGTCCGAGTCGGTTATTCTAGCTCACCGAGATGCGCATCGCAGGAAGGGGTCATTGTAGTGGCTAGTTTTTCTCGCAAGCAATACCAGATTGGGCTTAGGGCTGCGCCCACAGAAGTGGCGCAGCAGGTTTCAACCGTTTCTGATATCACCGGCTAGTCGACAAAACGCGAGAAACACGTTCGAGGCGTTCTCAAATGTTGTTGCCTGGCGTCTACTATGCAGGTACCTGAGGCTCTGACGCAACTGCTTACGCATGTCGCATTTCGATCTCTTTCGGGATTGTGGAAGTTTGATTGGAATCGCCGACTTCTCCGGGCTTGCGGTATTAGCCGCATGACAGCGATTGCGCCCTCTTCACAACGTGTCTTCTTCTCCAAATTACGATGAGAGATGGACTTCGATGACGACATAATGTAAAGAGACAAGTCGGTGATGGAGGGTAAGGATGGTCAAGCGCACTTGGAGATGCACCCTGAGAAGAGCAGGACCCGCCATGATAGCCGGCTATATCACAGAACGAACACTGAGGGTTGGCGCCTTTTTTTCTATATAAAGACGAGCAGTGAAATCGCACAATAAACTTGGAAGCCTCCAACGGGAACACACGCGTCACATCGAACTGAACGTTGGATAATCGAGAGGTAACGCCAAGCGCTTTCACACAGCCACCCGAATCATGTACAGGTGGTCTAACCATGACACTTATACCAGATGCATATCCAAATGCATCGAAAGCTATATTTGCGGCGCAAGGAGGGTTTCCCCTTTCCAGAGAAAGATACAAGAAGTGCCGTTATTTTTGACCTGTCGAACAGCACATGACTTTCTCCATCGGATACCATTGTTGCATACACCCAACCAATAATCAAGTTGGTGCATCGACTCCTGTTGTGGCGCAGAAACTGCAGGTCTCTAAATCTGGATAATACTTAGAACGCGTTTCGATAAGGGTTCGATTCGTTGTTCGAAGCCGCTGAACAAAACCCGGATGGTGAGCCCATCGATTGCAACTGGAGCCAAGAGTGTAGGAAGTGGTTCAAGATAGGCCCTTAGAAGTAACCGCGTCAAACCATTGCTTCTCTTGAAAAATGTGAGTCCTTTGTGCTGGCTCAAAATTGCCAGTAGACGCCTTCTAGGCATACAACAACAGCCCGGAGTGAAGGTATATTGGGGGATGTTTCTACGATGAGCACCAATTCCGGCGCGGCTATGCGGCGAAATTGCCTACACCTTCTTAGTCGGTACCAATGCGAAAACATACAGAGAAGATGCAGAATGTGTTTCGACTTGAATTCTACGTTGTCTATCTGCCCTAGCAGGCTCGCGATCGCATCGTCACAAACGCGAATCGTGACGATGTTCCTCTATCCACAGGTCTTATCTTCCATACTCAGGCACATGTGTTTCCTAGAATGGGATGAGCAAGTTCATGACAGATTTGGAGCGTAAGGTTACGAAGAAAGGCTAAGAGATTTAGAACTTGAAGTGTTCTGCGAGGAGCTTGACGGCTAAACAATGTGAGCCCGGGGCGCTGGCTGTACATGCATCCGCGCCAGATAGAAGCAATACCAACAGTGTCCTACCTTCTTGAAGCTCGAAGATGTACACACACAGTGTTGATGAACTGCGAAGGACAGAACAGCATATCGACATACTGGAAGCTCTTGTTCGACAGTCGCCTCTTGGTCGTAATAATTGAAGGGTTCTAGCGGATCGGCGCGTATGTGTCTCGCTGGCGGTAGATCGCTTGACCTCAAAGTAGACAAAAGATGGGGTATAGCGGCCTTCGAAAACTGATATGGATGCATCGCCGGTAAACTGTCGAGAATGATTTTTCGTTCGACTTTGTCAACCGTACCCTGTCCGCTCAAACAGAACCCTATTTTGTTCTTGGCTCCCTGAGGTATGCTGGGCATATGACCAGGACTCTTCTCCCATTCGGAGCGCCTCACAAATGTCGAATCTAATATATACTTCAGAATAGTTCTTGGTAGTCAGCTTATCTCACTCATCGCCGTTGAGAATCTAGCAGAGGGTGGTTTGGCCGAAGAGAGTCTGTCGTCTGCGCGATTTCATATGCTTTTCAGACAAAATCAAGAGTCCGATCGGTCTTGTATCGTAATAACATCATTTTCGGTCTTGCCGCGATCCTCGCATGCGCCAGACATCTCTGACGCAATGTCGCAAGCATCACAGCGTCGCGTCGCTGTACGCGAAGAAAAAGAAGAAATGTAAGTTTCAACACACGATGCAAAGGAACTCGTCGACCCAGGAATACAGAAAGTGGCCTTGAAGTTCTAGATGTCGTTCACGACGTGGTTCGGCTACTGCACGTACACCCTACCGTATGCAGGTTGCACCTCCGGTCGCATCGCATAACAGCGGATCCAACACTATCGGTCCTACCTCGTATCGAATTTCATTGGAAAATTCCTCTGGGGTTGTGTCGGCGCGCGCCTATCCGCAGCCTCCACAGTGGAAATCTTGATGCCCAGATCTACGCAGTTGGTTGCACTGCGACTCCAGACACATGAAGAACAACCATGCTTGTGGCGGCGTGCCTTATGCAACCACAACGTTGCGTATGCAGGCCTTGTTCCTGCGTCGATCACCAGAAAACTCTATTATTAGCTAGCCTTGCTTACAACTTGGCGTTATAGTGGGGTAAAACCGTAGGAAGGAACAACGCACGCGAGATTGTGTCTAGTCAGAAGCGGCCCGGGAATGAATCGATGATAGAGGTGTTCCTTTTTGCTTAGTCCGGGATAGTATCGCACTGCACTCATGATAGCAATCGTGGTTGGTGCGACTGGCGACTCACACAAGTCTCGGTCAGAAACCCAATCCAGTGCCGAATAACCGCGGATTATTACACTATTATTGCGCGAATTGCTAATTGGCAATCTTTTTCCTCGTGTGTGCATAAATTTCATTGACTTTCGATGCCAACAATGGTGCACGATCTAGACGGTGAAGAAAAAATGGCTATTCTTATCGTGCTCTTTGTTAGCCGAATAACCATCTTGGGATGACGATACAAAGGCTTGGTGGTTTACCTGGGCAAGATAAAATAAGGTAAGGCTCGAGCGAATGCCCAGCTGTCCGCGAAGTCTTGTCACCCAGGCTATCGCTGCTCAGGGGAATGATCATCATGGTACAACACCCATCGCGTGTTAGCGCTGCAGAGAAATTTGGGACGGCAGCGTGCGCGTGGCCGCAAGTTCTGTGGGTGTGCCTGTCAGGGACCAACCAGGGCCATGCTTTTAGTGTTTGTCGAGGTGGATTCGGCGCGGCCGGTATGACGTTGAGCCCGCATTTTCTTTATTTGTTGATGGGTAGGCGTGGTAGACTTGGCCAAACCTGGAGAGACGGAAGCGTGTCGGCAATGGAAAATTCTCGTGATGTCGAATTAGAGGCCGTGTCGTGGCTTGCCTGAGGGATGAAGAAGTGTCCGTTCGCAGCGCTTCGGTTGGAGTCTGCCGATTTATCTCCCGTCGAATCACGCGACTTTGACCTCGTTTACTGGCTAGCGGTGAACATAGGCCCAAGGGATTTGACTGGTCGCATGAGCAGAGATTCTGGCATCGCGGCCGACCTTCCTAGAACTGCTAAACGCGATGGTGTTGTTGTTGGCGGGGGCCACATGTACGGGTCGCGTGTGTTTGACAGCCAATCCTTCGCGACTCTCCATACGAGGGCCGCCCCTGGGCAAGGTGTTGGGGATGAACACATGATCGCCCAACGGATAACGGATCCCAGTCAGTTGGTAAAGGTCCTATCGTATTGTGGCGCGCCGTCAGTAAAGCGCATGGTGCCGGTTGGCTAGTTCGGCATGGTAGAGACGAACCTGATTAAACCCTGTTAGCACCAGCGATATGGGCTACTTGTACAGTCAGTATATAGACTCGAGGCTGCTCGTTTGCCCCTTGGCAAGCAATCCGTCGTACCCTCCCGTCACTCGCTTTCACATTCGCTCGCTTGCGTTTGCCATTCGTTACCAGTCTTGATAATCGTCGGTCGTTCAGTACTACACCGTGTAATACCTATAATCACCGTTCGGTATCCGTAATCTACTACCGTCAACGCCACCCACAATATACCACACAGTACCCTACTCCAAAATGTCTTTGAAGTTCCTATCACTCGCTCTTGCGGCTGTCGCAACTGCGTCTCCTTTTGACTCTATGTCGAAGGCCACTAGCGACGACCCTTACGAGGCATGCCAACCGCAAGGAGCGACCGGCACAACCCCACCAGCAGTTGGCACGGAGCTCAGCTCTCTCTATACCGATATCCTCTCCTCTATCCAGGGTATCACTTTCGACAAGCGATCTGTTCATGGCCGTGCGGACGGCTTCGGTTGCCGCCAAAGCTTGGACTGTGTCAATGTTCAGAACATCAACATCCCCATGTGCTATGACAAGTTCACCACAAACTTCCAATTCCCAGACGGCTCTTTCGGAAACGTTGCTGCTGGAACATACACCTCCGGAGGTACTGAAGTCAACCTCGTCAGCGGAGACTACACCAAGGATGGCCAGAGTGCCAACATCTACTCCAACAACGAGGCTGAGAAGCCAAACACGTCGACCCTTTCAATTCCCGCTCAATACACCGGCACTGGTGTTGGAGGAGCGATCCCAGTCACAGAACTCGGATCCATCATCGTCTATACCACCACTATTCCAGCCGTAACATACTCTGCACCCACCACCGTTGCGGAAACCGTTGAGGTAGCCACTGTCAGCGGAGTGAAGGTCTCTACCACCGTTCCCGCTACCACCATCACCCAGGCCACAACGATCGCCGCAAAGACCAACGTCGTCACTCAAACAAACACTGCCTCAGCTGCACCTCAAAGCACCGGAGCAGCTGGACAGATGTCTGTTGACACAACAAGGTCCTTCGGAATGTCGGTTGTCGGTGCCTTGCTATATGCGCTCTTGTAAGCAGCTGATTTATTGGAAGCTATGCTCATCGCAGTGTACTAGGTGGACGGATTGATCTTAGGAGTTATATTCAAGGCATTCCTGAATGGATGATACCCGCTGGAGCTTTAGCATACGCATGTTTACACGTACTGTGGCAATCCAGTACTGATGTGCCACGATTAATGAATAATATCCTACCCTTCACATCGGACTCTTTGCTTTGTGTCATGCCACTTTTGATAACTCTCTCTGCATCTTGCTGACTTCCTGGCAATTCACGTCTTCTCCAGGTGCTGTGATGGCTGCTGAGTGGAGCCATGTTAGGTGGGTCCTCCTCTTGAGCTCCTCGATATTTGTACTTCTGACCCCTCCACCGGCTATTAGCGACAGATCTGCTCCAAACCTTGAATGTAATTGATAGAGCTTATCAGCACCTTGGAAGGCGCTCTTCGCCCCACCACTAGTTAACAGGCTCTTGAACCCGCAGCTGACCACTGTTTCAACAGCTTCTTCCAAATCCTCGGCCTCATCGACTGCACGATGAAACGTGCATGGAAGCGGGGCTGCGGCTTCAACCAATTCGCGGTTGCGAGTTTGGTCTATACGACGATTGGCGTCTAGAATGCCAAAGACGAATCCGCTAGCGAGAGGCTTAAGCACCTCCATGTCTTTCTTCATAAGAGTAAACTCTTCGTCTGAGTAGTTGAAGTTGCCAGCTCTTGGTCTAATCATGACATTGATTGGAATCGTGACTTCCTTGCGTACGTGTTGTAGTGTGGAGTGGGAAGGTGTGACCCCGCCAGCGGAGTAGTTGGCACATAGTTCAATCCGATCAGCGCCTGCTTGAGCTGCTACGGTGGCAGAAGAAGCGTTGAAGCAGGCTATTTCGAGCATGGTGTTTTTACTTCGTGTGAGGTGAAAGCTGTAATGTAAGATGAAGAGACGAGCAGTAGGTTGGTTGTGGGGCGAAGCTTGAGCTAGGCTAGTGCTACAAGTGGATTGGCTGACGACATGACTACGCTACAGGCCGACACCATCTTCCTATTTTCCTAAAACCAAGAACCCGTTAAAGGCAGTAGATCAAGGAAGTTCGTATGAATATCTAGGCGGTTCAGTTGTAACAGGAAAGATGACAGTGAAATTGCCGTCAGCTATCCTCCATCTAAGCCCAACGAAGACTGAAAGACGCGGGGTCTTCAGAGTAATGACGACAGATGTTTCTATGGTTATTCAGAGAGCGTAAACTCAGTATGAAGATGATGGAAAGAGAACAATATACCCAACAATGTGGTCTCGTGGCTTGTGTAATGCACATTTTCAAGGGTTGGTGGCTCCCGGATAGTGCACACAAGGTGAGGCTCACTGTGGTGAATAACATGCTCAGAAGCAAATGCCGTTGTTTCATCGCTCACCTTCCTCATCAAGCAGGGCAAGCGCATGGACGAAAGCCCGATGTGAAGGTGAATTCTAACTCACCAGTCTGACCAACAGCTCCGCTTCCCTTCTTCTCTCGGCTTTCTCTGTTGCCACGCAACCTTGAGACTGTACTCCCAATATCAGCATACACAGTCAAAATGTCAGACGAAGAACAGAAGACACCCAGTAAGGCGGCATCAAGCGGCGGCGCCTGGTCCGAACAAGAAAAGGTATGAGATATGAAAGTGAGCTCACTGCCGGGCTCCTACTTGGCACCGATTGGATCGACTGTGCTGCATACAAGCCCTATGTCTCTACCAAGCCCGCCACTGACTGTGATACAGATCGCGTACCTCATGGTTCTTTGCGAGCATGCAGCTGACACCGAAAAATTCGAGTCCAAGACCAACGTAAGTGTTACCTGATGATGGTTTACCACGCTTATACATATCCCAGACCTGCCCTGTTCCCGCCGGCCGCACCACGCTCTCTTGCCGCAAGCTTATTCTCCGTATGAAGGAGAAGCATGGAGAAGATATGGAGAAGATCAAGAATGGCCTCCCTTTGGGCTCTGCTGCCGGTGACGGAGTTGGCGCCACTCTGGACAAACCCAAGACGACGCCCAAGAAGCGCAAGAACAAGACGGTTGAGGGCGAGGACGATCCTGCTGAGGGTTCACCGAAGAAGAAGGCCACCCCGCGTCCACGCAAGAAAAAGAATGAGGCTGTCGAGGTAAAGGATGAAGAGATGATCTAAGAATCTGTCTCTTTGCCCTGCATCGGCTGGTTGTGCTGTCGCATTGTGGCACATTGGGCGGATACTGAAACGGCTCGGCGTTCTCATGTAGCTATCAGGCGCTCAACTCCGTCTCTTCCAAGGTTTCTTTGCTTTGTTCATGTGGCTGGACTTAGATACTGCCGTTGAGCGGCCTGAGAACCACAACTCGATAGGCGTCGCAATGAACCTGTGCCATCTTGCTCATCTCCCGTGTTTGACGCGACATGAAAGTTTAGCCCATGAGCTTTGGGAAAGGGCGCGCAGTGTGGCATGCTTGAGATATGACCGGAGCATGTATTCACTGCTGCCATGGAGTGGATGCGAGTGGAGACGAATGACGATGGTTCGCGAGATGCGGCGAAGCTTGACCGGGGGACCGTGGCGCATGCAGCTGCAGGGCTCTTCAGGCACTTTCCTTCTTGGCCTCAAAGCCATCGCATACTCATCGACTGCGTCTTTTGCCTTTCTTCTTTGCGCCTACTACTTTTAATCTACAGCAGTTGCGTTTGCGCTGCCTCCTTCCTTTAGACGCCTCACCCAGGGTTGGCATGCTGCTTGGCCGAGTGTCTCTCGCCGCCTGCAAACGAAGTTTCCTTGCAACACCTTCACGCACCCTGCCGTTGCCCGTCTCCCGACCGCTCTCCCTCCTTCACACGCGATATTCTACGAGACTTCACAGTCCTAGCGCACTTGCTCTCGGCAAGCGCCCCCTACACACGTCCTCGTCTATAAATAATCCGCCGCCAATGGAACAAAATGGCACAACCAAGCGCAAGCAACCACCAACGTCACCAGCAACAGACCGTCCGGTGAAGCAGATCAAGCCCGAAATAGACGCACACACCTCCAACGGAGTCATGTCGCACTCGCCCGACCAGGAAGAGGCCATGGACGATGCGCATAGCGAGTACAGCTCCCACGAGGAGATTCCATCATCGGCGCATATCACAGCCGTCACAGGACAGGACACGGCAGAGTGGCAACGAACTATAGAGAATGTGGTCAAGAGCGTCGTATCGATACACTTCTGTCAGACGTGCTCGTTTGACACAGACCCGGCCATTAGCTCAGAGGCGACTGGCTTTGTCGTGGATGCTGAGAAGGGCTACATCCTCACCAATAGGCATGTTGTCGGCGCCGGACCTTTCATCGGCTACTGCATCTTCGATAACCACGAGGAATGCGACGTCCACCCTGTCTACCGCGATCCCGTCCACGACTTCGGTATCCTCCGCTTCGACCCCAAGAAGATCAAGTACATGCCCGTCACCGCCCTCAAGCTCCGCCCAGACAACGCCAAAGTCGGCGTCGAGATTCGCGTCGTGGGTAACGATGCCGGAGAGAAGCTCAGTATCTTGTCGGGAGTTATCAGTCGATTGGATCGCAATGCGCCCGAATACGGCGAGGGCTACTCTGACTTCAACACCAACTACATTCAGGCTGCAGCTGCAGCGAGTGGAGGATCCTCGGGCAGTCCCGTAGTAGACCGCGACGGATTTGCAGTTGCGCTGCAAGCCGGTGGACGTGCTGATGGTGCCGCGACCGACTACTTCCTGCCCCTGGACCGACCGCTACGCGCTCTCGAGCTTGTCCGCCAAGGCCAACATGTCTCTAGAGGCACCATCCAGACCCAGTGGATACTGAAGCCCTTCGACGAGTGCCGGAGACTAGGTCTCTCTCCTGCCCTGGAGAAAGAGATCCGCACTCAGTTCCCCAAGGAGACAGGCATGCTGGTCGCTGAGGTGGTTCTACCCCAAGGGCCTGCGTCTGCCAAGGTTGAAGAAGGTGATCTTCTGTTGCGTGTCAACGGAGAGTTGCTCACACAGTTCGTCCGACTTGATGCCATTCTTGACGACAACGTTGGCAAGACTATCTCTGTGACCATACAGCGTGCTGGGGAGAACATGGATGTTGAGCTAGACGTTGGCGATCTCCATGCCATCACCCCTGACAAGTTTGTTTCTGTCGCAGGCGCATCTTTCCACGACCTCTCATACCAACAAGCTCGCCTCTACGCCATCTCGCTGAAAGGCGCGGGTGTGTACGTCTGCGAGGCAGCTGGTTCCTTCAGGTTCGCCGACGGCTACACATCAGGGTGGTTGATTCAGGAAGTCGACAACCAGCCGACACCAGACCTTGACACCTTTATTGAAGTCATGAAGAAGATCCCAGACCGTAAGCGAGTGGTTATGATGTACAAGCATCTGCGCGATCTGCATACTGCGAACACTAGTATTACTGCTGTGGACAGGCATTGGCATGCAAAGATTCGGGTAGCAACACGCAATGACACCACAGGCTTGTGGGACTTCAAACCACTCGCCGATGCCATTCCATCTGTGCCTCCTGTTCCTCGCCGTGCGAACTTCGTCAAGATGAGCTCAAGCTATCCTGAGGCTGTAGACATTGTTCGTAGCTTCGTACGAGTGCATGTCTCTATGCCTATTAAGCTAGATGGCTTCCCCAAGATGAACAAACAGGGCTATGGACTCGTTGTCGATGCTGAACAGGGTCTTGTCCTTGTCTCGAGAGCGATTCTGCCATATGACCTTTGCGACATCTCGCTCATCATTGCTGACAGCATCTTTGTCGATGCCAAGGTTGTCTTCATGCACCCATTGCAGAACTATGCCATTGTCAAGTACGATGCCTCTCTTGTCAACGCTCCTGTAAAGACACCCAAGTTCGCCACCGACTTCATCAAGAAAGGAGCAGAGACCATCTTCTTTGGCATCAACCAAAACTTCCGACCTGTCGTAGCAAAGACTGTCGTCACTGATATCACTACAGTCGCGATTCCAGCTAGCGCAATCACACCTAGATACCGTGCGACCAACTTCGACGCCATCACCGTAGACACGAACCAAGCCTCACATAGTGGTTCTGGCGTGCTGATCGCTGAGGATGGCACCGTTCAGGCTCTCTGGCTCTCGTACCTAGGTGAGCGGACATCACACAGTGGCAAAGACGTTGAATACCATCTTGGTCTTGCAACGCCCAACCTTCTGCCAGTTCTCAACGAGATCCGAGGCGGAACCACACCCAAGCTACGTATCTTGAACGTCGAGTTCCAGACCGTCCAGATGAGTCAAGCCCGCGTCATGGGTGTCTCAGAGGAATGGATCGAGAAGACTGAGACGGCTGATCCAGAGCGCCACCAGCTCTTCATGGTCCGCAAGGTCGATTCAGGTCACGGCGATGGTCTCAACGAAGGCGATGTCCTCCTTACGCTCAATGGCAAGCTGGTCACACGTTCACCCGACCTCGACATCATGTACAACAACGAGTTCCTGGACGCTGTTGTTGTGCGCAAGCGTGAGGAGAAGACTATCAAGGTATCGACTGTCGCAACAGAGGACCTTGAGACTGATCGCCTAATCAGTTTCTGTGGTGCCACTTTCCATCGCCCTCATCAGGCTGTGCGCCAGCAGATCAGCAAAATTCACTCGGATGTTTACATCTCGTCGCGGGCTCGTGGCTCACCGGCATACATGTACGGGGTAAGTGCTAATCTCTTTTTCTTTCTGTTCTTTCTATCACACGTTCTTTCCACACTGGAGCCTGGATACGCCGTTGGATACCGGAGATTTACATCCACATTCTGAACACTTTCCATGGGCTGGGCGACTCCGAAAGCTGGACGCCAGAAACAATTGCTCACCCCCTCTGCGAACATTACCGGGCCTCCCATGGATACACTAGGAGTTTTTTCTTTTGCTTATTAAGCCCACTTTTGTATGGCTTGGACACTGCTCTGGGATTCTGGAAGTTCATCCAGCAAATATGCCCCGGCTCCACTTGGTTTACCATGGATTTACTGTCTGCTTACTCATCATGCTCGGTGTGGGCTCCGAGGACTTCAGAAGGCGGATACCCCTAGGCCTGACTTGGATAGCTCTAGACCCTCGGCACTCATCCTGTGGCTCGGATGGTATTCTGTCGTCGGACCGTGGATTTGCAACCGGTGGATACCTTTAGGCCTTGCTTGTGGCGACCTGCCACCTATCAGTTATCTTAAGAATACCTTACTGACCATGTCATCAGCTCGCGCCTACAAACTTTGTCACACACGTGAACAACGTCCCTACTCCCAATTTGTCGGCCTTCCTCACCGAAATCAAGAAGATCAAGGACAATGAATACTTCCGCATGAAGGTCATGACCTTTGACAACGTACCATGGGTCGCGACCATGAAGAAGAATGAACACTACTTCCCAACCATCGAGCACATCAAGGACGCGTCCGCGCCACTGGGTTGGAAGAAGATCATACACGAGTGTGATGCTGGTGGTGCGAGGGAAGAGATGGGGCCGGACGAGCTGGAGGCGGATGCTGCAGATGAGTAGATACCAAATACCATAGAAGTTGCCAATGCATGGCAAACAATTGGAATCAAACACGCCAGTAAAGTTCTTTCTCTCTTGGAAATCATATCTGGAGTTACCCATGAGAATGGTAGTTACCAGAATGCCTTGGAAACTGCTCGTCGCATGACAAATACCATGGGTCAAACATGCTGATGAAATCTTGAGAATAATGCGTGGAGTTACCCAGAGAGTTTTCAGGTAGAGATAAATTCACAGAATTTCGTGAGGTCCTTTAGCCTCCAGTTTGGTAGAGGACCATCTAGTCTAGTAGGATCCATGGATTGATGGTTTGCGGGCACTAATCGACTTCCGACGTGACATGGCCCGTGCGCACCGCGGGCCATAACTCAGCTTCCGATACCCTTCCTCCTCCGTCAGCTCTACACTCTCTCACCACACCACCACGTTTGAAGCCAAACCACGAATCGCAACCATGACTTCATCGATCTTCTATAAATTCAAGAATTCAAAAGATAGCGAGCGTATAGTATTCAACGGCACCGATCTGAGTGTTTTCGAGCTCAAGAAGGAGATTATCAGCGCGAGCGGCCTCGGCGATGGAACCGATTTCAACCTACACATCTACCCTCAAGATGACCCTGCTTCCGAGTACAAAGACGACACTACGTTAATACCGCGATCCTCTACCGTCATAGCGATTCGCCGCCCAGCGCCTCGCGGGCAGGGCCGAGCTGCCAGATATGTCAACGGCAAGCCCCCTGTTCGTGCCTTTACTACACAAAGCAAGCCCGTCGCGCCTGCACCTCCCACAAGCAATGCGACACCAGAAGATGCTGAGGCCGCGTTTTTGGCTGAGTCGGCGATGGCCTGGGACGCGCAGAAGGAGGCACTTTCACATGCAAAGCCCGTCTACCGCAAGAACAACACCAAGAACGTTGTAGTTCCTTCACATCCTCCTCCTCCAGGCTACGTATGTCGCCGCTGTAATATCAAAGGCCACTGGATTCAGGCCTGCCCTACGAACGACGATCCCGACTTCAAACCCGTGTTCCAAGCGAAGCGCACCACCGGCATACCGCAGTCCTTCTTAAAGAAGGTCGAGAAGCCTGTCGACGAAGAGGCTGCAAAGGGCGTCATGCTCAACGCCGACGGCGAATACGTACAAGTCATGACTGACCAGAAGACATGGGACAAGTTTCAAGAGAAGACAAATGCATCACGAGCGCGCGCAGCAAGCGCTGACGCAGCAAGCAAAGAGCTCCGCGAGCGCGGATTCGAATGCCCCATCGACAATCAAAGATTTGTCGACCCAGTCAAGACACCCTGTTGTGGTAAGACATACTGCCGTGAGTGCATCGACAATGCGCTGGCAGACGGTGATCTGATTTGTCCAAACTGCGCAAAGGAGGATGTTCTAATGGATGATCTCGTTACTGATGACGATATGGTCAAGTCTCTCAAGGCATACGACGCAGAGAAGGCAGCAGAGAAGGAAAAGGCAGCAAAGGCAGCAGTTGCTTCAGAAAATGAATCAGTTAATCAATCACTTGCTACTGACAACGCATCTTCTTCTGTCGCAAATGACGATACAAATGCCACCACTACTGCTACTCCAGCAGCGGCGGCGACTGCTGCGGCTGACGAAGTATCCGATACTGACTCAACCTCTTCAAAGAAGCGCAAGCAGCCTCCTACAGACATCAAGCCTCCCACCGCACCGAAAGCCATGCGTCAAGCGGCCGATCCCGCCTCGAAGATGGAGCAGGACTTTATACAACAGATGGAGATGCTCAAGAACGCACCGATGGGGCCTATGGGAATGCCAATGGGTATGCCTATGCCAATGCAGATGCCTCAGCAAATGGGATTCCAGAACGGCTATCAGATGGGCTTCCAGCCGCAACAACAGCAACAGATGCCACAACAACAATGGTTTCCTCAGCAAAATTTTGGTTACAATCAACAACAGTTCGGTCAGCAGTACAACCAGCAGCAACAGTACGGATGGGGTGGACAGGGACAAGGGCAATGGGGCAACGGGCAAGGGCAGGCACAGGGACAACAAGACCCTAACGATGCGTACGACAGGCAACCGGTCAATCCTCGAGGTCGCAACCGCAGATCTCGTGCACCAGATTTCCGCTACCTTTGAATACCAAGACATACACACGCTTCTCTCACCACGTTACCATGTCACCGCATCTAAAATCACACAACACATCTCAATCACGACTGCGTCAGCCTTCTATAATGAATATCGGGACTGGGCGCGTGATTATGCGGCGTTTCTTTCACATTCGTCACGCAGGATCTAGGGGCATGCATCATGGGCGGTTTGGAAACCACCAGCTTATCACGGAAGCGAGGGAGTGAGGGGGCAATTGCCTTTCACTTTTTTTTTCGGCGTTTTGGTACGATCTCCAATTTACCTTCTCGTTTCGCGGACTCCAGACGAGCTTATTTTAACATGAAATGCAAATCAAACTTCAAAACACTTGACTTGACTTGACTTGACTTGCGCTTTGCTATAATCTGACGTGCATGTTTACTTGGCAAGGAAGTGTAATGAGTTTTGTGACTGAGGGCGTCGATTTCCGTCCTCTCTTCGGGGACAAGAAAAGTGATGTCATTTCAACATCCATAGGATATGTTAGTTTAGAGATGTGGAACGCTAAATTGATAGGCAGTGGTAACGAATCAGTGAATTTAAAACCATATGAACATAATGTGATCTGCCCCATGCCCCCTTGCTTCAGCCCTCATGGAAACCGAATTTGCGAGATCCAACAAAATTGATTAAACGATGTAATGGCCACAATCCCCCCGCGATGTTCGTGACTGCAAAGAGGCAGTGGTCACTGCCAGTGATGTGACGTCTAGCAGTGACCATGGGGCCCACCTTTGCGTACTGTTTAGGTTCACTCCACTCTCCCTATCGCTGTTCTCATTCGAGCAATCTTTCCTTGTCCACGCGATTCACCAAGGAAAATCTCTCTCGCTAACAATCATATCCACTGTAATGTACCATGAGGAAGCCGTTCCCAACTAGATCGCGATCAGATGCGGCAATAAATCTTGCAGTCTCCTTGTGTAACATTGCTACCGTGGATCTGGCGACTTGAACAGACCGTACTCGCAAAATGACGCTTCGTGACTAACATTTACTATCGCAGTCATTGGCTACCCCCGAAAGAGGTTGGTAGGATTACCATATCATAGCCATTCATCATTGGTCCACCACATTATCTTCGCCTCGAGCATAACTCGTGGTCGGTTCAGCTAAGAATTGATGAGAAGGAGCCATCTCATGTGTTGTTATTGGTACCTTCCATAGCTGCCAGCGTACTGCCTATAAAGCCAAATCCTCCATAGCATTCAACCCATCACTCTTATACTCCAACAAGAATCATAATTCTCCCCTCGAGTCTCATCCAACACATCTTTTTCCAACAGACATTCAAATACCAACTTCGTACAACACACTACATTCTAGAAAATGCCTTCCTGCAGCCTTAGACGCCCCGACAGCCCAGTCAAGAACAAGCGCCCCCTTGATACTGGAGCCATTTCTATTAGCATCCATGACGTCTTATCTTGCGCGCCCAGAAATAACATGTTTACTACAAAAGCCAACACAACTGTCAAACGGTCCTCATACACACGAAATCCTCAGACGTACAATTCCAGCAATGTACCTGGAAACAGCTTCAACACCTCGTCTTCCACCACCACAGGCAGGTGTATTCCTCCTGCAGACCGACTGTCTTCTACCCATCACCAAAGTCATGTCCATCCGAACTACAACACCCTAACTCATCCCAACCAACTTTTCTCAGCCCCCTATCGCCCGTCACCTTCAAGTCTCTCCACTCAAAGAGGAGTCAAACCACCCCCTAGTCTCGTCATACCACAAGCTCAGAACCCACCACCGAGGCTTTCCCCTCATCGAGGTCCCAATTCACCTCAAATCTTCTACACCCAACAAGGTCGATACCAGCCTCCAGGCCTCAATGTCCAACGCGGTCAATTTCCAGTAGAACTCCACGAGGCTTGGTATCACCGAGACAGCCAGCACGGGTGCCCTGGATGTGTGCATGAGAGGCTCGTGCCTCACGCTTTCAGCAGGTTCCATTGGCCGGCGTGTCCTGTGTCTGCGACGAGGGAAATGGCTGCTTGGATGTGAGGAGGTAAGGCTTCTAGCACCACATACAAGGAAAAAGCTAACAGGTATAGAAATAACAAGTCCTACCTTGCAGCTTACATTAGCTCCTAACAAGAAAACTTGTAAAAATTGATAGCATTGTAGACTCCTAGATCTTCTATCTATGTCTATATACATCTTAATACGCTTTATTGTAGTAGGAAGAAGTACTTCCTAGGTATGCTTAGAGAGATGTTTAGTTTCTCTCTTTGAGGTAGTATAGGGTAGATTTCTTTGGTTCAGTGTAGAATTTGGCAGAATAGCATCGCCGCGAATCGGGTTGAGAAGCCTCATGCATAGTGTATGATAGAATGGAGATCGGCTCAAAAAGTTTCGTTTGAAAGCGAAAAAGAATACGAAAGAATATGAGTAATGGTACATATATCAGTATACAGTCCGTGACCCCACAACGCCAAAGTTCCGGTCTTCAATGCTCCTTGCTCGATGCCAACCCCTTCTAACACCCAATGTATGCTTATATAGACTCGCCGGTCTCAGCCCTCGGCCTCATTCCATCAGGCGTAAATGTCCACCCCCTACCCTCAGTGGGCGTCATAGCCCTCCTCCTCTCTATAGGACTCCATTCCATCATACCGGGCGCCGGAAGCCCTGCGATAGCCGCATCATCCCTCGCCCGCTGTCTATTGCTTTCAACAGAAGCCCTCCCCTCTGGCACGCCTGCATTCGCGCCTCCCAAACCCTCGGCATCAGTAACCAGCCTGACGCCTGCGGTACGCTGCCGCTCCCTCTCTTTGACCGCGCGTTTCCCTTCTGCTTTCTTCTTCTCAAACTCAATGATGAGAGTCTTGAAATATGCTTCTGCCGCTGTGGTGGCCGAGTAATGAACAGGTGTCCAGCTGTAGCTATTACTCGCGAGCGGATTCGCTCCATACTGCAGTAACATCCTTAGCGCTTTCAATTCTCCAGCCGCAGAAGCATGATGCAGCGCCGTGTTGCCCTGCGCGTCGCTCGCAGAAAGTATACTGGGTCCATGGAGGATCAGCGCGGGGATGAGATGCAGCGTCCCCGAACCAGATTTACACGCCAGCATCAACGCGTCGAGACCGGCTTTGTTCTTCCAGTCTACGGATTCCGGGAAGCGCTTGGCGAGGTAGACGCCGCATTCTTCCTTTCCAGCGCTTGCGGCCAGCATGAGAGGCGTTTCCCAGTCGTTGTTACGGCTGATCATTCCGTCTTCGTGGCCCGCGTCGACGAGAAACTCGGCGATGGATGTGAAGCCATGTTTCGCAGCGAGGTGCAGCGACGTGTTGGAGCGGTCTTCGAAGTCGGGATTGCGTAGGTACGTGTGGTTGTTGCGGATAATGCGTTGGACGAGGGCGAGGTCGTTGAGTAGGATGGCGCGCCGGAGTCGCCGGGGTACGTCAATCCTGTTGTTGGACATTAGGGATGGGTTCGGATGGGCTGTGTGCGGCGGCGGGTCGAGTTACTCTGTGGGATACGACTTACATGGCTGCGGCAGTGAATCATGATTGAGTGGTCAGACGGCACGGAGATGATGGCAATCGCGAAGTGACGTTCGCGAGGGAGAGCTGGTGTGGGGCGGGAGCGTTGGGCCTTGGACAAGCTGCGGGGACGTTCACGGAATCTTGCTGCAACTGGCTAGTTCTCGCGCGGATGCGCAGCATGGATCCATCTGTCAGATTAGCGACTCTTGTAGCATCCATCACATGTCACTGGCGTGTTCAAACTTATGTGGTGACGTCTCGGATTTGTTCTATTCATGCATCATTACGATGTCTGTCCCACAATGTCTGGAACGTCTATCAATGCCAGCCCTTATGCGGCTATCTTACACGCTCACGGAATGAATCGTCCAAGCTGTATGACCCCTCTACAAGCCTTCAAAGTCTCCACCCGCGTCGTCCTCGTCAATGTCACCATCTTGGATCTCCTTGGCCAACTCGCGCTCCCTCTCCCGCGCCTCCTGGGCGTTCTTGAGCTCCAGACGATGTTGGTTCATGGGGTATCGCATTGCCTTGACACACTCGTCGTGCAGGGTCAAGCATGCCCGGATACGCTCGTGGAATGCCTCACCAGGCTCACGAGTTGCGTAGATATCACCGGCAACCTTGGTCTGCATGAATCCTTTCTCGTGATCAATAGAAGCCTCTATGACACCATCGCGGATAGCCTTGGCAACAATGTACTCGGCCGACTCCTCGCTCTCAAGACCAAGACGGATGCAGATGTCGCGGAGCGAGATGCGCGAGTATGAAAGCGACAGCATACGGATACCAGTCTTGATGACGTTTTGTCGCAGGCGGAGGATGAGGGTGTAGGTGCCATCGCGCTGGAAGACGGACGAGGACGTCTGCACCACCTTCAGGAAGCCTTGTAGATCACCAACGCGCACTGCCTGGACGAGGCGGAAGTAAGGCTCCATAGCACGCTCCAGACGGGGCTGGCTGAAGACCTCGCGCTCGGGAATGTCACCCATCAGCAGCTCAACGACTACCAGGAGCTTCATCGAAGCCTGGTAGAAGCCTGTTGCGCAGTGAGCAGAGGGCGACTTGCGGGTGGCACTGATTAGGTGCTCGTGTGCCTCGGTGTAGGACAGCTGAATAGCCCGTATGCGGCCAAGGTAGTACAGGTATCTCGCAACCTGGTTGTTTGGGGCTTGTGGTGGGAATTGCGTCTGCGCAACAAGGAGATCGGCTTGTGTGATGTCGGCGGTCGAGAGGTAGTTTCGGAGCAACAGTGTGGTGACGGATGCCTGCGTATCTGGGTCTTTCCTGAGCACTGCGCTTCGGAGCGCAGCAAGCAGCTTTCCGCGGATTTGGATGACGGGCGACTGCTTCGACGGGGGCTTGGGATCCATTTCTTCGTGGAATAGGGAGAAGTAGAAGTAGGCCTTGGCTGCTAACGAGTCCAATGTCCGCCTGTTCAGCTCTCGGATCTTGTCTACCAGCGTCTCGGCGAACTCAGCTCCCTCTTCAAACTCCTTCTGATCGTAGAGATAGACCTGCGCCTGTTAGCGAATCCAGCAGTCGTACCTTCTGCGAACATACCTGTATCAGAATGGCTATGTAAATGTCCACCTCGGGCAGGGGCTCCTTGGTGTTGTTTTTGTTGAGTTGAACCTCCTCCTTGTACTGGGATACAACGCTCTGTATCGCCTCGCCATCCATGCCAATGTACTCGATGAAGTTGCGCGCCGTGGCGTTGTTTGGAGAGTATGTCAGGATGATGACAGAGCATAGTACACGGTCGGTGAGCCTCTTGCGGAGCGATGATATGGAACGGAGGGCGCGTAGGGTAAAGCGGGTATCGAACTGGGCGACGGCTCGCTCGAGGAGGACAAAGTTGCCCCGGATGTCTGTAGTCGTTGGGTCAGCACGGTGGTAGAGATACTTGCAAGCCGCAATCTCGGTGGCGATGATATGGTTCGGACACATCTTGCGGACCGGCCACGAGGTGGTGCAGTTGGTACAGGGACACTTTGAAGTAAAAGGCATGCTGCGCGGCGAAGTCGTCTACTTACCAGCAATGGCCTTCTGCTCTACGTTCTCGGCCTTGGGCTGCTCGCCCTCGACGACGACGCCTTCCATGCTGTCCGCCATGATGGTCGCTCTTGATGTGTATATGCGGAGAAGACGGAAGGTGCGGGTGATGTGGAGGGAGTGGTGGTGGGTGTGGGTTGGTGTTGATGCTTTGCTGAGGTTGAGCTCCCAGCTTCACTGACGCCAGCGCGGCGGAACATCGGGGAATAGTTATCGAGCACCGGCCGGCCATTGTTTACACCCCGCGTCACCCCGGTACACACTTTCTATATACAGCTGACGCCCATCATGACACTGTTAGATGCACATCTAGAGCAAATCTCGCTATGCGCCGCGTCAATCGCAGAGTTGCCGTTGGTCCACCGTCCATTCACCTGCTATAGCACTCGACTGAACACACCCCAGGTTCGCCCCGCCCAAGATCTTTACCAACGCCTTGCTCCAAAACCACGATATCACGAGCTTGATCAGAGACACTGAAATCCACGAACGCGCTCTATTCTCCGTCCCTCCGCCACCCGCAGCCCCTAAGCACGCCGAACCAGCTCCATCTACCAATAGGCGCAACACCATCTTCAATCCCAATGGAGGTGGCGGCACAAGCACATCTGGAGGCGGTGCAAATGCTGTAAGAGCACCCAGGCGGAACACGGCTGTGGCTGCGGTGCTTGGCAATGAGCTGGTGGAGAGGATTCGACGAGGCGGCGGAGGAGGAGCAGGCTCAGGCCTAGGCTACAGAATGTACAATGGCAGCAACAAGAACGAAGTTGACGTTGAGTCCCTGCTGGAAGGTGCCGAGAAATTGCTCCGGGTCTAGTACGTCTTGGAATACTACAAAACATTACTCGTGGCTAACCAAGCATAGCCCTATACCAGGAATCCACGACAGAATCGCAGCCATGCGCCAACGGCATGCACAAGTCGCAGCTTCGGTAGAGTACTACGAAGCACGCCTCGCCGAACAACAAGCTCAGCTTGGCAAGCTGAGCCGGTCACGAGGAGATTATATGGATGAGGATGTTGACGAGGTCGAAGAGGAGCTGGAGCCTGTTGCGGCGCCAATGACGGAAGAAGATCTAAGACGGGAAGAAGAGGAGACGCGTCAACTTGAGAGAAAGAAGAAGGAACTTGAAGATCGTGTTACCTCCATGTCGAGAGACATATCTGGTCTGCGATGATAGCCCACAAGGGTTGTGACTGTGGTTTGAACTTAAGGCTAGGAGTTACAATAAGATACCCCATGTTTTTGCCTCAAAGATTGGTACTTTCCGCCGTGTGGCCTTGAAGCTATAGCTTCAGAAGGATATTTAATTCGAAGTATTGACACATAGTTGTTTGATCAAAGCCTTCTCAGAGGCGTAGGGTAATAAAAAGATGTCGTAATGTAAGTTCACATAGCAGCAGACACCGAAGGGCACATCTTATGGCGTAATCATGTTTAATTCGTAAGTCATTACTAAGGATATCTTAAGTATTGAAAAGGACATTGAAGAGGTCTCCATATCTATGCCCCAAGCTCGTCATCATAATGATGGACATGTGCTCAGCCAGTGACACCTGTTGTCAGGTATCGTTACCATCAGTCCTTTAGAACAGCGCACCACCAAGCATGGCGCCACCAAGGAAACCAGCTGCGATGGGTAACCCAGCTCCTCCTCCATAGCCGTATCCATACGGCCTACCGTACGGCCCAGCTGGACGCATATACCGTACGCCTGGATTCCCGAACTGTCGGCCACCGTATGGGTTGTATCCGTAAGCTCCCCTTGGAGCGTAAGGACCATGAGGTGGCTCGATGTACACGTCTCTGCCCTGACGGTCCTTGCCTAACAACTGCGGCTGGCCTGTTTCCATGGCGCGTATAAGTGCTTGCCGTGTACGGAGATGTTGAAGGTATGCTTGACGTTCTTGCTCTGCGCGACGGGCACGAGCTTGTTCGCGTTCTGTGTGGGTTTGGCCAGTGATCTTGTCCTTTAGCTTGCGAGAGAACTTATGTATGCCTGTAGGTTCACCAGGCGCCGCAGCACCCTTGCCCTTGGAAGTAGGTCGCGGAGGGAGTTGGTCTTCGGCATCGGAGTCCTCAGCTGTGAGGTCCTCCAGTGTCATGGTCCTATGCATGCGAGTGTGCTTCTTACGCTCTTCGGGGCTCAGCGTATTAAGGAACTGTTCATCGTCGTACGGATGTGTCCAAATGCTACGCGGAGGATCTGCCTTCGTGTCGACGAAGAACTGGTGTGAAGTCTCTGGGTCAAAGCTACGTACCCAGCCGGGAGGTAGCTCGCGCATCTCGTCCTCCATGGAGCGCCGTCGGTCGGGTGGGATGCCATTACGCTCGGTACGTGCTGCAGGACCATCGGTGGAGACACGATGTAAGCCAGGTGAAGGGTCGGCATCGAAGATGGCAGCTTCGTAGCTGGGCGGCGGCTCGTTGGGTGGATGTGATGTCGCCATTGTAGAATTGGTAGGTAGTAGAAAGTGATGAGGTGTGTTGGAGGACGTTCGTATTAGTACAATTGAGGCTGTATGTTCCGATGGGAAGGAGTGAGTATTATAGGACAGCAGATTACAGGTTATTGCAATGTATGTGAATGCATTAGCATCGTTTGGTAGGGGAAGTGGCGTCGATCATGATGACGTCAAGGTGTCTGTGGCTGTGCGACTCGACGGAGCTACGAATGGAGCATCTCCGATGGGATTCTGGCATGTGATGCTCGCCACATTCCTTTCCCCCCTACCATCCATACCACGAAGCATCATGGCTCTAGCATAAATCATGGTAAAAGCTGAGAAATTTTGCGCAGCCACGAGAGCTATCTGGGACCGTTCTGAGTGCATACCAGCCTCGTCTCTCCACCATGTGCGCCTGTCACACTGCAGATCTCTCCACACGGACAGAAGGCGCGTGTCTCACCGCAGTCTCGAGACCGACAACCGAGACCCCAGCCCTGGTTTCGGTAGTCTGAGATCTTGTGTTCAACGCTTCTTGCGCATAGGTGTTTTCTGGATCCATTGCCGACATCATTGTTTCTTGGGTCCGTCAAGCCTGACCGAGGGTACTATCACGAGGGCATTGCGAACATGCTGAACATTATCTTCTAGTCCCTGAATCACAATACTTACACGGCGGGTAGCTTTATCTCGAGTTAAGAAGAACACAACAGCAATATCTTTACCACATTAAGCAGCGTAAGTTTCGCACCACGGGCTATGATCCACAAACTTCAAGACGGCATTTCCATGCTCTTCAAAGACCACAAGAACGCCGAGAAAACCAAATCGGCCTGGGACTACGTCAAAAAGGATGGTCACCTGTCAACTTCCCATCATCCTCTGCTCTACCAGAGACATTTGGTTTCACGTATCCCTGAGAACCGAGCCGCCCTGAGCACAATCCAGATCACTAGCAACTACTCACGAATGCTTTAGGAACGCTGTACCGGACTTTCACTGTTTTCGGTCTCCCTTTGGATACGCGTGTGAAAGATTGGCACCCGTTCCTCGATCATGCGAGCCAGCCATGATTCCACATGTATGGAGACCATACTCCATGCATCTACTGACCAACGCGCAAGCCCTGTATGAGACTACGGCCACCATTTCTTCGCTACAAATTTTACTGCATGAGCTTTCAATCCATTTCCAGAACTCTACAACACCACTGTCTGAGGCAAGGACTTATATCAACGAGTTCTAATCGTTACTAGCCAAGACTTTACGGGACGATCAGAGTGCCACAGTAATCCTGGGCTGGCTCTGGGAGCCTGTGTATGATGAGGCTTCAGGTACCCGAGACTCTTGTGTAATGCGGGGCGAGGTATTGGGAGCTTACTGTAGTAATCTAGCCGCGCCTAGAGTTTCCACTCTTCACACCTGAGCTTGATGTCTTAGGTGTATGTACCGACCTTCCTATAGTGATCATGAACGACGATAACCCGGTAAAACATCCCACGAGCCTAGGATCTCATGGCTTACCTACCTAGGTTATATATCTTGTCTCCCCTGCAGGTAGGCATTCTCCACCAAATTATCATCCATCATTCAACACACTCCTTCGTCGAACTCCCACTTGAAACATACACGCGTACTGTACTCCAGTTTCACAACAGCACCCCTTTCTCTATCTGTCGTTCGTTTGAACATATTCGGTTGTCAGCATGGTGAAGCTGACATGCTTCTTGTTGGCACTCACCCATGTGTCCTCCGTTCGCAGTCTGCCTGCCCACGGAGGAGCGAAAAGAGACCCAAACATAGTCATAGCCCGTGAGATAACCTTGACAGACGTCTCAGTCACTACAAGTTATAGCACAGCTATTACATCGTTGCAGTCGGTCTCTCCCACTGGCGAACCATCCAATTCGGGGGTATGCTACCACCTGAAAAGACCCTTGCAGGACATTGAAGATGCAGAAACTAACTACCAGTAGAGCTTTCTGACAGGCCTTCCCTCAGGCGGTTTCACAAAAGACCCAGCCGACGGTCCAGGCACTACAACCGCCACCAAGCCACTGTGCCCCAACGAAACGCCTCTTAGCCCCGGTCCCACAGCACCGTTCAACCCAGTTTCGTCGAACATCTTCCAACCCATTGCGACCGGGGCACCTCCGCCAGCCCTACCTTCAAGAGCGGATCATCCAGTCCAGAAGCAGCACATCGACGATAAGGACGTCCCGATTCAGACCAACAAATTTTACGCAAACTTCTTCCTAGGCAGCCGGTCTTTCTCGACCTGGACACACCCCTACTCTTTGTCGTGGGATAATAACCCCAATGATGGCTCTTATGGTACGTATTCCAAGCGCCGAGATTGAGCCTTTGCTGATTTAGGCCCCTTGCTGTTACAGGTATTGCCATCAGTCACACCACACGAGACAGATTTGCTTTCGTCCCCGATGCAAACAACACGCGGTTCTTCATCTCGCCAATTGGTATCCATCATATCATACTAACCGCTGCGGAGCTGAAGTCCGATACCTCTCTTTCGCTTGAGCGCCTGGGAGCCTTCTCGACGTGGGTGAACTTGCGACCAAACAGTATGCAAGGCACTCGCATCTTGATGTCTCTTCCCGTTGCTCAGGGTATGGGCATGGTGACCGCTGTCTACGATAGGGCAAAGCCGGTGATCAAAACCACTGTCTTCTTCCTTTCTCTGGACTGGGTTGAGCGAGTCAACGGAGTCACGGACAAATACCGGATCGTACTCAATGATGGCTCACACTGGCTCTTATACGTTACATCAGACGGTTCCATCGGTACGCTGCCCTTCGTATTGGAGAACAGCACTACAATCACTGGTCCTGCCGATTTTATAGGCAAAATCCAAGTCACCAAGAATCCATCCGGCGAGGCAGTAGAAAGCATATTTGATTACAGTGCCGGCGTATATGCTGTCAACGCGACTATTTCTGCGACAGTCAACGGAGCTTTCGGAAGCTACACGATAGATTGGGCCAAAGGTGGCCTCGTGGAACGACCGCTGCTTATGTATGCACTACCTCACCACGTCGAGTCGTTCGATCAACAGACGGCTGCTAGTTTGAAGGACATCACTCTTGTTACAACCACGAAAGGCTTCGCACGAGCCATCGTCGCTGACCGGATGACCATGGTGGAGAACGACCTTCCTGACACTATTGGGTTTGCTCCATGGGCTAAAAATCCCAACGCGGCTGGGGGCTCGGAGAACATCAACGTGAACTCACAGGCTCTTGCGCTCATAAATCAAGCTGGCATAGCTGAGCTCAGCCAGGACATGATCCGGCAGACATCGCTGAATAGCATGTACTATTCCGGCAAAGGCCTGGCCAAGTTTGCTACCATCATCTATACGCTGAACAGCATGACAGGCAACAGCCAGTATGCTGCGGCTGGTTTGGACCGTCTCAAGGATGCATTCAACGTCTTTGTTAACAATACCCAGCCTGAGCCGCTGGTCTACGATCAGGTCTGGAAGGGCATCGTCTCGGGCGCCAGCTACTCAGGAGACCTGGGGTTGGACTTCGGAAACACGTTATACAATGATCACCACTTCCATTACGGGTACTTTATGTATACTGCCGCTGTCATCGGACATCTTGATCCTACCTGGCTTGGTCAAGGCAGCAACAAAGCCTGGGTTAACTCCCTTGTGCGCGACTTTGCTAACCCAGTAGCCGACGAGTATTTCCCGTTCCAGCGCTCATTTGACTGGTTTCATGGTCACTCATGGGCAAAGGGTCTTTTCGAGTCTGGTGACGGAAAGGACCAGGAATCAACATCCGAGGATACCTTTGCGACTTACGCGATCAAGATGTGGGGTAGGGTCATTCAGGATCCAAACATGGAGGCTCGCGGAAATCTGCAGCTCGCCGTGCAAGCGCGCAGTATCAAAAACTACTTCCTTATGGAGGCCAACAACACGAACCAACCTGCAGGCTTTGTCAAAAACAAAGCCACCGGTATCCTCTTTGAGAACAAGATCGATCATACTACGTACTTTGGAGGAAACATTGAATACATCGAGGGCATACACATGATTCCTCTGAACCCGTCGTCCGCCTATACACGTCGTAGGCAATTCGTCCAAGAAGAGTGGGCCACGTACTTTGACAACGGACGCGCCGAGCAAGTCCAAGGCGGCTGGAAAAGCATCCTGAAAGCCAACCAAGCATTATTCGACCAAAAAGCCTCGTACGAGTTCTTCTCCAACCCAAACTTCAACGAACAACTCGATGGAGGTGCAAGTCGCACATGGTATCTGGCTTACTCGGCGGCCCTGTTGGCTGCGGATGAACTTGCCACGCAGCGGGATCTGCAGATGGATTATGCTGGTCCAGAGCTGCCGTTGGGCTCTGCACAGAAGATTGAGGCACGTGGATCGCCGGCGGTTGGAGAATATAGTACTTGGTCTTCAGGGTTCAACTGGCCTACTCCGTCTAGTACCAAACCCGCTTGGTCTTCGGGATTCAATTGGCCTACAAAACCTGGCATTGAACCAACAGCTACTTCGACGCCTACGGAACCTGCTATGGTCACCATGGTGGCTGATACTGACACGCTAAACAAGAGAGATGATAGGAAAACCCTGTGGGAACTGGCTCTCTAGTTGGGTGGTTGCGAGTGTGAGATAGCTCCAGCGTGAACCTAGGCGTTTGATCTTGTGTCTGAAAGTTGATATATACCTACGCTTATAGACACTACACCTAGAAATGCAAATAAATAATATATCTTACAATCGGCTGAATTTCACGTCAGCAGCGTCTTTCGGTGCAGTGTATGGTCAGTAGTGTGTGGATGTATAGGCAAGACCAATGAGTTCTTCTTAGCGCCCTGGCGCCTGTCTTCTTACTCCCAAATTCACATTTTCGCCGCGTCCAAAATCTCCGAAACATCCACTCTGTCCGTGTTCCAGCAATGAAGTTTGTTAGGGCTTGGACAGGAAGAGCAGAGGATGCTTTCACCGCTATACTTCACCGCCTCTCGTACTCTAGTCAGGAAGATTGGTGGGGAACGGCTAGAGCGGAACAACGTCTTCGGTCATCTACTACTTCCGAAGGTACAAAGCGCATGGTTTAAGCAGCTCTGTGCAGTGAAGCCGCGCGTGCCACTCCTTTGTGGCGCGTGGAGAGTGCCTTGTCGTTGTGGGCTGAATTGCAATAGCTCTAAGTGGCCGGAGAAAAGCGGCCTATTTGTCTTGCTTCTAATTCGGCTTCAGTTAAGGGTCGCGGACATTCCATCTTTAGAACAGAACCGCATCCGCCATGTACAAGACGTATACCTTGCTACAGGTCAGCTCGCTCGCCTTCTATCGGACCGACTTTTACGATCGTATTCACGGGAGTACCTTTCCGGCTTCCCCGCATGTACACGAGGGAACCGAAGCTCCCGGCACGTCTTTACGGGCCCCTTTTCTCCGTGAATGCTTAGCACACAGGGACTGGTAACAACATAACATCTCTGATGCCTGATTCCGTACCTCCTGCGACACAGTCCATCAGAAACTATGTTGGTGATAGCCGGAAAAGGATGCATGTCATCCACCCTGAGATATATGCGACGGCTTTCAGGACATCCTTCACGATGCCCGTGCAGCTGGATCGACCGAATGAGTCCAGAATGACAGGTAAGAACACACATTCTCACCGTCTCTTGACTGGTATCCATGCAAGTACCTTCCGGTTCATTCGTATCAACTGTGCGTTGGTCAATGCAACGCACTAACCTCCGAGCTTGATGTTGAGGTTACGAAGTAACGTGGATACTTCTGACGTCGGAATACGAGAAGTTGAAATATATAACCACCCCGTCTTGGCCTCTACCCAGCTACTCATCTCACCAAGTTCAATCAAACAGTAATCACAAAACCAACTTACTATAACCGCCGCCATGCACTTCACGCTTCCTCTTCTCGCCCTCGCTGCTTCCGTCAGCGCCAGCAACCCCATCGAGGCCGCCTGGAACGTCACCCGCTCCTACAGGGACATCAGCCAGCAGGTCGTAGCGTATGACCTTACCGCAGTCTTCGTTTCTGAGGAATACCCCAAGGGTCTTGAGTCCAAGTGCAACTGGTCGCAGAAGGGCATGCAGTTCAACGTTGTATGCGACCCAGATACCTTCTCGGTTGAGCCCCAGACAGACGGCAGTAAGTACTCTTTGAACCGCCGCGCGCATGCACGCGAGAGATAGAACTAACGTTGTCCGTAGCTCTGAAGATCCAACAAACCATCGAGAAGCCCACCGAGCAGGTCGTGTACGGACAGGGCGATGTTCCCGCTAAGGGTCACGTCGTCATCCCTGTCACTGCGCGTGTCGCCTAAACGCCAGGTACGCATTGGCAGGCAAGCAGGATGGAAGATAGGACGAAATGTACCAGGCTGAAGTGAGTTGCAGAAAGCTAGAGTAGCAACATCTCACGAGCAGGGAGCAAAATGAATTGTTTTCCAACGAAAAACTTGACAGGGATTCAGTGATGCCGTATGATGACGCGCAAGAGCGGGCCGGTGTCTAGCGCCCCAGCCCCAGCCCCAGCCCCTTCGTTGGTCCTGCACGACTACCCCACATCTGAACAACTCACCTAGTTTACAATGTTGCACGGTGAGGATGCATCATTGTCATTTCGGAAACCCTGACGTGGACACTAGAAGGCTGACCAACGCGACGTTCTCTGCCCCAATTCTCGCAATTCTAGACTAGTCAAGATGCACCCATCGTTACTTAGCTCTTAACACATGTGTTGTTCTCTCGTCACAGGCAGTCGATAGCTCGAAGGACTCGCAGGCTATCGCTATTGATTCATACCTAATGCGGATGTACAGCCACCTCTCGGCGACCACTATACCGTGTTCAGTCTGAGTGAGGCTGATTGGAAAGGTAAACCGAGTATATGCGAAGTAGGAGGATTCAGACCCCAGTGCTTTGAGCTTCAGCCTTGCGTGCCTGCATAGACTTGGATACCCTGAGGCATCTGGATTCAGCTGATGTTCACACGAGGCTCCCTAGAAGGCAGAACTTGCCCAGTTCTAACGAGCCGCCGTGTACGACTTATGAGCTGGCGTAGTCTCCCTAAACTGTCAGCATACTTACGCAACCTTTCACGTAGCCTATCAAATGGCTTCCGCACATCATTACCTCAATCGAACTCAAGTTGTTTGGCAAAAGTTCAGTTCCTCTGGAGCCGACCATCTTTCCGTTACAGAAACCTGGAGAAGCAATCAGAAAAACCCGGGTGCTACGGTGTCGGTGCACCGGAAAGTCAGAAAGTCAGAGCTTCGGAGCTGGTTACAGCAGACCAACGGAATCAATTCTTGTGCAGAAACAGCACTCAAAAAGCATTGTGTACTTCGAGTTATTTGGATCCTTCTGGACACAAAACGGCAAATCGTCGACATCGACGCTGTTCTTTTCGAAGAGATATGCGCTGCGTTTCGTCACCAACCGGCACAGGCCTATTGCACGACTCAATATGCAGGCATAGGCCGTATGATGGATCAGAAAACGGGAAAGGACGTGAACTTCCTCTGCAATCATCCAAAACTCGCCGTCACATGGTCGCACGATGCAGAGCTTGGCGTCACAAGCGTGATCTGCGTAGCGGATCGTTGCAAACTCGATATTATGCAGGAGATGATGGAACAAGAATTCGTGCAGAACCTGGCCCACCATGAAATGACGCCGGCATTGATGAGCGCCTTGATGAGCTCGAAGGAGATTGACGCTGAAGTTGGTGAGGTCAAGAAGTTAGTCCGGGAGGTAGAGGTACGGACGGGTTACCACGAGTGGACGGGCCGTGCTGAAGACTCCGCGAGGGGTGATTTGGTGGGCTTGTCAGCAAGAATGAGCGGGTGTGGAACGAGAGTTGAGTCGAATGCGCGAAAATTAGGAGTAGTTGCGGAGTTTGGTCAGTTTATTCATAACCACCTGGAAGATGAACGAGACTTTAGAAGTAAGGAAGAACTGTTAGCGCTAAATTGCCTCATCGAGCAACGTACCGCCATGCAAGTCCTTGACCTGAAGTACACCTTGTCGCGAATTCGGACTCAAAAAGAAGCGGTAAGTGACCCCGACTGCCTTTGTACCATCGTCACCGTATACGAAAAATCTGTATATTAATTCCAGCTGCAGCTCTTCAACCTCATATCCGCGAACGACTCTGCATCTGCCCGACACATCGCTGAAGAATCCCGCCGAATAGCATGGGTTACTAAAAATGATGCGCAAAGCATGAAGCTACTTGCTCTAATGACTACGATATTCTTGCCAGGCACATTTGTATCAGGTCTTTTCAGCACACCAATGTTTCAGCGCGAACCCAGAAACCAGGTCGACGATACCGTTGTCAAGGTCTGGAAACCAGGACTGTTCCTATATATTGCAGTTTCCCTGCCACTCCTGATGATGACGCTTCTGATATGGGCCCTGTGGACGTTCGGATATAAACTGAAGAACGAGAGATATATCAGGGTTGCACGGAAGCGTCTGTTTCACAATATCGGGTGTACGGAGAAGGAGAATCTAATCACGAGACAGAATACCATTTCGGAGGAACTCTTAGTGAGTCAGCGATAGATAATGCCTCTCTACTGTGGGTCCTCGAAGGGGTCTTGGGGTAGTGCTAACTGCCCCAATATCTTTTGTATCCGATCTTTGTAGATGCTCATGCTGTGCATAACGATATCTCCGAACAAAAGTCCTTCCAGCGCTGCACATTCGACTCGCAGCGTTACAACTCTTTCAACATCACCAGATTGATGTGATTCGCATCTTAGAACGACTTGATTTCCGCTTGGAAGGTAGAAAGGCCGAGGGACTTCCCATTCAGTTTTGGTGACAGGTTGCGTATATGCTTGGACAAGGCTGTGCATATACTCTTCTTGTGCAAGAGGAACAGGGTCTCCCTCGTTGATGAACGACATGAACAATGACGCCTTTTTTGAGGGGAATGTAATCGGATAACTGGAAACGGGCGGTCCTCCAAAGGTGATGCAATCTACGCATGTAATAGAATCCACTTTCCGGAAAGCAGGACTAATCAGCTGGGGGTTTGCAAATACATTAAGGTCACTTACGTGATTTGAAACGCGCTATCGGCGAACTTTCCGAATGCATGAATGCGAAGAGGAGCTGCGCAATTGCAGCACCGCTAGAGTGACCGGTGAACAACAAGCCTACTCCATCTGTCAAGCCAGTGGCTAGCAACTCATCCAACTTTGCTGCGACCGAAGTTTCCATACTCTTCGCGAGGCTGAGAAAACCGCGATGAACTTTCATGCCTACTCCTAGCTCTTCGCAAGCTATGGGCTCTGCGTTCGTATTTACTGCCATTTGCATCGGAGAGTACATTGGATACCTAGTGGCGCGAAACGCTATCACAACTGTAACACGTCCGTCGATCGTTGCCTTGTGCAGGCAGAATTGCCTCGTGTGCCCAGTAGGGTCTTTTATCCCATGAAAAATTGTATCTTCCGATGATTTGTCGATTTTGTGCACTTGTACGGCCCACTCTGCTGCAAGATGGACTTGCTGCCATTGTATCTCGTTCCTGCGGTCGGATTTAGGAACAAGTCAACGTATTGGTATTCCCAGTGACTCACAATTCAAGAGTATCGCCTTCACTCCGAAGGCGATGATTTTCATAACATTCGATTCTACCAATATAGTCGATGAGCGGGTTCTCCACTTAGTTTTGTTAGCGAAGTGTTGTAACCTACAGATGTTGTTGATCAACGTCGCCAGTGATCACTTACGCTGTTCGGCAATGTTGTACGAGAAGTCGATATCGTTTAGCTTTTTGAACGCCTTGGAGAGCGCGACCGCATTTGAAGTACTGCCAGTTGACTGCGACGCGCTGTTTGAGGCAAAAGATATGGCTCCGCCGCTTTCTGCAAGGACAGTCTTTGTTGTGGACTTACGGAACTTTTTCCACAGCCCTTTGTTCACCTCTTCCCTGGTCTTCGGCATTCTGAAACTATTGCGAGGTCTTAGCTAGCTCGATCGTGCCAGAATGTGAGTCGTCATTGCCGCTGGGACACTTGGCAGTGTTACACAGGCGAGGGGCGTTTTAGCGAAACGCATCCCCAAATATATCACTTTCCGCACGATACGATGGATCTTGAATCTTCTTCCGACACCTCAAGTGAGCATATTCGCGATGGAAACTCCGACGAAATTCTCCGTGTACTCAGCACCGTCTATTGGGAAGGAGTGGAGCGCGAGATATGCGAGCTGGTTCTAGCTTACCAAGACATCGAGAAATACCATGCTCAACCTACTACCGATGAAGAAAATGAGGTAGATGTCAGCGGTTATAACTTTCGGCGTTTCTGTACGTTGTTGAGTATGTGAACGATTGATGAGTGCAGTCGCTGTAACACGCATACACTAACTAGACACTAGCACCTTACGTGAAAGGCGACGAAACCTTCGACTCGGCAAGACTTCATAGTCGAGCAGTGGAGCTAGCCCAGTGTGAGTAGATTCCTGATAGTGCAATCTGATATGACAATGTCTAAAGGCCTTCAATAGCTCATCTCGGTATAAGTCACGAAGCACGCCGTGGCAGATGGCTTCTCCAAGCGCTAGGTAACACAGTATCCAATCTATTTCTATGAGACTTCTCATTGACTGGAACCAGGGCTATTGGATATCGACGTAGTGCACGACGGCATGGATGACGTCACCATCGGCAGACATTGTCATGATCCACATGGTACGTGACAGGAAATGATGAAATGCCCGGAACCTGCATATTGATGCGGTCTCTATAGGTGAGGTGCTCAACTTGGACGATGAGTCAAGCGATTTATTCCGGGAAATGCGCTGCGAGGCGTGCAGGCAGCCCTTGCGAGAATACTTCTACTATGAATGCAGCAGTGGATGTGTGAGGTTTGTTTACATCGCTTCGTACTGCTTTCGAGCTTTGCTAACGTTGTACGGCTCTCAGCACAATTGCAGATCTCCATATTGAAGATCAGAAAGACAATGTGGTTGACTCCTCAGAAACACCACCTGGATCTCAGCCCCCCGTACGGCTATGCGTCGCATGCACCCGCAAAGTTGATCAACTGACGCAATGCGAACGAAAACACTGCCAGAAGATCTTCTACACTAAGAGCGACAACAAAGGTATGCCTATTCCTGGGTTATAATGACTCTAGCCACTCACACTTCCCTAGGATTGGCCTCCTTTAGAGCGAAGTTGCGAAAGCGCGAGTTCGGAACAGATGCTTCATCTCATCCATCGCTGACAAAAGCAGCGCACAAGATCATATCTCCAGCTCAGTTTGCAAATGCCGGACCAATTCACGTTGCTCTCACTTTCGGGCCTCTAATGATAGAGAATGGCCTGAGGCCGTAAGAAGTACCGTACCACCTTATTGGTGTATTGCTAATCCAACTCACCAGTGTCTACAAAGCAGACATCTCGTGTCGTCCAATTCCATCGCTACGTTATGAGCCACCTCGGATGAAGATGATCTACTCCGAAAGAGACGCAACGAAAGAAACAGTTCTCATAGGACACGTGTATGACGACAAAACCCATAAACGCGTGATCAAAGAGCTGCACGAGAAGCCGAGAACAGACCGCCGCATCCTTGGGTGTGTCAAAAAGGTGTGTGGTGGCGCGTTCTCTGGACACAATGTGCATTTTGCAGACGGTGAGCGGCAAGTGGTAAGACGTGTGATTGAGGCCAAGTCTAGCTTTAAGCTAAGCGGGGAGTCTGTAGGTTGGGTCGCTCGAGCGCGATCGAACTTACACGCGGTCTCGCTGCCCATTGTCGAAGCCATCAAAGAAACCTTTGGTCATGAAGTCAACCTGTACCTCGAGCATTTCGCCAAGGTTTTGGCAAATCAAGAAGTCCGCCTGGATTGGGATTTACGAGAAAACAACTGCCAGGCTTTTGCAACAAATCTTCTCAAAGACTTGCCAATGTATGGCACATTCCATCCCATGCCTAAAGCCTTTCTTAACGACGAAGACGTCCGAGACGCGAAAGACTGGCCTTGTCCTCGTTACGCAATGTCCTTCGGGTCACGTATCGACACCCCGATTGCATTATTGCGCCCGCAACCTCGGTCTCTCATTTGGAACTTCTATCACAAGAAAAGGGACAACTGTGATATCATCGAATTCGGAGAGGTATATCGAAGAAAGCCTTGTGCTTTCCCGACCGAGGCATGGCAACTGCTCGACAGTATCGGAGACACCGGAGCAGCAAAGATCTCGTTAGTCGACGCTCTATGGAGCATTCCGAGAGACTCCATATCCATCTTGCACACGCACTTCCTGCGCCAATCTTCAACGTACTCTAATGCCGAACAACAAGTGTTGAGTAGGGAGGAGTGGGTCAAGAATCGTCTTCGCGTGATGCATCAGCTCGATGTTTTCGCTAGTTTGTGTGGTTCAATGACCGCAGCGCTAATGGAGCAACGTGTCGAGAAGGTGCATCTCCTCGAAAAATACTTTCCTCCGCCTGCAGAGGAATTTGGTGTCTTCCACACCGAGGAGAAGATTGTGAGAGTCACCGACGTTGGTGCAACGTCCATTTATTTCGTTTCAGGGCGCGAAAGAAATTGGCACAAACAAGAAATGAAACATCTCATAAGAAAGCTAAGAACACACTAAGGTACAGAGTCTTAGAATCTGTCCTAATCGAAACCGGACACGAGGGAAAGCTGTTAAGCTGAGCGTAGATTCATAGGAAATGTAAAACACAACGTGATGAAGATTCGGGAATGGTCGCCTACCTATCAGTCTCTACCTGCTGCTTGTGACAAGGTGATAGTAAGGAACCATGGAATTCTATTGCTCATGGCTCAGTGCGAGGCTACTCACTCAGTGACATGAGCACGTCTTTTGTGACTCTCTAGCTCAAGTGAGCCTTGGTCTATTAGCAACATCTAATCGATACCGATCCTTCAACGCCTTTGCGATACCATAGCCTGAGGAATGGACAACCTGGATTCTAGAAACACTAAGCCAAGTAGAACCACACCATAGCCACGAAGCTTAAGGCAAAAGCACCTGGTGCAGCTCCCGTCATCGAAGCACCAGAAGCCTTTGGCACATTGTTCGTCTCAGCACCGCCCATATACCAGGATCCAATATCCGTCAATTTGCCGTCCTGGGTAAGCATAGCGGCGTTGGCACCCACGTTGCTGACATCAGAGCGGAAGGCGCCGAAGTAAGAGTAGTGCGTAACGTTCCTGGTTATAGTGTTAATCCGCGTTCTCTTCTAGTAGAAGAATGCTAGAAGCAGTACTTACGGCCAGCTATCAAAGCTCTGAGCACTCTGGTTGTAAAAAGTCTGCGTCGCCTCGAGCGGCTGATTCGGGTAACCATACTCGGTAACCCAGACAGTCAAATTGGGCCATTTGTTCGTAACCTGTCCAACATGGCTCATCATGCCCTCGAAGTTTCCGTACCAATGTACAGGGATGAAATCAGGATTACAACCGCCATCACACTCGTTGAAGAAGTTTTCCAACCACTGCCAACCAGACTCTGCGCCAGTAACAGCAGGCGCACCCAGTTTGATGCCGAGTTCCTTCAGAGGCTCAATCTCGGCTTTCCAGCGAGCGGCTGCTGTGGTGACGGCGAGGTTGGAACCACCAGTGCTGTGGCCACCATCGGGCTCGTTGAAGCCAAGGACATAGCTTATGTTGTGTCCGTCGGCGATTTGCTTCTTGACTGAGTCGAGGAAGGGGGTTCCAGTGTCGCTATCACTGGCTCCCCAGAGCATGGGGACGAATTGCATGTCTGGGTCGTTGGCGTAGGCTGGGGAGGGATCCTTTTGGTAGTTGTAATACCATGTTGGTGGTGATGGGCCGGTTGTCCATATCTTGTCGTCGTCGGGATGGTCTTCGGAGGGCACGTAGCAGAGACCACGTTTTGACGACGTTGATGCTGTGGCTTGTGCGGTTGTGGTACTAGTGAGTAGTGCCGTCGCGGCGGAATAGAGTGCGGTTCGTCGCATATTTGTGGTGAGGTCGATGTATAGGAATACTTTGAAGCGTAACGATGTAGGAACTCGATTTTTTTGAGAATTTGTACCGGAGTAATCGCTACCAACGATATTAGAATGGGTCGCGAACAAATTTGGTTTCGAATATTCTGTCGTCGCGCTATTGGTCGTCACCACACAGGGTCACTCTTCTCTCGTTGCTGATGCGCGTGGGCAACGTAAAGAACAGGACGCGATCGGGAAGACAGCGCAATAATAGTACTTTGTACAAAATCTCCTTCTCTTCTAGACAGCTTGGCCCACCAAAAAAAACCCCAAAGCTTTTAGGAGAGAAACGAAAGCGAGTCGTAACGCAAGCCACAAAAACGCCTTTGCGACTTGAAGACGGACGGGGAATTAGCAAGCGGTCTATCGTGCACCCGACCCAAAAACTCGGAACGGAGATATGAAGAAAGAGGAAAGCGAATACCTAGGTACCTGAAATCGTATCCCTTCTCCCCAAATAGTATCTGCGCAAGCTAGCTTCGAGCGCCGTCAAACGTCAAAACCGCAAGCCTCGTCAGAGGAAACTCCCAGTCCCGAGATAACGATATAATCTATAGTCCACATCATCCCGCGCTACACCTGCACCATGCACGTTAGCATATCGAAAAGAGCAGTCCTAGAGATAAACCGGCTCTTGGTAGCCGGCTAGATTGCTACCGTGCCGCCCAGAATAGTGTAGTCGTGACGCAGGTACAAGCGGCCCAAGCCCTGGCGGGCACGCCACAAGGGGACGAGCCAAAGCAAATCCTCGGGAGATCGACTTAACCGGAGGCGTTCGGCGGAAAAAGCGCATCTCTCGTGTGGGACATGGCTCTGGAAATGAAACAGCATCGGACGATCTGCAGGTATAAGACTGCCTAGACTCGTAGACGGCTTCGTTGTGGGAAACCTCGGTCTTTGTTCGAGCATTCTGGTCATGCAATATGTCGCTAGAATGTATTGGTTCAGGGGTGGCGCATGCGCAGTCGTCCCAACATTTCGGGACGGCGGTGCGGCGGAAGTGTTCAGCTTGCAGCTTTCTGCAGCGAGGAGCTTATCGGCGAAAGCTAAAACCGCACGTACCGTGCTCCCTGCTCTGGGCAATGGCATTACCACTGCCGAGCCCAGCGAGACCTCGACTCAAGATATGGCATTCTCTGGGCAGATGTCACAAAAAGGTAGATAGAGCTGTACATGTAACAGTTAAGTATTGGTATTCACATCTTCTCTACATCTTATTTCACATCCCATTTCCAACTCCACACTCCGTTCCTTGCAGTTCCTTTCCCGTCCTTCTCCTTCACCCCACTTGACGATAGCAGAAAAGATAGTTGTGTATGTGTGTGCGCGAGCCCCAGGCTTACCGCTTGCATGAGATTACAAGAGCTTGTATCAGATCTTTCTTTACACCAAATACTAAAGATAAACACAAAGAAAGATTCGTAAAAATCACGGGCATTGTGAGCAGATATGGCCCAGCCCGTATGCAAGAGAGATGACTTTAGATGTGGCTTGACCGCTCTAGGGTATGTCAATACAACCACCGCGATACAAATAGGGAATATAACAAAAGGAGATAGTGCCCGATGGTGAGTCATTTCACCACTCCGAGTCTTCGCTTGTAGAAGACTTCAAGAGTTTGTTGGCTCTAGTACGCGTAGCCGCCATTGTTGCCTCGTGGTTGTTGAGGTTGCCACGGGGCGTTGGAGACGTAGCCAGGTGGTTGGTGGTAGCCGGCTCCTGGGTCGGGTCCTGGACTGCTGTCACGGCTTATGCTTCGCTCATGCGTTGCTGTGCGGCCGAAAGTGGAAGCATCGGCAAGGAGGTGTCCTTGGTCATCTCCAAAAGAGCGACCACCAGGACCATTGTAGGCAGTGTTTTGGTCGGCGAGAGGAACGCGGTCGTAGCCGGCGGTGCGGGGACCGAATGGTGAAGGAAGCGAGGTGCGCTTGTACTCTTGGGGGTCCATGAGAAGCGAGTTGCGTGCATCGAGAGGGGTAAGGTTGTCGAGATCGCGGGCTTTCTCTGGAGGGTTTGTTAGATAATGTTGGGGTCTAAGGGGAAGGTTAAACTTACCAGCTGCCTTTCTCTTCTTGCGGTGAGGGTTCTCCTTGCAGCAGATAATGATGGCGTTGACGGCGATGAGAATAGCAAGAACACCAGTGAGCGAAGCTTGCACGACAACAAGCACAAGACCGGTGACGGTCTTGGTTGTTTGGCTCATACCCAATTCTTCGACGAAAACCAAGATGCAGACAACAGACAAGACACGAACGACCGAGATGGTAATGTTGATCCAGGTACTGGACTTGAGGGTGTATGGGCGGGCCCAGAGAAGCATGATAAGGAGAAGGGATTCGACGATGAGTTGACCGGCAGCCTGTGCGAGACCGTGGCCGTCTGCTCCAGCGATAACACAACCACGAGCAAACAGGAAGACAATAGCGGGGACAAAGATCCACCAGTAGCTCTTCTTGTAGTTCTCGTAGAACATGCTGTACTTGCGCCAGATCTCCTTGTCCTCGTAAAGAGCGTCAGGCTTGCCCTCCATCTTCTTGAACTTGTCGGCGGTGCTCCAGATCTTCCAGGTGAAGAAAGCCAGGACTCCAGTGAATGCCGCGAGGGTTACACCAGCAAGTGTCTTTACAGCCCATGAGTCTCCGTTCTTGAACTGGTAGACACAGTAGAGAACCCAAATACCGTATAGTAGAAGGATCAAGTTGGTGATAGTCTTAGCCAGAGTCCACCAGTATCGCTTACGGAAGCTGGTCAGGCGCTTCGGGAAGCTGCCGAACAGGGCCCAGGTTTCCAGGATGACCTTCAGGAGAAGGATACCAACGGTAATGGCGGCGACGATGATGGCGAAGATGAGCAAAACAGTCATGAAGGCGTTACGGTCAGGAATTGTGTACTCTTGGATAAAGCCCTGCATGTCCTTTGCGTAGACGATGACCTTGTTGTCGCCACCCTCCTCGTCAGTACCGTTGCCGTTGATGTCCGTGTTCAGTTCGTCGCGAGCAAACAGAACATCGCGAGAAAACAGAAGGTCGAAGCTGCGCTTGGTCAAGGTCGAGTTCTGGTCCACGTGTACGAGGGTAGCATTCTTGAGGAATTCGACGCTGCTCTGCGTAAGATTGCCGCCAGTGCTCGCACGGAAGTTGTCGATGGAGTGCTGCATGCCCTCCCAGTAGATAAGACCGGTACTGAAGGCAAAGTTTTGGGACCAGCTGCGGTATACACCGGGAACGTCGGCGCTCATCATGCCGTTCAAAGCCATGGCCTGGAACCATCCGATAACGTCGCCAAAGGTAGGACTGGACTGTGCCGCACCAGCGTGTCCAGCACCGGCGAGCGAAGCCAGTCCAGTAACAGCCAAGGCCGCTCCAGCAATTCCAGCGGCAATGTATTGCACTCCGGCAGTTGACAGCGACTGTCCGTTGCTGACTTGTGAGGTGATACAAGCTAGGTCCTTGCCTCCGTCTATGGCCTTGAGTTGCAACCTGGCTTGACTGTCGATGTCGGGTATGTTGAAGGCGATGCTGGGGATCTGCGACATGATGCTATCGGGAATGCTCTGCTCGCCCTGTGCACCAAAGGTACCCTTGGGAACTGTTGTACGTTAGCATACAAAAGAAGCAGGCGCAAGGCAGGCATGTACGTACCTGGACATAGCTGGTCGACCTTGTACTCGCCGGAGCAAGGGTCGAACTCTTTGTTGTACAACTCTCTACCGTATGCGTTCACGGTGAGTGTTGCCATGACCTTCTGCTCGACCTCGTTGGTGCCAGATACATCGAACGTGACCTTCTTGGTAGAGCGGTCGAATTCGATGTTGAGCTTGTTGACCTTGATGTCTCCCTGCCCATCCAGACACGAGCTGAAGCCATTAGTCTTGAGAATGTCGGCGGCCAGTACGCCCAGTGGCGCCGATGCCAGTAATATGAAGGGTGCGAGCATTGCGGAGTACGTCGCGTGAGGTCGCATGGTTGATGTTTGCGCCCGCGGGCGTTCCTTGGGGGAGGCGACTTTCGATAGCGAGTGGTGGTCGCGGTAGCGATGTGTTGGGGATGGTTCGTATACGTAGGTGGTTGCTGGCAGAAGAATGGTGCCGCAGACGAAGAAGCAAGCAGTGATTAAACGGGAGTCGGCCGCAGGGTCAACCTTTCTCGTGCCTGATGAAGACGGTAAACAAAGGGCAAGCGTCGCAGTGAGTGGTCTAATGGAGGAAGCGGCGAGCCTGGGAAGAGGTTTGGGGTCGAGTCGGCAGTTACGAGGGACGCAAAGGTGAAACGACTGACGAACGAGCGAGCGATTGTTGTTGAAATGAGGACGAGGCGCTGAAGCCGGTATTCTGCCTCTCTTCTGAAACCGTGCGGCGACAGCCAAGGGGGCTCACTCCAATCAGGCAGGGACGCGCGGCGCTAGCCTCGATTAATCCCGCGATGGCGCAGTCGTTGGATCCGACGCTATCGAGGACAGAGGGTTGTTGGGCCGCGTTCGAGAACACGACGGGATGGGGGGTTAGACGTTGGGGAGTTGTCAGGGACTTTTGCGCCAGCTGGGGACTGCAGTTGCTTCTTATCGCTTGGCTGTCTTGCTGCACTGCTTTCAGTGAGGCATGCTGCCCTCACATGCTAACACACCACTACTGTCGTATTAATGGCAGCTGAGGAATGCTACTGCGCAAGGCGAGCCTATCAAACTACCCCGGTCCCGCTCGAGACCGTCGCCAAGTCAACCATCGTGTCATCGCTGTAGAGTTGGAGAACTGCGCACGGCGTCGCCCCATGCACAAAGACTTTTTTCACTACTGCTGGCCGCTCTTGTGCACAGAGAATCACAGTAATCCATCACCAAGCGACTTTGGTACCCTACTCCGATGACCCTATGAACGGTACTGGTACCTGCGTGGCTGTGCATTCCCCCATGGTCGTAAAAATAGATGCTCGGCCACTAGATGAGAATTTGACAACTGCAGCTGCCCAAAGAGATCAAGTGCAGCATTGAAGGATGACGTGCCTTCGTATATTGTAGGCCCGAAATACATTTGTTGCTGCTCAACAATCCGACAATGCTTTTGTTGTGATTATGAGATCATCCCTTACCGAGTTGAACATTTGCGACAGCCTGTGAAGAGACGCCATCCACTGTGATTGCAGATTGTGTTCAAGTTGTGCGATCGGCACGTAGCTGGTCGTTGCGCGGTCTAGAAACTCTGCTCGACTTCGAGACCTGCGTGATTAACCTTGGGAGTAGATCATTAGCCCCAGCACCCGACCGCCATCACATCCGCCGTGGCCACGCGCCATCGCCGCCTGAACAGGAGGCCTGCCCACCAGCCACCACAGTCTCACATCGCCACTCTGCAGCCAAGTCAGACCTCCCGAGGTCAGCAAGAAACATTCACTGCTTCTGTTGTTGACTCACTCCAGGACTGTCTTCGCTCTTGCAGACTCAGAGTTCTCGCAATCCGCATCGGTAGATATGCTGATGCAATCTCACGTCTAATTTCACATACCCGCCACTATCGCTCCTTCAATAAAACGCTGCGAACGGTATCACTCATCTCCGCTTCGTCGGTCGTAGCAATCTCGATACCGCGAGTATTCTGCGCGCAGCAGCAACGCGGTGCTTTCACGCGTCCAACAAATGCAGACGTCGATTTTCAACTGACGAAGACATAATTTCACTCTTCACACCTGCTGCCTCAGTTGCACAATACACATCTGTTGAATACTAAATCACAGTTTACGTTAGCAGGAAGCCTAAGTTGAGGGCATCGCGCCATAATCTAGTGTCTACCATAATGACACTCGATCTGTCTTTGCCATCTCGAGCGCCCGAGCTTGACCGATTCGGCGACGGTAATTGGGACGACGCAGCATTCGCAGTCTACACACTTCTTGGTGACAAGGTGCCACTCGAAAGTGTTGTTCAAGTGCTCGAAAAGCAGTGGCTAGAACAAGGAAACGAAAGCCATCTCGTACGGCCCGCGCCATCCATCACATCATTCAAGACGCTACAAGAGGTCGTTCAGGCGCACATCGCTTTAGACAAGGGCAAGCGCCCTCGCAGTGACGGGGGTGCAGCGGCCGATATAGAGTGGTGGCCAACAGCCTTCATCGTAGTAGTCCATGAGCAATGGATGAGCAAGCCTGGTGGGCTATTGTTGGTCTACGTGGACGATGAAAAGAATTGCGAGATGGATAAATTCTTTTTTCAAGCCAAGGACGCCTACATGATGCTTTCCAGTCTGAGCTTTGGAGATGAAGATCTAGCTAGGAGTAAAGCGATCTACCAAGAGGAACTCCAAACTTGACCATGGTTACTAGAAACCGCCAGACCACCCTTCCAGCCAAGCTGCACATACGACATGCGCCTACAGTGGCACGAATCCGGCTGGGAGGTCTCTTTCTTCGACCCACGCCATAACGGTTGTAGCCCAGAGGGAAGGATCTTGTCGATTCCAAGGATGCCTCATGAATGGATGCTTGCAAGCAAGGGTTCGGGTATTATTCTCGTTACCAACTCTGGCGAGTTGGCGAGCGGCCTCTATGCTATCATTGGAAGGGATCAATCCACCTTTCCCCGCTACAATGATCAGAGTTCGTGCAGACCACGGCTGCAGCTGCGCCTTAGCATTGCCGGTATGCGCGATCTGTCTACAAAGCGACAACGAAGCGCTAGACGTATGGCGGAGATCAGTTCCATCCATGAGCCAGCGAACAAAAGGTCGTGGGATGGCGTTTTCCATGTGATTCGAGGCCTAGAGCAGGTATGGCAATAATGGAGCACTGGAAACGGGGGTCGCGCTGTATCCAGAGACGAATAAGGAGCGAACAACATGAGGGTAGTTCGCGGCAAGGCAAACAGCGATAGAGGCACCAAGACTATGACCAACAACATGGGCTTGACCACTAATGGCTTTTGCCTCTATCAGATGGGCGATGTGCTTTGCCGATGCCTCGATAGAGAAGGGTATATGTGAAGATCGACCATGTCCAGGGCAGTCTAGAAGTAGAAGATGGTAATCGAGGACGTAGGGCACGACAAGATCCCAGTCGTTACTGTCGACAAATGCACCATGTATAAACAGTATAGTAGAATTGCTGTCTTGGTTGAAAGATTGATACGAGAGAAGAGTGCCTGAAGATTCTCGTGCCGCTTCTTGAGTCTGTGAAACAGCCATTTGCGGCCTTTGTTCGAACGACAGCCGACGCAAAGATGGGGTTGACGTCTTGTAAGTGGATAACTTAGTTAACCAATCGGACAAGTAGAAGGGTGGTGAGGAGGCGCAGCGTCGCGTAGGACGACTCATCCCACGGTCGCAGTGCCCTAGCCACGGAGGGAGATGCTGTGAGGCTTGTATCAGGCCAATAAGGCAACCCGCATTGAGTACGAAGTAGGCTGGTGGAAACTAGCGCTTACATTGCGTACTATTCCCGATATTCTGAGACCAGGCGTTCTAGCTCTTTACCCGCTTCTATGGAACTTGAATCGGCTCGCGGCTTGTCTGAACCCCATTAATTCATTACGACATCTGCCGTCTCTTACAAATGTGTCTATACTGAGGGCCATTTATAGGACATCCATTTCTCCAGGGTACTGTTCCAGCCACCACTTCCTAGCTGAATGTGTACAAACAGATCCATGTATTGCTTCCATACAATATCTTGCCCTACCATATAACCCAATTCCTCGAACGTAAAAGTCGCATTCGGGTTAACGATGCAAAGCACCTCCGGATGCAACCGCACCTGCAATTCCACTTCAATGATATCACTGATCATGGCATCTGCGTCGCCATCCATGACAGCTTTGTAGACGGCGTTATTGTCTGGCACCAACACGATAGTAGCCGCCTTCAAGTTAGCCCGGTCAAACGCCTCGTTTGTACCGCCCGGATTGACCGCGACTTTGACACCGGCGGTATCAATAGCCGCCAGAGATGAGAACTTGTCAAGGTCCGCACATCGCACGCACGCGGCCTTGCCCACTCGCTGAACCGCAGTGGAAAAGAAGGCCTTTTGTGCACGAGCTAGGGTGATGCTAACGCCACTCATAGCGACGTCAAACTTTTGTGCTGCAAGATCTGTCGTGAGGTTCGCCCAGATAGTAGGAACGAACTCGACTGGACGTGAGAGACCGAGAGAATTTGAAAGCGACTGGGCTGCATCGATATCGGCGCCAATGTAAGTAGTGTTGATGGCCGGTGTAGCAGGTAGAGCTGTTCGGTTCGTCACTTTGTACGAGAACGGCTTGTAGTCACCAGTTGTGCCGACTCTCAGGTAGCCGCGCGCCTGGATCTTGTCGAGAATAGAGGTTGTGTTGCTATATGAGGTAGACACCGAACAGCTGTGACAAATTAGTTTATAGCCTCTCCAAATAGTTTGGATAAGGCATTACTCGGAAGAGTACTCCGTATTGTGCTCATTCTTCCCTTCCGAGGCGGCGACAAGCGGGCTGACAAGCAAGCCAGCTGCAAAGAGCACCGAGCTAAGGTTCACCATTGCGATGGATGTTTCGATTGCTGAAATCAAGCTTGTAGTGGACGACGTTCGAAGTTCAGAAAGCTCTCACTCAGACTAATCACCGATGTTCGCAATGCCAATTTCGAGAAGCTCCGGCGAAAGCCCGCCCGAGCGCTCTTGGTTTGGTGTCTTCACCCTCGACTGTGTAGAGCTGCCGCGATGACACTAGAATGTACCTCGATTTTTTACCGGATTGCTGTATAGCTCACATTTGCTACAATTTTGTGGAATTAGATATCGATCAGGTATGGAGATGCGGGGAGGCCGATGAGGGGATTGCCTCGTAGTTCGGTCCCGAAGTCGTATCACGGCAAGCGATAAGTAGGTGGATAGGCATTGACATCGCCCAGGTGCTGAACATCACCCGTTCACCCCGGTATCGCATGTGAAGCTTTGCGTCACCAAGCGTGCCATGAACGATCTTGAGAGGACGATGGTAAAACTGTTCGAACTAAGACTTGGGTGTTGCCTAGTCAGCATTCTTGCTAATGGCACCGCACAACCTCTCTCTTGCAGATGTACGACCGGATCCTGGAGAAGTTCTTCCTTGATCGTGGTAGAAGACCCAATGCGTGAAGTTGTGGAGAGAGTATAGTTATCAGACTGCCGTGCCATGTAATCTGTAGCGGAGGCGCGAAATTGCTTCCCCAACGCAGCGGTCGAGGCGGCGTCTACCGTAGGCCGGCCCGATCTTCAAGCCAGATCTACACGACTAGCGATAAAAATGCTGGATCACGACCAAGGTCATGATCCAACTTCCCAATGGGCATTGCCCGCCCATTGGAGATATCGTGGACCGCGTTGGAGGTGTACCTCCAGCAATTCGTTGAAATTTTTGTTCGTGGCTCGCTTCGGCTCCCAGCCAATCGTTTCAAGCCATTCGTGGTAGCAGGGTAGCGAGACCCCGCTTTTTTCGTTGCTTACTAGTGGACGGCAGCGCAGCTGCCTCATCGTGTTGTAATTCATAAACGACTAACATGGTTGGCAAGCGAGTGAGCCAGGCAAGCGAGTGAGCCACCCCACCAACTTTGCGCACCTCTACACGTGTATATCTCAACCACCTTACAAGATAATATATAGATAATAACAGAGTATACTAAGCAGTATCTAAGGTATCTTTCTTGCACGTACGTAAGTTGTGGCCAGTCTCCCTGCACCTTGTGCAGCGCGCCAGAGCCTGGCGGCTAAGGCCTGATCGCGCTCCTCCTTGACGCTCTTCACGAGAAATCTGCTGCTCAACCTCGCGTTGAGCAAGTATATCCTCTCCCTCTCCCTTTGTTAAGGTCCCCTGCTTCTGTATACGCTTTTTCTTCTGTTGCTTACGTGCTGACGCTGCCTTATTAGCCTTCTCAAGGCTGGCAATCCGATCGCGCATTAGCTCAGCTGAGAGCATCATCACCTCAGCCCCCTTCTTGAGCTGGTTAATCGCCTCAATGATCGAAGCTGGTGATGAGCTCTTGTGCCGTCGCACGCGATCACGTATCAACGTTGATTGAGCCTCAAGCTCACGTACGTTGCTCGGCGTACAAGCCTCCCAGGGAGCCTCTGGTAGAGCAGCTGGAGTAGGCGTACGGAGCTGCACGTCTAGCTTCGAGAGGACAGCGTCTGGCTGGAGAGGAACAAGGCCTGCGCCGCGAAAAGCTGAGCAGATATTGGCTGGCGTGAACGCTCGATCAAACGCTGTCTTGAACGCTGGCAGAAACTTGAGCTTGGTGATGTGGTTGATGTGGTGGCGGATTAGGCTCTCCACCTCACGACTGTACGCGCGCTTCAACGGCGAGAAGCAGCTAACGTCAAGAGGTTGAAGCAGGTGAGATGAGTGGGGTGGCATGCAGAGCGTGTAGATGTTGTTCTCCTTGCAGAGCTCTTGAAACTCAAGGGATTGGTGGCTCTCATGGCCGTTAAGGACGAGCAGGCGACGCGCACTAACCATGCGAGTCTTCGTGTAAGCGTTGAAGTGCTTTAGCCACTCTACTCCTAGCTTGTTGGTTGTCCAGCCATTGTCGCTGACTGCGATCGCCCAGTCGCGTGGGATCTCTGCTTCCTCGTACCAGGCAGACAGGTGATACTGGCCAGCAAAGATGAGGAATGGTGGGACTGACCAGCCAGCAGCGTTGATCGCAGCGATCAACGTTACCCACTCGCGATTACCAGGCTGGATAGCCTTTGGCCTACCTCTCCTCTCTGACGCTGTCACGACAAGCTGAGTCGTGATCTTGCCTATCATAAAGCCAGCTTCGTTAAAGTTGTAGACGTCATTATCGCAGATGCCGTACTTGGCCTTTGTCTGCTCTACGAGCTCAAACCAGGCGCTGATTAGGACTGGATCTTCGCACAGAGCTCTCTGCCTATCGTACGCTCGGTTGAAACACGTCGTGAGACTGTCTGTACGCTTGACGAAGTTGGCTGGCCACTTCTGTCCAACCTGGCCTGCGCCGCGCGCAGCGAGCAGCTTATCAGCCATATCACGTACAGCTGTGTACGTAGGTGAAAATCCACGTAGATCTAGATCAAGTATATAGCTAACAATTACCT